AAGGAGATGTTATGAATGGAGATTAGAGGAGGAGGAAATATACTACCTTGTTAGTCATAGTTCTGAATGAAATTGTAGATATTTTACAAAATATAAACCCAAAAAGGATGGATAATAATTTCAAAGATATTTTTGGGTTCAAGACTCAATTAGAACCTTTAAAGAGACAAGTATTTTTTCAATATTTACATTTACATTAGAAATCATGAAAGGTGATTACAATATATCCACAGACTGTTATGAGTACAGTTATTAGTAGTGTTAAATATTCCTGAGGAAATCTATATCTTGTATGAAAGGTTAAAGGATATTGAGGAAGGATAGATTTCCATTATGTATTGCAAAAGACTTTCTTTCTTGTGAGCACCTTTGACAGTGAGTGTGGCTTCGCTTCTTTTGTCCTCCACTTTGATGCTGTATTTTCCACCATCCTCTTCAGCAACATTATCAAGGATCAAGGTGTGAACCGAGTTGATGGTTTCTATGCGATACCCATCCTTCTCTGTCACAACCTTACCATCCTTGTACCAGCAGGACTTGACATTTGGCTTGGACACTTCACATGTGAATTTGACTGTCTGGTCTTCATCAATGGTCTGATCCTCCAGGGGTTTCACAATCTCAAGTGGTTCCTCTACAAAGGGTAGAGGTCATTATCAGTGGTCAAATTTGGAAATGGGTCCAGTTTAAGAATATCCCTAAATTTGATGTTTTTACATAACAAAAGTTACATGTAAAGGAAATTAAGGAAAAGGACACTTTCATAATTTGACAAAAAGAACATTGTTGCACTCTGCTGTGCTCACCATCAACAAAGACATTGGCTGAGCTTTCAACATCACCAAAGGCGACCTTGTAGGAGCCTTCATCTTCAAGGTCAGCGCTCTCAATCACCAAACGGTGAAGGGCACCATCAGATGTCAGGCGGATGCGTTTACTGGTGGACACATCCTTGTTCTCAAAGGTCCAGACTGGAGTCTGTCCTGGTTTGTTGATCTTCACCTCCAGGAAGATCTCCTGTTTCTCTGTGACGGTGATGTCAGCCAGAGGTTGGACAAACTTGATGGGGAGGACTAGAGAAAGGGAGATGTTACGAATGGAGATTAGAGGAGGAGGAAATATACTACCTTGTTAGTCATAGTTCTGAATGAAATTGTAGATATTTTACAAAATATAAACCCAAAAGGATGGATAATAATTTCAAAGATATTTTGGGTTCAAGACTCAATTTGAACCATAACGAGACAAGTATTTTTTTCAATATTTACATTTACATTAGAAATCATGAAAGGTGATTACAATATATCCACAGACGGTTATGAGTACAGTTATTAGTAGTGTTAAATATTCCTGAGGAAATCTATATCTTGTATGAAAGGTTAAAGGATATTGAGGAAGGATAGATTTCCATTATGTATTGCAAAAGACTTTCTTTCTTGTGAGCACCTTTGACAGTGAGTGTCGCTTCGCTCTGTTTGTCCTCCACTTTGATGCTGTATTTTCCACCATCCTCTTCAGCAACATTATCAAGGATCAAGGTGTGAACCGAAGTTGATGGTTTCTATGCGATACCCATCCTTCTCTGTCACAACCTTACCATCCTTGTACCAGCAGGACTTGACATTTGGCTTGACACTTCACATGTGAATTTGACTGTCTGGTCTTCATCAATGGTCTGATCCTCCAGGGTTTCACAATCTCAAGTGGTTCCTCTACAAAGGGTAGGTTATCAGTGGTCAAATTTGGAAATGGGTCCAGCTTAAGAATATCCTAAATTTGATGGTTTTACATAACAAAAGTTACATGTAAAGGAAATTAAGAAAAAGGACACTTTCACAATTTGACAAAAAGAACATTGTTGCACTCTGCTGTGCTCACCATCAACAAAGACATTGGCTGAGCTTTCAACATCACCAAAGGCGACCTTGTAGGAGCCTTCATCTTCAAGGTCAGCGCTCTCAATCACCAAACGGTGAAGGGCACCATCAGATGTCAGGCGGATGCGTTTACTGGTGGACACATCCTTGTTCTCAAAGGTCCAGACTGGAGTCTGTCCTGGTTTGTTGATCTTCACCTCCAGGAAGATCTCCTGTTTCTCTGTGACGGTGATGTCAGCCAGAGGTTGGACAAACTTGATGGGGAGGACTAGAGAAAGGGAGATGTTACGAATGGAGATTAGAGGAGGAGGAAATATACTACCTTGTTAGTCATAGTTCTGAATGAAATTGTAGATATTTTACAAAATATAAACCCAAAAGGATGGATAATAATTTCAAAGATATTTTTGGTTCAAGACTCAATTTGAACCTTAAAGAGACAAGTATTTTTTTCAATATTTACATTTACATTAGAAATCATGAAGGATGATTACAATATATCCACAGACAGTTATGAGAACAGTTATTAGTAGTGTTAAATATTCCTGAGGAAATCTATATCTTGTATGAAAGGTTAAAGGATATTGAGGAAGGATAGATTTCCATTATGTATTGCAAAAGACTTTCTTTCTTGTGAGCACCTTTGACAGTGAGTGTGGCTTCGCTCTGTTTGTCCTCCACTTTGATGCTGTATTTTCCACCATCCTCTTCAGCAACATTATCAAGGATCAAGGTGTGAACCGAGTTGATGGTTTCTATGCGATACCCATCCTTCTCTGTCACAACCTTACCATCCTTGTACCAGCAGGACTTGACATTTGGCTTGGACACTTCACATGTGAATTTGACTGTCTGGTCTTCATCAATGGTCTGATCCTCCAGGGGTTTCACAATCTCAAGTGGTTCCTCTACAAAGGGCAGGTTAGGTTATATCAGTGGTCCAAATTTGGAAACAGGTTTCCAGTTTAAGAATAATCCTAAATTTGATGTTTTTACAACCATAACAGAAAACATGTGAACATGTAAAGGAAAGTGAGAAATATTTGGACACAAGAACAGTTGGTTGACAAGAAAGAACATATGTTTTTCCGACTCTTTTAAATGAGCATTTGTTTCACTTTGCTGTGCTCACCATCAACAAAGACATTGGCTGAGCTTTCAATATCACCAAAGGCTTACCTTGTAGGAGCCTTCATCTTCAAGGTCAGCGCTCTCAATCACCAAACGGTGAAGGGCACCATCAGATGTCAGACGGATTCGCTTTACTGGTGGACACATCCTTGTTCTCAAAGGTCCAGACTGAAGTCTGTCCTGGTTTGTTGATCTTCACCTCCAGGAAGATCTCCTGTTTCTCTGTGACGGTGATGTCAGCCAGAGGTTGGACAAACTTGATGGGGAGGACTAAAGAAGGGAGATGTTACTTAATGGAGATTAGAGGAGGAGGAAATATACTACCTTGTTAGTCATAGTTCTGAATGAAATTGTAGATATTTTACAAAATATAAACCCAAAAGGATGGATGATAATTTTAAAAGGAATTTGGTTCAACGATCAATTTGAATATTGGCAAGCCAAGTAGTTTTCAATATTGACATTTAAATTAGAAATCATGAAAGATGATTACAATATATCCACAGACAGCTCTGTGTACAATTATTAGTAGTGTTAAATATTCCTGAGGAAATCTATATCTTGTATGAAAGGTTAAAGGATATTGAGGAAGGATAGATTTCCATTATGTATTGCAAAAGACTTTCTTTCTTGTGAGCACCTTTGACAGTGAGTGTGGCTTCGCTCTGTTTGTCCTCCACTTTGATGCTGTATTTTCCACCATCCTCTTCAGCAACATTATCAAGGATCAAGGTGTGAACCGAGTTGATGGTTTCTATGCGATACCCATCCTTCTCTGTCACAACCTTACCATCCTTGTACCAGCAGGACTTGACATTTGGCTTGGACACTTCACATGTGAATTTGACTGTCTGGTCTTCATCAATGGTCTGATCCTCCAGGGGTTTCACAATCTCAAGTGGTTCCTCTACAAAGGGCAGGTTATCAGTGGTCAAATTTCAAAATATGTCCACACAGGACAGGTCAGTTGTGTTTCTTTACTTTGAAATTTCTAGAAACTTTTCTCAATCTACAACTTTATGAAATACTTGTTGGAACATTCTGACTGAAACATAACCTGCAGCATTTTGGGAACATGAAATGAAAGTGCTGGGTTTAAGTGAACACCATGTTCTTCATATTTACCAACAACGCTGACATGAAGCAGTAGAAAGACTCTGCATTTAGAAACATAGGATTTAGATAATTCCACAGTTTGCCGAACTTTGTTGTGCTCACCATCAACAAAAACATTGGCTGAGCTTTCAATATCACCAAAGGCGACCTTGTAGGAGCCTTCATCTTCAAGGTCAGCGCTCTCAATCACCAAACGGTGAAGGGCACCATCGGATGTCAGACGGATGCGTTTACTGGTGGACACATCCTTGTTCTCAAAGGTCCAGACTGGAGTCTGTCCTGGTTTGTTGATCTTCACCTCCAGGAAGATCTCCTGTTTCTCTGTGACGGTGATGTCAGCCAGAGGTTGGACAAACTTGATGGGGATAGCTAGTGAGTTGAGGCAATATATACCATTAGTTGGGCCATGGGTTTTAACCACAATTTTTTTAAACCTTATCAATACCAAAATGATCTACATCATGTTCAACATATGCTGAAATAGAGGCTGAAAACATTAAGATGTGTCTACATATAAATATAAAGTGAACTTTAATGTTAGTGATGTTATAAACATTTGGTTATTCATCAATTAAATAGAGTTAGAAAAGTACACCAAGCATACTGAATATGTGTTAGTTCATATACACCAAAAACTGTTAATATCTCAACATCATATATTTTGTTACAAGTTCTCATTGTTCAAGTGGTGTGACCAATCTTGATCACAAAAGAGAACGAATCAATTGTAGAATCATCAAGATTACAACAATATGAATGGATAATATGGTTAAAACACATCGTCATCTTGGCATCACGTGACATCTGAAGAGTAGCACTTGTTCCTGGAACATGTTTTCACCGACAAATTGGTTAATACAAAACAGATGTACTCACCATCGACGAGGACGCTGGCAGTGGATGTAACATCATCGAATGTAACGGTGTACACATTCTCATCATCCAATTCAGCCTCCTTGATAATCAGTTTATGAACGTTGCCTTCTGAGAGGAGCTGGAATCTTCCGCTGGCAGAGACTTTGTTGCCATCAATCTTCCAAGTTGGCTTCAGACCTGGCTTGTTTATTTCACACTCCAGGTATATATCCTGTTTTTCTGTGACTGTGATATCAGCCAGGGGTCGGATAAACTTGACAGGTTCGGCTGTAATTTATGGAAACATGATATAACATTCTCCACAAATTTGAAGTCAATATCATAAAAATTTACAAATATACAGAAATGTACATAAAATTTAGACATTACGCTGTATAAAATCGCCATACCACATATAGGAATATACAAAGCAGATAAATGCAAGACAGGGTTTTCAGTCTTCAATCTACAATAATGAAAATGATGCCCTTATATGGACATGCTTATGTAGGTGTATCTATATATATACATCTATATATACTACGTCTATTATCTATGTACTGGAGAAAAATATGAAGAAAGCAAGACATGGCATAGATGATATTTTTCAGTTAGTGTTTCTCAAAATATATTTTGTTAATAGAACTATTAACCCATCAACAAATCATTAATAAGAAAACGCAACTGAAGCATCATTTTACCTTTCACAGTGAGCGTAGCAGAGCTTTTCTTATCCTGCGCAACTATCATGATTTTAGCATTATGCTCAACTAAGGCGTCATCGAGAGATAGCGTGTGTACGCAGCCATCAGAAACAGCAACAAAGCCGTCGTCCGCCATAACCTCCTTGCCATCCCTCAACCATCTGACCTTGACATTGGGTTTGTTAAGTTCACAAACAAATTGGATGTTCTCATGTTCCATGATGCTGATGTCGGTGAGTGGTTTAACTATCTCGAGTGGTGTTTCTATATAGACAAATAGGCTCATTGTTAGAATGTATGTTTTGAAGAAAATCAGGAGATACTGTAATTATCAGTGTTCTTTTGAAAGGGATTAATTTAGCAATCATAACTAAATGCAGCTGGTAAGCAACTTGGAGACATATATTTTATTTAAATTAGAGACTTTTTAAATTTTGTTCTGAAATTCAACAATATAAAGCATAAATGTTATTTTTTTATGTAGTTAATTCTACCAAACCATACAACTAATTACAAGTTATTTATGATTCCAGTTCAGGAAAATGTAATGACATTTGCTGCAGATTTGAGGCTGATCATTGGCCTCTATGCATGTCCACATAAATCCTGTAATGTTCTCAGGAGGACTCCTAATAAGTATATATTGCACTGGAGAATGGAAGTTTAAAAAGGAGAAACTTGTCATAACACTGAGATATGACATTTCTGCATACATTTTGAGCAATATTCCTGTTCAAATTTATGTTCAACTTATATCATGAAACTGGCTTTACTCCAAGGCATATCTTAAGGGAGTTAGTTTCAGAAGCTGGATGTGGGAGTCAGACAAAAAACAGGTAGGTAAATATACGCTATGGTGCAAATTATGTCGATTTTGTACTTGTAAAGAATCTTCTGAGGTGCATACTTCATGAAAATTAGTTGTGTGGATAATACTACATGGACATTGCTCCAAACTGTACACTGACATCCTACATAGCATTAAAAGTCAAAGGAGGTGATTCTTGGTGCCAAAATTGATCAAATGTCTTACACCTTAATAATGATCTAAATATTTAAATGATGTTTAACAAAACTGTTACATGTCAATCCACTGAGCACATCAAATCAGTGATATGTTCTATAAATAGGCATTGTATTTCAGTAACATTTTGAGGTAGTAAATAATAACTGGAGCTTTATGATCTTTAAAAAAACACTGGAAATTAATTTAGGAGTGATTGATTTAGTGATTGAGTTTAGTTTTACGCCACACTCAGCAATATTCCAGCTATATGGCAGCGGTCTGTAAATAATCAAGTCTGGACCAGACAATCTAGTGATCAACAGCATGAGCATCGATTTGCGCAATTGGGAACCGATGACATGTCAGCGAGCCTGACCACCCGATCCCAATGAATTTAGGAAATAAGATGCAAGGTAGTATAAGAATGAGTAGATATCTTAAATGAAAACTAGTGTTTATAATGAGGAAAGGGCAACTGTTGGAGTGCGAGGATGTCGTGAGATTACAGGAGATACTAGAAGCAAGCTCAAGGAATACCATGCAAGCAATATACATTTTAACAACTTACTACAAATATGATTATAATAAAAAGAACATGTTATATCTCTGAAATAACATAACAGAACAGAAATCAAAGTGCTCGGCGTTAGGAACAGAACAGGAAATATTAGTGAATATGAACTCAAAAGTACAAAATGTGCTGTAGGAACAATCTAATTTTGACTTTTAATGTGGAGTGCAAGTGCTTCTTTTAGCTATTATAATATGGAGTGCAAGTGCTTCTTTTAGCTGCTAGACTAGTGAGGATACTTAGCAAATTGTGAAAAATATTTATATTTCCTACTGTCAGTTATGAGTGAGTGAGTGAGTATGGTTTTACGCCGCTTTTTAGCAATATTCCAGCAATATCACGGCGGGGGACACCAGAAATGGGCTTCACACATTGTACCCATGTCAGTTATGAAATACTTATGACAAAATGATAAAACTTAGTAACACATTTGTCTCCTTAAACGACACTTATCATAGATAATGTGACTTATCTCCGTCTTAGCAAAGAAATTAGTATACAACTGTTTTCATTTTCAATAGAAAGCAATTTTGTTTTACCAATATCACAAATCTTTACAGAGACAAATGCATCACTTAAGCAACCCACTTGATTTCCATTCATTATAATTGTCTTTATGAAATAATGGAAAAATTTTTGAAAGTTGTCAGTAAAATTTTGCAAATTCCTGGATCCCACGGATACAATTATTGTTGTTACTTGCTTTGTACATAAATTTTAGAGGGTGGGGGTGTGTATGTTTTACATTGTACATGCTTCTCCATAAAAATCAAACAGTCCCTAACCAGTCTGCATAATTTCTAAATACAGATAATGATGCAGAACAATGCAGCAACACCCAGTCCTCCAGACACCTACCTTCCACCAACAGCATGGCCTTGCTGCTCTTGCCGTTCACCTTGATGGTGTAGTCAGCCTCGTCGTCCACGACGCCAGCCTCAATCTCCAGGCGATGGATGGCACCATCGCTGGTGATCTTGATGCCTTCTCTGGGTGTGAATGGTTCGTAGTCCTTCAGCCACTGTACTTCCATATCAGGCTTGGAGAGTTCGCACTCAAACAAGACACTCTCTCCTTCCATGATGGTTGCATCTTTGAGTGGTCGCAGAATTTCAACTGGCAGTGCTGCAATGAAGTGTGAACGAAATCTCTCCATAACTGACAAATGCACAAAATTGGACATATTTACCAATAGTTACTGTGATCAACAGCCAATTGCCCCAAGACTAATTACATCTTGATGTGATTTATGTATCGGTAAAAGTGACCAAAACCTTTCAATGACATAAAGTATCTGCATAAATCAGATTCCATCCACATCATAACCACCATGTGTTTATGAATCAGTATCTTATACTGATGATACAATGTGGTGGTGAACAGGGGAGCATATCCTGACACACCTGCAGCACCCATCACAAACACATGCCAAGCCAAGCCAAGTCAAGTGTTCACCTGAATAAACACCCAGATATGGTACAAGTCAAAATAGTGAATTGCATTGAAAGGATTTTGGTCACTGATGCATCAAATTTGTACTTTTACACCTAAAGACAAGGCTTGTTGTACTTGTTTGGACTAAGAGAGTTATTGCTACAAAATCATAATTTAAATAATAATAATACCTTCAACAGTGAGAGTAGCACTTGTCCAGTTGTCTCCGCACACACACTTGACCTCGCCAGCATCCTTGAGAGTGACGTCATGTATGATGAGCTGTTGCGTGTAGATGTCGGTGGAGATTTCGTATTGGTCACTGTCAGGGGACAGTTCCTCTCCATTGATGAACCATTTGACAGGCACGTTGGCTTTGGTCATGCCACACTCGAACATAACTGTCTCCTTCTCCTCGCACTCCTGGTCCTTGAGAGGCTTGCAGAAATCGGGTGGAAGGGCTGAATACAAGTTGTAGCAGAGTTAGTCATCAATCCTAAGATTGAGTGAGTGAGTGAAAGTATATTCGCAGTCAGTAACGTTGAACTTGAACGAAACATAAATTTGAACAAAACTTAAATTTGTACCCCGAGTGACATTTGGAAAACATGAACAGATTTTGCATAATTACTTATGACCTGAAGACATACTGATTTAAAGTCAAGCCTCTAATCTGATATCAAGAAAGTGCTCATCAAACTCTAACACATCATTCAGGGGACTGAAAAAAACCCTATTCAGACATAAATGAACAAGATTACTAAAGAGCTGGGAACATTGTTCCCAGAAAAATCAAATCAGCATCAGATTAGCAGGAATACATATTCCCTATTCCCATTCATCGTCAGGGACTTTGGACAACTTGACCCTAAAATCTGAAGGTCTATGGAATATGGTTTGACATGCATTAGCCTTAGTCTATCTGAGTTCCATATAAAATCAGGCTCCACGTGCATGATCTCCACATTACAACTATCATAGTAAGTATGTGATTGGGGGTCATAGTGGTAAGGTTGCTTTACTGGTTGAAGATGTTTATTTTTTCCCTTACAATATATGGTGAGGTTGCAGGAAGATTCCTTGTTGTCAGGCAGGACAATGGTGTACTCTGCCTCATCCTCTGGGATTGTCTCCATGATGCGGAGCATGTGGCGGTATCGGTCGCACACGATCTTGATGCGTTCGCTTGGCTCCAGGGGTTTGCGGTTCTTCATCCAGCGTACTGGAACGCCGATCTTGCTCAACTGGCACACAAGTTCCACATCTTCTGTCTCTTTGGCTTTAGCATCCTGGAGTCGGGCAACAAAGTCGGCAGCCATTTCTGAAACAACAAAGGATGAATATGAGATATTGTTTGACAGGTCAAGATCTCACATGCTAGTCAAATATATTGGAAAAGTCATGACTGACTGAATCCATCATAATGCCAAAGCTCTTGTTTGTCATCTACAGTCAGTAATTTGAAGTATAAAGTGTCACCCACCTTCAACAAAGAGTCTGGCTGATGACTCGTTATTGCCGACAACGATGGTGTACTCAGCATCATGGTACAGATTAGCATCTGGAATCTTCAGGATGTGTTGTTTACCATCAATGATGAACTGGTAACCGTCCTCCTCTGATATGTCTAGGCCATCCTTCATCCAAGCCACTGGAACGTTCTCCTTGGATATCTCACAGATGAAGCTGACAGTTTCACCTTCAAGGCACTCATTGTCTGAGAGTGGCACTGTGATTCTCAGTGGTTCTTCTGCAAACCATAAACTCAAGGTTGTTATGGAGTTCAAGGAAGAGACAGTAGCACCAGGAAAAACCTGACAGTTGAGACTCAAATTGATATCAATTTTCTACTAATCTCATTCATAAATACGACAAACGACATCATAATGTGTTTACTGAAAGATATTTTTCTACAGAAACTACTAGGTTCTGTATCTCACAGAATCAGTTATAAAACAGAATGACATTGATGCTGTAAATAAATTTTACTGAAATATTTAACAAAGACCAAAGTCTTCATAAGGAGGATATTTTTCATAACAGAGATATGTTCAATTACCGAGAACGGCAACAAAAGCTGTTGTTGAAATATCTCCAACCCGACAAGAATATTCGCCCTCATCGTCAAGATTAATGTCGTATACGAGCAACGACCGATCAGCATCGCTGATCACAAATTCATATTTCTCACTGGGTTGTAGCTGAACATCATCAAAATGCCAGTCAACATGAACATCTGGCTTCGACAATGTCACGTCTAATTGGAAAGAGTTATCTCCCTCTAATGCCTCAAGATCCTCTAAAGTCTTGACAAAATACACAGGCGTCTCTGCAAACAAGCAAGCATGTTAGTAACCTGTCTTACTGAGCTACAGTCCATTAAGGCTCGGCGGGGGGCTTTCAGTAACATGGATTAATTTTTTGGGAGTTAGTAGTGTGTGAGTTGGGTTTTAACGCCAGCGTGAAAGAGTATTCTAGTTATATCTAAGTATGTCAGCATGATATGTTTTGTGAGTTAGTTAATTGCAATAAGAAGCAAGAATGCTTTATTGTTACCATTTATAAAAGTGGCTGAGCATGTCAGATTAATGTGGGATGGAAGCATTGTAGAATGCCAACAGTTACCACTGTATGGAACTCTGAGTGGCACTGCCAAACCATTATGACAATCAGTGTAATCCAGAAATTATGACATGAAAAAGGGAGACAACTTTGCACAATAAGCTGTAATTTCAAAGTAGTGTCTCATGATTAATTTTGAATGTTTTGAACTTAGATTTGGTACTTTTTCTTATCACAAGTGTCTTAAAATTATTTTACTGAGGATGTTATTTAAACAAGCATATTATCTCAATTAAGAACTGGATGGCATTCCAGAAGTTGGGGAGTTAATAAGGAAACATGTAACTTTATCAATAACAACTTCTGGTTTGATGCATTTAGCAAATTTTCAATGTTGATTCTCACACCATTCATCACTGGGGCTTCATAAAGGAGTAAGAATCTACATGAAAACAAGACAAAATGTCATAAACCGGAAGTTGTTACCCATGAAGTTGTGCGTTTCTATTGAAACTACTATACACTCAAACACTGTTGTATCATAGCTCAAGGGAAATACTTCTGGTTATCTTAGGTTTGACACAACCGAAAATGAAGAATAACGAACAAATATGTTGACACAAAATGTTACTTTGAGACAACTGTACGTTTGACACATCATTGTCTGACAAAACAGTGTTTGACTGAAGTTCCACATTACATTACAATGAGACTGTTAGACAGATCCACACAGAACTATCAGAAGATGTAATTATTACAACAAGTATACATTTGGACCATTACAGATTCATGCAGATGAGAATACTATTCCTGTGTTTTGATTAAAACAAGAGTTAGCTGGTTAGCACAAATAGCTGGACAAACATCAAGAACATACATAGAGCTATAAGTGACTATAACACCATGAGGCATTTGGGGAGATAATTCACACTGACCTCTCGCAATGACTGTCAATGATTAACATACTACTCAACATATCATAAGGACAATGGAAAATAGGCTGATCCCTAGCAAAAGTTGAGCAGTATATTACACATCCCTTCAAGAGTTTCGAAACTGAAATATATATTCCACTGACCTTCCACAAACAATATAGCAGCGGACTTCTTGTTTCTGATTTTGATGGTGTACTCTGCCTCGTCTTCAAGAGCGACCTTGGGGAAGGTCAAAGTGTGTTTGGTGCCATCCATCTTTATCTGGCGGTCCTCAGTGGAGCTGATCTCAACCTTGTCCTTCATCCAGACGACTTCCATGTCAGGTCGGTTGATCTCACAAAGGAGGGTGATGTTCTCGCCTTCAACACACTCGATCTCCTTCAGGGGAACGATGATTTCCAGGGGAATTTCTGAAAATAGATATTGTTGTCAACTGATGGTCTCATGAAGGACACTAAGATCTTAACATGATTAATACACGGCACAGTTTAGTATGAGATTCTATCAGGCTTTCTTTCCACAAAGTGATCATGTTCCTACATCTGTTATTAGTCAGTGTTTAGACAGGCAGACTAACAAGTATATTTCAGTAAAAGGCTTCCGGCGCAGATTACATACATTATTATTTGTTTCCTTGGGCAGGATTATTTATCTAATTGATGTGACTTAAAATATTTCTGACATGATATGAGTATATAGCAACAGACCTGACACTATCAGGGCTTCTGTTCTGAGTTAAAGATACCAGAGTGCAAGTATATATATGTATGGGTGGGTAACACACTCAGTGATATATTTATCAGTGTTCAAGTATACATCTGTGCTTGCACTAAGGTCACAATAATAAACAGGACCCAAGTCATAAGTACACCTATTTTTCATGGATTCTCTAACTATAAATTAGTCCGTTTTATGTATTAACCCAAAATAACCATGATATATTTTACCTTCGACTGTGAGTGGTGCAGTGCTCTGAGCACTCCTGATCATGATTGTGTATTCTGATTGGTCGTCCAATTCTGCAGGGGAGATAATCAGGCGATGGATTTTGCCATCTACCTCCATCTTGATTTTGTCTGATGGTTTGAGTTCCATGCCGTTCTTCATCCATTTGGCCGGTTGATCTGCCTCGGTGACCTCGCACACAAAGGTCACGGTTTCACCTTCCATGCATGTCTGGGCACCAAGGGGGATTGTAAACTCCAGCGGTGCTTCTGTTTGGTACGAGCACAGATTGTTGAGATGGACAGTAATAAACAAATTGTTAAAATAAAAGTAACTTAAACTTAAATATAAGATCAATATAAATTTGAAAATCCATGACTACTGCAGATATTGTAATGAAATATCTGGCATTTATAAGTTATTATCAAGCAATCTATTTTCTTTTGAAAAAGACCCACAATTTTTATCTCACGATGACATAATAAATCAAGATCTGGAAAAAAATATAACAGTGAGTGAAAATATATCAGATCCATGCGAAATATTACTACATTGCTAGTTCCACAACAAACAAGCATTTCACTGCAAACACAGGGTTTATCTTAACACTTAACTGTCATGTCAGTTGAAAATGACTTCAAATGAGGAAAACATCTTACTCATTCATATGGCCATAGTTCAATTTTGAAATGTTTGAAGATGTAGTTTGGAAGATGAACAAAAACCTGATAAATTATTACCATAAATGTCAACCTTTAGAAGTGACGGTATCAACTACTAATTCTTATTTCCTCATTTCAAGAATGAATCAGACATACACACCTGCTCTGAGATTGAACCCGGTCATGCGTTTGCTACCAATGACAACAACGTAGTTGCCATAGTCGTCAGCCGATAAGTCGTGAATGATGAGTTTATGAACACATCCCTGATCTCGTGAGTTCATGCTTCTCACAGGCGTTAATTTCTTCTTCGTCTTTATACCACGACACTCGCATATCATGCTTTGAAACCGTGCACGTAAATACAGCAACGCTTTCCGAACCAGTCGAAAAACGTTTCAAGTTCAGGTTGAGTCGGAGAGGAATTTCTGCAAAGGCAAGTCACGCAAACAACCGTGCAGAGAGAGAAAGAGAGGCGAAGAGACAGATGATGAACAGACAGACGAACAAACACACCACACTCACACAGGGGCTTGTTGGGTTATATTGGGGAAAATGCTGCTTCATTTTTAGTGCTTCCTCAGCTTTTGTCTCAGGCACCTGAGCTTACGATGAAGCAGTATTCGTGACATACAGCTATCAGTGATGTTAATCACAATGAGAATGCCAGACAAGAGAAATACGCAATACACCAGTAATTAACTGAAAGGAAGAAATATACAGCTGGAAAGAACAAAAGATTAGGATTAATAAAAGAACTAATAAATAATGAAAATGAATATCTACAGCTAGCAAACACTATCACTATAGAAAGGCTGCACGCTAAAGGAACTAACTGATCAACACATGCAGATGGAAACAACACAGATAGAGGCTGTTCATACAAAGCCAAATTTTATGATATCCTTGGATATCTATCTCCATGGAGTTAAATATACTTGGAATAAAGATATCCTCAGATGTAGGATGCCATTGCTTGGTATATTTGAATTCCATGATATCATGGATTATCATATTTATTGATTATTACATGTTTTTAATAATATCATTGGATTTGTGATATCATCAGAATAATATGATGACATCTTGAAACAAAGACAGCCTGTTGCAACAATGTCTTTGTAACAGGCACCAAAACAAAAGGATATTACCAATATCTAAAGGGCATTATCGTAAAAAATCGTCTCCGCTATTCAACAGCCTCTACCTAAAGAACAAACAAGAGCTAACAAATACACGGCAGGGTTTGAATACACTGACTAGATAAGTTCACATGGCTCAATGCCAATGATGGTTTCAATTTTACAGCAAGCTAATGGAAGCACCAATTACACTTTTGGCAGTTGCGGGCAGTGTTGACATTTTCAATGCTCTTTCTTTCATTTATGATTGATAATGTGTCCAAACAATAGTTCGACTGAAATAATATATGCTAATGGTTGTGAGTTTTGACAAATTCAAACCCTGGAAGGATGAGCTTCAGGAAGCGCACTGCAAACAATATCTGAACATTAGACGAAGAACCGACCTTCAACTATTAGTGAGGCTGTGGACATTTTGCCACCAGAAGATAAACTATAACTGGCCGAGTCGTCGGACTGGACATCTTTGATTGTTAAGGTATACACCTGTCCCATATTAGCAATGTAATATTTGTCACTGGCTACAAGTGAGCAGCCATCTTTGAGCCAGGTGACATTACAATCGTCACATGACAACTTGCACACAAACGTGGCGTATTCATGCTCGAACGCTCGTGTGTGTTGAAGAGGTGATATTATTTCAACAGGGTTGTCTGCAATCCAAGCAAATAAAAAATCTGGGTCAGAGGATGCTACACAGGAACACCATTAAAACATCATGCACGGACAGACCACATCATCAGATAAATGTACTACTTTCCTTACAACTTTCTCACAAAAAGTATGTAAATTAAACAAATTCCCAATAAGGCTGGTAAATTGTAATAGATATATTCACACACTACTCAACTTTTGACAGGTACCTGTTAGACCTTTTATAACCTAATAATTTAAAGTTATACAAGCTCCATATGACAATCCTCATATGCAGAATAAAAACAGTTATAGATCATGAATTTAAAAAAAAAAATTTTTTTTTGGGGGGGGGTGTAATTATATTGCTGATGTTGAAATAAAAATAAATTGCCACCAGCACTTTTGTGATATTTGTGTCAACAAGAACATAAAGAACATCATGTGATAAATGTGTCAACAAGAACATAAAGAACATCATGTATAAATGTACGTAATGATATGGTCTGATCTACCTTACCCATCATGCAACTGTAATAACTAATAACCCCATGCATGTTATACAGTGAAACTAGGTGTCGTGGACCAATATGTCTACCACTATTTCGTGGGAATTGAAATCTACTGCCGGAAGGGGTGATATGTTAATTAAAGCATTTTGAATAAATTAAGAAATAGGTAAAAAAGAATTAACAATTTCACTTCAGAATTTTCATCCCTTCAATTCCTGAAAATATAACTTAGGAACAAGTTTATTAAACAAGAGTGTCACTGTATATAGAAACTGGAATTGTTAACAATAACATACACCATGCTATCTCAACCGAAACCAACCTTTCAGAGACAAATCTAAAATGGTACAATTTGTATTATTTTTTCATCAAAACTCATTTAAGAAAAAAAGTATGTTAAATCCCCGTTTTAGCAATAATCTAAAAACAGCTTGGATGGGAACACTAAGATTGAGCATCACATGCTGCACCATGAGGGGAAGTAAGCAAGGAGTCTGGAATAACGCCAATCGGCTAATGACTAAAATACTGTCAACGCAGTTGAAAATGTTCAAGTCACTTTCAGTTGTGTTACAAGGGAGTGCCTTAACCAAAAGGTTATATTATGTAAGTAATAACAGAGCATTCAATACACAAAAATAACTTATTACTGAGGAATAAGCCTCCATATTCACTAAAAGGTTGGTATTACCCAAGAACGGCATCACACCACAGCATGCCACATGGATTCCTACCTACCATTCTCATTGCAAGAACATGGCATGGCATCAACAATGCATGAAACTTGGAATCCAGAAGATGTCATGACAAATATACTACCCCATACAAGAACACCCACAACTTCCAGATTGTGTTGCCATACCAATGACCCATTAACTATAGTCATATGAAAAGTGAGTGAGTTAAAAAATCGGTAGTTTTTCAGGCTTATCATGACTATTATACAACAGATTTTTGGAGTTCTTTTTCTGCTCTGCTGGCTCTGTTGTGTAAAGCAATCATAACTTTATGACTGACAGAGTTCTCTATTTCAGAATAGACCTTAGATAGCTGTCATGCTGCTATTGTTTTGTGAGATTGAGTCCTGAATTATATGAAACATTTAAAACTAGTCAGATAAAAATAACATTTCATGACATCAGGTGGATTCCAACAAATATATGTTTTTAGGCTGACAAACAAAATAGTTTCATACATTCGAAAATGCAAACACAACATTCAATGCTCGTCATAATAACAAAAACTGATGATGTAAAATAAATAAAATGTTTCATTAATGATTGTTTTCCTACCTGGTCCCCTGAAATTACTCATCAAACAACAAAATTCATGGAACATTAAATTACCTTTTCTGACAAAAATGAAATAAAAAAATTAATGTCCGTCAGAAGATATGTTGTTCCATGACTTTGGTTGTGTTAGCTCTAATGCAAAAGCAAAATGCAGTTATGGCTGAAATATATATGCTATGCAGAGAAATTTACCATCAAGGCGCAGCCTAGCAGAGCTCTTCTGGTCGCCAACGACGACTGAATATTCGGCTACATCATCTTTATCACAATCCTTGATGACTAAAGTATGAGATGTGCCTTCCTGTTGGATGATATGTTTATTGCTGGGTTCAATTGGTGCACTTTCCTTCTCCCATGTGACAGAGACATCCTCTTTATTCACTTCACATTTGAAGCATGCGATCTTGTGCTCCTCAACGTGTTGCTCAGAAAGCTGAGCAGTGAACTCAACTGGAATTTCTGCAGGTGTAAAAATGGGTTGCAAGGTGAAGGACAAACATCAAGGTCAAGGTCATGCATTTGGAATCAAGCAGCTGCCAAAAGAAACCATTATTTTGAGAATAAGACCAGTTTACTCACTTCATTTGCACATCTGTGACATAACATGTCAAAAATACCAAACCACAATTTGCCCAATTTCGTTGTCAGATCATCAGTTATTGAGTTCACATCATGATAACTGAGTTGAATCCTGGATCTGACAATGATACTTTTCTGGTCTTATTCTCACCACACTACAATGTCTATGACAAGAGAGACTGTAGAAATACCTTTAACTGTCAGATTTGCAGAGGTCTTCTTGTCCTCGACCTTGGCAGTTATTTCCCCTGAGTCTGGTAGTGTAGCTTCCTTTATGATGAGTTTGTGAGTGCGACCATCGCTGATGATCTGATAACGTTTGTCTTCGTTGATCTCCTGGCCATCCAGGAACCATTTGGGTGTGGCACCATCCTTGTTGACCTCACACATGAACTCTGCAGTCTGGAGCTCGTCGATGGTCAGGTCTTTGAGAGGAGTCAGGAAGTCGGGTGACAGTTCTGGTAACAGAAAACAAACAATTATCTTTTAGGAAAAATAAACTGGGTTTAGTTCATATTTCAACCAAACCATAAGCTATTTAAGAGATAATAGTGTCCGTAAAATCTTACTTTCCATACATCAGTTGCAAATCAGTAAGTTTACCCTGGACAAAAAACATTGACCTTGAGATATTGTGTATACACAATACACTTGTGATCCATAAATCCCTAGTCATTCATCTGTCAAGTTATATATCTTACCTATCACAAAGAGTGATGCAGTTGTCTTCTTGTCATCAGCCATGATACTGACTGGACCCTCTTCCTCCACTTTGACATCCTTGATCTGGAGCTTCTTGGTCTTGCCATCAGAGATGAACTTGATCTTGTCACTCTCCTTCAGTTCCACATCGTTCAGGAACCACTTGACTTTCTCCACATCGCGGGACAGCTCACAGACAAACTCAGCAGTGGAGTTTTCAATGGCAGTGACATCATTGAGCGGCACTGTGAACTCCAAAGGAAGAGGATTGACAGTGAGTTGACATTCTGTTGATTTGTCTCCAACCTTGGCTGTGATCTTCCCAGTGTCCTCAACCGCAACATCCTCAAGGGTGAGCTTGTGGGTCTTGCCATCCTGCACTATCTTGATGCCTTCCATCGTCTTAAGTTCCTCTCCATCCTGGTACCATTTCAGCTTGTCTGTTTCTTTGTTCAGCTCAACAACGAAGTCAACACTTGATTTCTCGTAAGTGGTCTTGTCCTCAAGAGGAACAGTGAAGTCGACATCAATCTCCTCCACAATGAATTGGGCTTCAGATGACTTGTTGCCGACCTTGACTGTGACAGTTCCAGCATCTTCTGGGGCCACATCCTTGATGATGAGCTTGTGGACCCTGCCATCATCAACAAACTGGTACTTGGCATCCTGGGTTATCTCCTCTCCATCGATGAACCACTGGACATTGTCCACTGGTATGGTCAGAGTGCATTCAAACTCAGCAGTTGTATTTTCTTTGGCAGTCACATCCTTCAGGGGGATGGTGAAGTCAGCAGAAACTTCTGCAATAATACATGGAACATTTGGAATGAGTTCACTTAAGCAAGCCAGTTAATGCTCTTTTAAGGATGTATAAGTATTTTAAAAGGAATCCAGTTGTAATGTCTCATACAAGGTCATCAGCCATAAGAGCTATTCCTATTGAGCATTAATACCTTTTCAGTGTTTAAATTATTTTGTGTTTGTTAAGCAGTCTATATCCTTAGTCTATCAACTAGATCTAATGTCATTTTCATGTCTTGATCTTAACATAATCACAGCTTATTTTAAACTGGAAACAAAGTTTTACTAATCTGCATTCAGAAAATTGGTATTGGTATTTTTCTTACAATATGAAAGCCATAAGAAGCACTATACTTTAAACTTTTCAGGAACTGGATTTATGTTTACAAGAGTCTGGTTTAATGCCTATCAAAACAGTATTTCAGACATATCACAATGTCTGTCTGATGTAGGATAAAAGTGAGAAGTATGGAGGTCTTTATCATATAACACTTTGGTGAATGTCAAGAGCAGGAGTATGATGCTACCAAGAAACATCATCAATAAGAAATCATTCTGACAACCAGCATAGCAAATTGTGACACCATAGACAACTAAGCCATCAATAAACTGATCTATATAATGAGTGACAATCACCTTGAACAGCGAGGTCAGCTGAAGTCTTGTTGTCACCAATGACTGCTGTGACTTCACATGCATCTTCTGGAAGCAAGTTCTTGATAGTGAGAGTGTGTTCATAGCCATCTGATTTGATGACATATTTGTCTGAAGGAATGGGCACTGGTTTGCCATTGATGAACCAGAAGACTGGGATATCATCATCGTTGGTCTTGCATTTGAAGGTGACGTCTTCTCCCTCTTTTCCCTTGCCATCTTCCAGCTTCATTAAGAAGTCAGCTGGAACCTCTGTATCAGAACAAGAATTCTCGTGTCACAGATATTATCAGGTCAACAGGTTGTTTTGTCTCTCAAACAAATGGACAGAGATGTCCAATCTTTTATTTTATCACTATCTGAGTGAGTAAATTCGGTTTTAAGCCTCAGACAGCGACATTCAAGGTATGTCACGACAATCTAAGTTATCAAATCACGGCAAGTATATTAGCAACAACACATGGTGTTTCGATATCATGACACATGGTGTTTCGATATAATCACACATGGTGTTTCGATATCACGACACATGGTGGTTCGATATCAAGATGTATGGGTTTTTATATCATGACATTCGATATGACACATGGCATTTCAATATCATGACACATAGTGTTCGATATCATGACCCATGGTGTTTCGACATCATGACACATGGTGTTTCAATATCATGACACATGGTGTTTAGATATCATGACACGTGACCAGCTAGGTCAGATACTCAATCCTCATTCACTTGCATGAAGCATATAGCACTGGGTAGCGATAGAATCTAGCTCGCAATGTCCAGTGTTCATGAACTTTGATCAATCAACATTTCATGAACAAAGATGTCTATAGTATATCAACAATACATCTGAAACTCTGGAAAAAATTATTAAATTTGTACTTTATATTGATCATATTAACCATTTAAAGCCTATGAATGTATTTATCGGTCTTTCAAGCCATATACCCCGTGAAGGTCCGGGTTAGAATATTCAGCTTCAGTAACCCATGCTTGTCGTAACAGGCGACTAATGGGATCAGGTGGTCAGGCTCGCTGACTTGGTTGACACATGTCATCGGTTTCCAATTGCGCAGATCGATGCTCATGCTGTTGATCACTGGATTGTCTGTTCCAGACTCGATTATTTACAGACCGCCACCATATAGCTGGAATATTGCTGAGTGCGGCATAAAACTAAACTCACACACTCATTCAAGCCATATAACTACAGTTCTTATTTGACATGACAAACTCACCTATGACATTCAGCTTTGCCTCTGTGATGATGTTTCCATATGCACATGACACAGGACCCTCATCCTTGGGGCGGGCGGCACTTGCTGACCAACAGAGTGTGCTGTTTACCGTCAGCCTTGATAGCATACTTAGGACTTGGGATGACCTCTTCACCTTTGACTGTCCAGACAACATTGACATTGGCGACAGAGAGCTCACACTCAAACTTAGCAGCCTCGCGTTCCTTTACTGTCATGTCCTCGAGTGGTACGATCCACTTCCACTAGAAAAGAAGAATATTGTTATAACTAGTTGAAAAATGACAACTGAATCAGATTTCCTCTTGTCCAGCCAATCCTCTTTTCAGTACCTCTATTAACAAGCAATAGGACAAGTTATACTCTGACATAACCAACATATTGAAAAATACTGCAGCAATTTCTTGTCTTTGTCAAACATTACATTCCTCAATTACATTCCAAAATTGAATCATACCTGAGTTTTGGGAATAACCAGGTGACTCTCCTCCATCTCTTCAGCTTCCTTGAACTTCTGAGGTCGGACATAATGACCCTTCTCCTCTTCAGGTGCCTCTGCAGGAGCTGCAGCAGTTGGGCGCTGGAACTCTGCCTGTTCCAGTTCGGGACGTTCTCTCTTGGGCAGGGTGAAGGCATATTCTGATGTGTCCATCTCCATCTACAAACAGGGAGAATCACATGACTTCAAAGTCAGGAAATAATCAACTTTTGAAAAAGTATTGCTCCAAGCATTTCTCATTGCTTTGAAATGTATTGTTGAGTTGAGTACAAAGTCACTGACTAGACTATCCTCATGAGTGGATGCTGTTAATTCCACAATATGTCAGCTATGGTGGATTGTAAAAAATAAATCTGGTTCCGGCAAGCCAATGTTTGTCTGCATGGCCAACAATCAATGCCAAATCAGCATGATGCACAATCAGCAATATCAAACCATTGAAAACCTTCAAACTGTCTTTGACTATTCCATGTATTCTGACCAAAAATGGATATTAAAGATGATCCTGGCATTACAGAGACACCACCAACTATTCAACACTGAATGCTCAACGTTTCATATTTTATGTTGACTTCATCATAGACTTGATTCTTGTTTGTAGTGATCCTACCTCTGGTCGCTCTCTCTTTGGTAGCATCTCGTAGGGCTGCCTCTCTATCTCCATCATCTGAGGGGCAGGCTTGGCCTCTGGTTCTGGAGCCTCTTCCTCTGGGGTTTCCACATGCTTCAGCATGTCACGCCAGTTCAGCTCTGCTTCCTCCTCAGACAGGGTCTTGTGTTCTCTGTGAAAGAAGGCAATATACATAGATCTCTCTTTTGCCTTTTGTAAAGATGTTTATCTTTTCTGAGGCAATAGTTTGAGTTTAGGTATGTTTCACTGAGGTTTAAAAGCTTTTGATCAAGTTTAGCTGTGTCTGACTGAGTGTATCTAAGTTTGACTGAGTTAACTTGTGTTTGAGTTAACCTGTGTTGACCTAGTTGACCTATGTTTCATTGAGTTTGCTTGTGTTTGATTGACTTAAACTGCGGTTGGCTGAATTTACCGGTACAAAGTGAGTTTACCTATGTTTGACTAAGGTTCACCAGTGTATGATTAAGGTAAGCTGCATTTTACTTCTGTTTGATTGATCTTAGTTGTGTTTGACTGAGCATACCTGTGTTTGAGTCCCTTCTTCCAGTCAGCAGCCTCTTCCTCCTTGTCAGTCACCATTAGGGTGGCAGGTTCAGCCTTGGAGCCATGTTCGTTGGTGGCAGTGATGGTGTAGGTACCAGAATCACTAGGCTTGATCTGGTCAATCTCAAGCACATTTTCGTGAGTTGATTCATCCTCATATACATGGTAACGACCTCCATCTTTGATCTTTTGCCATTTACCCTTCGACCATTCAACTTTGGGTTTGGGTTCTCCCTCAATGGCACTACGGAAGATTGCAGTTTGACCTGGAAAGGGAAATATGAACATGCAGTGACTGGTTTAGAGTGTTCCAGAAACTGTTATAGAACAAAACAGCATAATCCTGAGAAGGTAACCAATTGTGGAAAGTTCAGAACTGCAGGAAAAATTAATGGTCATGGGATTTTAAAAACAAAATGTGATTTCAATGCTATCCTGGAATTTTGTTCCAAAACATATTGTCTCATGAGTTTCCAAATAATTAATTACTCTCAAACAAACATCCCACATCACAATACAAAATGGGCAGTCCCTTAAACAATATAGAACAACTTATTTTGTGATATGACTAAATTACAATTTTTTTAATCAGTATTAATCATGTCACTGTTGGCTATAATAACAATAAGCTTCAATAACAAAGAATGAAACAAACAATTCATTTACATCGTCTCTTACCTTGAAGCACAGTGCACTTCATTGGTGGCATAACAAACTCGGGTGAGCGACCTCGGACGTCCATCTGGGCAGACGTGAAGACCTCGCCTCCACTGTTCTTGGCACGGGCCTCGACAGTTCCCTTCATGTCCTTGGTGGCCTTGTCAATGACCAGAGTGTGGGTGCCAGACTTGGGGTTGAACTCCATGTGGATGTTGTCACTGGGCTCTAGGACTTCTCCGTTCAGCACCCTGAGGATTTATCGGGCCACATATCATGAGGTGCAAATATTAGAGAAACAAAAATCATGTTGATCGCTACTTAGAATGTGAGTTAGTATGATATTTTGCTACTTTTAGCAATATTCCAGAAATATCATTGTGGGAACATCAGAATTGGTCTCCACACACTGTATCTGCTGTATTCAACACAGGTGTTTGAACTAATAGGCTACTCTACCTTGCCAATTCCCATTCAGAAATAGACAGGAGAGTAAGACCTCTTTACCGTTCTTTCACAGTGTTTCAAAAAGGCAGATGAAATGCTTCTTTGAATGTCATTAGGCATCAAACAAGAGACAAATGTTCTAATTTTGATGTTTTACAGCTAATATTGAGATGAGTCTACACACCATTCCACATCAGGTTGAGGTACACCCTTGACCTGGCACTCAAATTTGGCAGATCCAGAAACAGGGACCAGCGAATCGGAGAGCTTCCGTGTGATGTTTGGCTTCTTGACAGCTGAAGGAAGAACAGGAGTATTAACTTGTAAGCAATCATGCTCTAATCTCACAAGAAGGGAATTACATTTAGTTTTACAAGAAGTGTGTCACAGAGTAATTATGTAACAAACTTAAAGATGTTCCTGTCCCACAACTCATCCTACAGTCATGGACTCCACATAAGCGGGTTATCAAAACTTGGGCTCCACTTACAATTAGTATTTATACTTACGTGTGACCTTGAGGCGTCCATTGCATGATATTTGTCCTGCAGGGTTCTGAGCACGAGCTGTGTAGAGTCCCGCATCTTCAGTCTTGATGTTATTGAGGACCAGAGTGTGGGTCTGATCTTGCACCTCAAACTTGATGTCCTCAGTCTCCACAAGCTCCTTGTCTCCCTTCATCCTACAAGAGGAACAAGCACATGGTCAACATACATCATGTAGGTTCAGACTTGTGCTGTCAGGGGCGGATGCAGCTTTTTGAGAAAGACGGGGTGCACACTATTGAGAAAAGGGGGGTGCACACTTCATTTTCACCCGAGTTTCAATGGTCATTGAACAAACAACTTTCAGGACAAAAGGTGGGGTGCATAACCCTGCACGCCCCCCTCTGGATCTGCCTATGGCTGTGTAGGAATACAAACAGTGGACTGGATGATATTATTACTAATATGATACAGTGACCCACGTGACAATGATATGTAGATCAGCACCACGTGTTACCATTATCAGTAAGATCACTCCAGTTCAAGATCCTGTGAACATGAAAGTTTTCTTAACTTGGGTTACTTGTAATAGTGACAATGTCAGACATAAAGGAACCAAATACTGTGGAAGAGACAGGCTGCTAATCTGATTATTAATAGGATGATCATTTCCTTCCCAACATGTATCATCAATCATGAGTGAAGGTGAAGGTCATGACACATGTCCATTTTAGAAAAACGTATAATCACTAAAGTCCATGATTTTTGTCAAGTATGTAGAGGATGACTACATTTGTATCAACTGTCAGGTATCTTACTCACCATGTGATCGTGGGTTTAGGTTTGCCTGAGACAACCACTTCCATACGGAGTGATTCATGTTCCAGAATTTCATAAGTGTCCAGCTTCTTGATGAACTTGGGCCCTTCTTTCTTCTCTGTAAAAGCAAAACAATGCATGGTTATCATCAAACACAATATAACAAAAATCACAAATGTAAAGTTGACAGGAAAGTAAAACACTTAAGTGCAATATGATTTAAGTTCCGCCATCTGATGCAAATTCAGGTTCACACATTAAAAGAAGCAGAACTGATTCTAACAGAGACAACACAAATTTGTTTTAGACTGACTTAAATTCAACTTGCTAGAATTGCTACTTTGCCCAAACCAAGTTACTTGCTCAGCAATATATCTCTTGAGGATACAAGATGGCCATTTACAAAAAGTTTTGACACACAGAGTTATCCCCCTTACTGACCTTCAACAGTGAGAGTGCCCTCAGTCTTGGCTTCTCCAGCCTTATTGGTGGCGACGACGCTGATGGTGCCGGCATCTTCCACCTCAGTGGGCTCAATGCTGAGAGTATGCTGGGTGTCTGTGTACATCTTGCGCTGGTCAACATGGAACCTAACACCTGGCTCAATCTTCTCATCGTTGATAAACCTGGGAGACACATTGTGTGCAGGATGTACATCATGGGAAAAATTCCATTTATTTATCAGTCTGATCATAGTGATGAATAAGGATGGTTTCCAATCACTTTAGGCAATGCTGCTAAGGATACCAGGAATAAATCAATGATTAGACCCATAAGGGGAATCTAACCCATATTTTCAGCAAAACAAACAAGCTTTAACGACTTTAACCCCCAAGGTACTCTCTGCCCCTTAATATGTAACAGTATTCATCAGATCATTATGATTCTGATTTTACATAAATGGCCAAATCTAGACTCTGTCAACCTAAATACTGTAATCAATCTTCAGTGCCAAAATTATGAGTACTACAAATGATACACTCATACTAAATTGTACTAAATTATACAAAGAGCTGGCTGAAAATCAGACACTCATCATCATGCAACAACGCCTCAAATTCATGCCTACCATTCGACATCTGGCTCGGGAATTCCCTTCACAGCACAGTCCAGTTTGACAGGACGACCTTCACGGACCTCCCTGTTCGGCAGCTCACGTGTGATTTCTGGTGCCTCCATCACTCCCTCGATGGTGATGTTGGCAGTGCAGTCTGCAGTGCCAGCACTGTTGGTGGCAACACACTTGTACTCTCCAGCCTGGTCCATGGTTACCTTGACAACCTTCAAAGTGCATGTTTCGTCTTCATAGACTGGGCGATGGTTCGGCAGTGTGCTTACTGGCTTGTCGTTTCTGAACCATTCTACCTCTGGGCGGGGCAGACCAGTAACCTTGGCAACAAGAGTCAACGTCTTTGTTTCCATGATGGTCTGTATGGAAAGAAATGAGAAGTCATTACGTGTCTGAATGTCCATATAATCTTAACAAATTTCAAATTTCACACAGATTTTCAACCACAACATAAGTAAAGGAACTATGGTACAAACAATTAAGTTTATAAACTACTCACAGTGTCCTCGATTGTTTCGATGAAGACAGGAGGTCTGGTCTCTTCCTTTGTCTTAAGCAGGAGTGGAGACTCTGAGAGTCGCTCATCACGTTTAATTTCTGTAAAACAAAAGACATGGTTAAGACAATAATGTGACCTCAGAACACATCATAGAGGAGAATATTCCATATATAAACATCTAAATACATCACAGACAATAGTGATCCCAATCTCATTATAAGTTGTTGGGTGTATTGTACACATCCAGCATACACATATCAGTTGACTAAAAGTGATTTGGGGGACTGATTTCCTTTTTTAATGTTCGATACTCCAGCAAGAGAAGAATCTCTAACACCTTACCATTGACAATGAGGGGTATGTCAGCCGTGGCTTCTCCCTCAGAGTTGACAGCATGGCAGGTGTAGGTGTCGGCGTCGTTCAGTTCGGTGTCCTTGATCTCGAAGCAGTAGGTGTCCTCATACTTCTCAAAGTGGAACAGCTCCTTGTCATCCAGTTCCTTGTTGTCCCGCTTCCAGGTGACTGAACAGACAACACTCACACGTAACACACGCACAACACATACTTGTCACAGACACAACAATAATCATAAACAAAACATACATGCCACACTCTTACTCATTACCGATGACATTTAAGATCAAACTGAAGTGGGTTCTTATCAATATTATTTACATTCTACTATTAGTTTACCTTTTTTAAATCATGCATATTTTCTCATAGGGCTTGCATTTCCTGAAGGTGACTTAGAGTGCACTCACAAAAGCCATTTAGAGCTTTGATAATCACTGACAAATTAGTATTTAGGTTTACCTGTTGGTTTGGGAATTCCAATGACCTTGACAATGAATTTGGCCTGGTCATGCTCGCGAACTGTGACATTTTCAGGAACCTTGATGAACTCTGGTGGAGAGAGTTTCTCCTCAGGTTCTTCTGGAGAAAAATTAATGATCATTGATCACCATGTGCTACCACCATCATTATCTACACCATCAGTACAAAAGTATCCAGAGCTACAAATAATAATATGTCCATTTCCATGAGAGGCGAGGTGAGGTGAAAAGGGGTCTGATGTTTCATTCAATATTTGAATGATGTACATCCACATTTGTATGTAGCTGATTGCCAGTTATATAATCCTCACCCACTGATTAACATGTCCAAGTCGAGTTTTATGCTACTTGTAGCAATATTCCATCAATATCATGGCGGAGGACACAAGAAATGAGCTTCACACATTGTACCCATGTGGTGAATCGAACCCGGGTCTGCCGCATGACGAGCGAATGCTTTAACCACTAGGCTACCCCACCGCCCCACTTCCAAATTAATATAAATTAGATCCTTGTCTCCTGGGTCCTTGTCCTTGTTTTAACCTTTGACCTTGACAGGAAAATTCTAGAACTAGACATTTCCACATTCAAAACTTTACTTATCTTTTAATGCTAATGAGATAGACAAAGTGAGCTTTTCATGAAGTGAATTAAACTTGTAAGAGCCATTTGGCTGAGGTTTATACACTCTGTTACCATAAATGATTTAAAAAATGTCCTACCTTCAACAAACAACTCTGCAGTGGTTTTGTCTGAGCCAGCTGGGTTTGTGGCCTTGCAAGTGTAGGTATCATCATGGTCTGGCTGGACTTTGACAATGATCAGGGAAGTCTCGTTGTCCTCAGCATAGTCAATCTTGAAGTCTTTGTCCATCTTTGTGATCTCCTTGTCATTCTTGTACCAGATGAGCTCAGGAGATGGAACACCAGTTGCCTTGCAGGTGAACTTGGCAGGTTCTCCGCTCTTTGTCTCCACTGTCTCGATCTTGATGATGAACTTGGGAGCAACCATCTTTGGTGCCTCCTCGACAACCACCTCCTCCACCTGTGGGATCTCCTCAACAACAGGAACTTCCTCCTGAGGAATCTCTTCCTCAACAACAGGTTCCTCCTCTTTGGGTTCCTCCACAGGTTTGGCTGATACAAATATTTTTATGATATATTCTTCCAATTATCCTAAACACTTTGAACACTACAAAACATTCAAAAATTCTAATTTTTCAATGGGAAATTATACCATAAATGCTAACACTTTTCATTATCAGTGAATCATTTCAGAATTTTCATGATGACAGGTGCCAATGAATTAGCCACAAACAATTCAGTATTAATCTTAATTCCCTGAAATATTATTGATACTTACGTTTAACAACCAATTCAGCTGAGCACTCTGCTTGACCGAATGGATTGGTTGCCTTGACAACATATTTTCCTTCATCTTCTGGAAGGATGTCATAGACTTCAAGATGGTGGAGTCCATCTTCCTCAAAGATCATGTAGCGGCCTTCATCCTGCAGCTCCTTGGTGTTGTAGAAGAACTGGATCTCTGGCGTTGGCTGTCCAACCACTTGGCAGGTGAAGTCGGCTGTCTCTCCCTCCTCGACCTGCACATGATGCACGATAATACAGTGCACATGATAATAATAATAATAGTGCACATTTATAATGCTGCTCATTTCCACACTTGCAGCATGCTCAAGGCTCAACAGTTGAAAAGTACATAGGAAGGGATGATGACAAAGTTGTTACGACTCACAGAACTGGCGGAAAAGATAAGTTTTGAGGCTATGGATGAGGTGCACATTATCACCATAGATGAAGTGCACTTGATCTCATTTGTGAGCAATGAGTGAGTGATTATGGTTTTATGCCACTTTTAAGCAATATTCCAGCAATATCATGATGGGAAACATCAGGAATGGGCTTCACACATTGTACCCATGTGAGGAATCAAACCCAGGTCTTCGTCGCGGATGAGCAAACACTTTAACCACAAGGCTACCCCACCACCCCCAGTGAGCAAATGAATTTGATATATGAGCAAATCACCTTTGGAAAACAGAAATTGATGATAGTTATATCAAGTGAGTATGCTTTTATTCAGCTTTAGCAATATCCATTAGCATTGGGATCCCCTTACGGGACTTTACACATTATGTTCATATGGTAACTCAAACCCACATCTCAACCTTGTCACTTAACTAACCAACTATGTATATATACAATAAAGATTTAAGGAAAACTCACCGTCTCAGTCTTGATGGTGAGAACAAACTCGGGAGCCTGGCCTGCTGGCACTTCCTCTGGTTTCTCTTCCTCTGGTTCAATGACTTCCTCCACAGCTGAAAGAAAACAATATCACTGCCATGAACATTTGTCCTCGTTTCTTGACATAACATTTAAATATTTGGACTCAGAAAAAAAATTCCTATTCTATAAACTACACGACAAAATATATTAAAAGAAGCAAACTGCTAATTGTTTAAGCAAGAAAATACATATACAAAAGATCTACCAAAAGAAAATACATCTACAAAAGATCTACCTTGCCTTAAAGTGTGAAATATGTTCAGAACACACAAAATGAAAATATTTCCACATAGTCATTCCTACGTCTTCCATCATTTATCAACTGCACATTTCATTCATGGATTCATGCATTCTTCATCACACTGTCTTTCATTCATTTCCAGTCTTTTCCATTCTTACCTCCCTTCCTTCAGTTATCCTGTCCATTTGTAATTTATATCCTCTTAAACTGTGAAGGGTTATATCAATAAAACATATTTACATACCAAAGTAAATATCACAAACCTATATGTGGTAACCTATTTAAACAGCAGGGATACTATTTCAAAAGAGATTGACATTATGTCCCACCCACAGTTGTATGCAGAACAATTCCTTGTAACTTACAGCACTGACTTACCATGTTTACTGTAATAGTGTAGATATATTTCCTTGATCTTAATACTACCAGTAAGAGTGATGGCCGTGATGGTGGGGGCCATACCTATCTCTCAACACACCTCACATGATACAGGTCTTGACAGCATCACCACATCCACAAAATACTGGATAATATGTTTGAAATATCATTTCCAAACTGAAATTCCTAAAACTTTGCCATCTGAAGAATTCATATTGAATCTTGCTGCTTATTCATCCAGGAACCAATGTCAAAACACAGAATCCTGTTAGGAGCCACTTCCAGTTTCACATTTCTTGTTTGCAAGGATCCAAATTTTATAAACAACTTAGATGTTACAGCTAATGACACATTTTGAAGAGCATGCAAACTCAATGCTGCAAACAGGTTCTCTTCCTGTGTTATAAGAAAATATATCCAAACATATTTAAGAATCTGGCGACATGAATGCCTCTGATTTTACACAAGCCTGAAGTTCATCATCTCACACTTGAAAGTACATCCTTCATGTCCAATTGTCTTGTGGTTAATTGTATCTCCACCAATGCACAACATTACAGAATGGACGTCTACTGTCCAGTAACAGAGGTTCATGACAGAATCCACACTATCCTACACCTGCTTGTAGATTCAGAGCCAGGTCATCCATGGCCTTGTAATGTATCTAGTTACCATTCTTCATTAATTAATCTCATGTCCACCTGTTTCATCTCAAGTGACCACTAAAAACACATGTCTTAATTCAGCAGACGTGAGAAATTAAACACTGACTTGACCTTCACGGAAGTAACAAACGATAAAATATTGACAGGTCTGACAAACACTCCTGTACTCCATTTGACAGGTGGGGGAGTGAGGTCTACAGATTGAACGTCTGCCAATTTTATCTTATCAGCCTGACAGCCAGGTATAATCATTTCAGGGGTCACACTGGCTTGTTTTACTGCCTTTGGATCGACACTCAAAATATTTGCTTACACGTCCCGATCAGGAGTAAAAAACATTTGGGGATATGTTTATTTGAACAAATACCTCAAGATCTAATAGCCTAATCAATACGAACTTGTAAAAACTGACATTTTAATTCATATGAATTCAACAAAGTCAACATTGCAGGCTGGTGAAAATGTGATCATGATTTGATTGGTAATTGATGACTTTTATGGGTATGTTTTGTCAGTGGTAAAAGGAAATTCTTGTCTATTGGTGAGGAGTGATTTTGTCAAGATTGCATTCAGTCGATGATTAATGGTCGAACTATGACCACGGCTGGTTCAGTGAGTTTACAACACCATTGTCACAGAGCAGTCCTCATGTTTACATTCACAGAATACGGCCTGTTTCTGCCTCGTAAGGTATATTTGCTTCCTTGGCTTTACAAAGGCAACTTGTGAATTACAACTTGATACTGGTATCAAATTTGTATATCTTATCAATCAGGATAGAACAAATTAATTATTTGTGGGGGTTCTTCAGTATGTACATGGCCCAAACTTTTGTAGCCCAATGATGTGTCAATGTAAATGCTGTTCAAACATATAGAATGTAAATTCAGTTATAGTTTATCATTTGTATGAATATAATTTGATACATTAAAACTTATGTCAATCAAATATGATACATTATTTATCCCTTTGCTGAAAAAGATCAGAAAAACAAATATTCAATTTTGTGTGACCTCACCTATTGCTACAATTTCCCCTGATTCCATATAAATACATTTTGTATTTATGATACCACCCCTTAATGGCACACCTGATAGAGAATGTATGAATTACCTGCATTGTGAACACACCGACACAAGTATTCAAGTTGTCTAGGGGGTTGTTATGTGTGCGTCTCGCTAAACCTGTTATGTCAATGTGTCTGTGCAGTGTAACGTTGCTTGTGTTGGCTGTTGTTGAACCACATTGTAAGGATTAGGGTACTTATTGAATTACGTTTCTGTAGACATACTGCACAGTGCACCGCTGTTTTACTAAGGATGTTCTGTTCCCTTGTTATTTGCTCTACAAGAATTTCTCATTCATACCATATGATCACCATTGCTGCATACCTTCAAGCAAGATTTACACTCTCTCAGCTGTCATGTTTAAAGTGTCATTTACTAGTATATATTCATCATCCGCTGTTTAAACGTTATTCTAATCCTAAAAGATTTGTTTGTTCTTTAATGTCTCATTCAACAATATTACAGCTATATGACCAAAGTAAATAATGAACATTGGACCAGGCAATCCAGTGATTGATATCATGAGCAACAATCCACAGTCAGGGTAGAATCACACACTGTCAACCGAATCATTTTGTTTCATCTTTCAAACATTCTGTCATCAATTACACCCATTCCAGGTTACAGACAAATCTAACACAAAATCCCTTACAAGAACATATCTATAAACATGAACTATCACATATGTATCATAAAAATATGAGGAAACATTAAAATATGCTAATTAAGTTAATAAATACCAACAATATATTCCAACATGCACACTCATCTACTTCAAGCAAAACAACATGCATAATGAAAAATGGTATATGATTCTATAATAAATACCTTATTCGTTTGTTTGAGATGTGTTATTTTTTAGCAACATTCTTTGATCTATTATGTTATAACATTGTTATCTTACACTGGACTAATACGTCTATATCAGCCCGGTCCGATCCAGTGCCATTCTCAATGGTCAATGTATATACAGCTGTGTCAAAGGTCGTTGGGAGCGAAATGGTCAAGGTTGCACTGGTGGGTGTTGATGCTACTTGTAGCCGGTCATCAACAGCCAATGGTCGACCATCAACTGACCATCTGATTGAAGGGGTGGGGATACCTTCTATACTACAGGGAATATGGATTATCTCCCCTGTTGTTACCTCAACTGCAGATGGCGCCATAATTATGTGAGCTGGTACTGCAAGGGTTAATAATAAAAAATCTAATATTTCATTTTTTCGTAATATTATAACGGTTTACAGTGGATCCAGACAAGGACAATAAGAGTGAATACAATGTGGTTAGTGCTAGATGTAGAGATGATGTGATGTTTTCATACCAAACCAGTTTTTCAGTTTATTTACAATTTTTCACGGATGTTAAAAAATTTGAACATTATTAATTTAAAATAATTTGTCAGCTATGAATATGTTATAACTGACTTGTATACATCTATTTAGAAACAGACTTCATACATTTACTGCAAAAATATGCTGAATAAAACCCATTTTAAAAATATAAATATATCAAATTGAAGCGATAAACTGGTCTGGATTTATTACACAGGTAAGTAAATGTAGCGTGGTGGTGATATTATGTGGATATGTGAGGTAAAAGTTATGTGATGACAGTGAGTTGAAAGAGTGAATACAATTGCTCGTGACTGACTTTCCCCCAAATCATTTTAATATCTCAACAATCTCATTTTAACATGTTGTCACTAACTTATCAAAGACAAGATGTGTACATTTCACAATTGTCTTTGCTAAAAAACATCATCTCCCAAAGTTGTCAGCACACCTTGAGTCTTAGCATTGCAGTTGTCCTACCATTGCTTTAAGTTGTCCGCTATCAGATACTCACTTTCAGATAATAAGATCAATGCAAATACTTAAGACAGAAGGTTAACACATTAAGTGGCGCACAATCCTTCACTGGAGATAAGTGATGAAGAAGAAGTTGAAACAGGTTTCCTATTGCTATATGTCCTGTAGAAGATGTTTGTTCTTGGTAAATATATTTGATAGGAGATTTCTAAGCGTCTATTCAAGATTAGATTACAACAGGTTTCTTTATTTCTAAGTTTTTCTGTCGCCTTGGTAAATCCGGCAGATTTACAGCAACTGCTTCAAAATCACTAGAGACATCTCTTTCAGAAAATATATAAAAATTTCACCAGGTCAGAAAAGAAAGGGTTAATTGTAGTACTTCGTTATACTATACTGAAAATTGACAAAACTAAAATACTATATTCATCCTAAAAATTATGACTTCTTTTAACAGTCTTGTTTCAAAATATGGAACCTGCATTTCAAATTGTTACTAATTAATTAATTATCTTCTCATTTCATATGAAGCCTTTTTAATAATATGTCAAAGTGTCACATTTTCCTGTAAGGAAGGATTTTGTCATATTTTAGCTAAAACATTCCATACCATCTGCACAGAGAATTACTGAAAAAAATCATGTTTTTTTTGTCTATGATTTTAACTGAGCCACTATACATACCAGAATGCAAACAACATTCAAATTAAGGCATAAAGATTTTTTTATTCACTACATTATCTTTCAGACAAGTTTGAACCATTTCTGAAAAAAATACAACAACTACTAAATGCTGATCAATCCTCAACAATGAAGACTCGTGCCTGACCTCACTTTTCATTGATATTCATGACCCAGAACAGACAGTGTTTAAAGAAAGCATGCAAGTCTGTTGATCAGGAGAGTAGCTAAAGGTAAACTGGTAAAGAAGGCTATCCACCTTTAGCTTCCCTCCATGGAAATATTACCCAAGTGGAACAGTGATAATATAGGTTATAGGCAGCTATATACAGGCTATAAAGGGTTAATGATGTATGAAGGGTTAACAAGTAACCATGGAAAACACTAAATGAATACCTCACAATAACACCAGATATTTGTGTCAAAGGTTTTTGTCAGATTGCACAAAGAGGTTAAAAGGCTTGTATGTTCATCGATAAGTATTTAATGATTGGTTTGTGAACACACCCTTGAGCCCTGTCAACTATTCCCTGATGGGATGTTTTTTTATCAAGCAGACCAGATGGCATTTAACCCTGTAAGTTCTATATTCAGTGATGCTGACACACTGATAATAAGCTTTGGGACGAAAGAAGAAAATGACATACCTTTCTGATGAGATTTATGGAATACCAGGAATTTCTTCCTGATTGAAGGTAACGTGGGTAATTAATCAATAGCACATGAGACGGTTTGACCCTGAAAGGGTTAATATCTGACTCACTGGATGGTTGACATTGCTGCCATAGTTTTATTTTGTAAAGAATACAAATACATTTACTATATTTCATTAGATAAGGACAGACCAATTATTTCTGTGTTTATGGTTGCAAGTAACTCAAATATTTAAAAATATATATAATTGTTGTGTTTGATTGAAAATAAACTTAATTAAGATTGGTTTTCTCATAAATAAACTCTGATAGTAGTATTTTGTTTTCAGAAAAATAACCTCAAACAGCCAATATTTTATTTCAAAACACATTTTTCTCCAGCATATTGACCAAGAATGTTTTGAAACAAAAATTACTTGTTTTGGCCTAAAAAGTTTTTACGTTCCACATATTAATCTAATGACCCTGACATGGGTTATACTGATAAAACATACTTGAAATATATCATACTACCATATTTATTTTGTTATTTATTGCCACATTATCAATTATTTCATTTTTTTAAATTTAGAAAATAAACTGAATTCATTCTTATAAAAATATGTTTCACAAGCTCCTAACAATAATAACTGATAACTGACGTTTTTTTTAAAAAAAAAAGAAGTATTATTTGGAGAATGTTTCTGAATCAAAGAATGAAAGTGAACAACATTAGGCTAAATCCATGTTGTTTGTGCACAGTCACAGAATCTCGCAAACCTAGGGATACAGCTCATTGCTTGCTTCAACCAGCTTGGGATACAACTTATAAATAATTCAAGTACAACAGGTTTCTGTTTCATGTGACTCACTACCTGTGGGTTAGTTTCCAAAGTCATTGAATTCATATTTCGTTCATGTCATGATGACTCATGTCTATTTCTCAAAAGAATAAAATAATCATTTTTGCAAGTTAAAATTCTACATTTTCAGTAATAAAGATCAATTTGCATTTTTAACACTGTTTTTAAGAATACAGGAATAAATATTAGAAAACAAACACCCCTGGTTAAGAGCCTCAAAATGAACACATATTATTACACTACAGGAGAAATACTTTTTTTCTGTGTATGATAACATATATCAGTGTACATATCAGGTTTGATTGACAAGTGTGATGTTATCACTTAATGACCGGGTGAATGTTTCATAAGAACACAGCAGGCGGTGTGTATTTGTCATTGTATACTGATCAGTGAGTGTGGATCGTATAGCGCTAAATTTTATCATTATCGTCTTCGTGACTGAATAATTTGAGCTGACAATTTTTTAAGATAGTTTACACAAATAAATTAAGACTAAGTCAGGGATATCTGTATCTAACAGATTGTTTTTTTACAAAGTAACATTTCTACAAATATTCTGCTGTGGAAACTGAAGTTGGGAATACTGCTGGTATATTTCACCTGCACATTCAAATTTGTATCTGAAGGTATAAGTGTTTATCCTTCATTTCAGTATATTGTGAGGTATTCATTTCGTATTACAAAGAAAGAAAACTTCTTTCTTTTTATGTACACAAAAATGTGTCTTTGCATATTTCATCAGAAACTTAACCAAATAAAAACAACTCATGCAAAACTGAAAAAATATTTTCTTTCTTGTAATATATTCTGTTTTCAACAGAAAAGCAGCTACACAGAAGCTAGGTGATATTAAACACTACAGGGAAGGCACAAACTGTTAAATAGTTTATTGAGAAAACATGTGAATACATCAGGCAGGGGGAGACAACTCCCCTAATATCACAATCACGAGAATCAATGAAGGATGGTACACATTCAAGCATGCAGATGGTTACACTCAAGCAGAGATCAAATCAGTATCAGTAAGGCAATAGGTTCAAATATACTCAAAACAAAATGTTCGGGATTATGAATATTCATGGGGATATTTTCTGTGCAGTGAAGACCAAAAATATTGCCCAAAATATTCACAATCAAATCATATTTTGTTCAGTAGACTTAATTGACAATGAAAATTATTTAATTATCAAATACTGTCTCTTCATATTCAGTTATATTATGCAAGTGGCAGACACAACTTTACAGAACTGCATACAAATTGTAAAATTATATTTTACTAATATTATTATATCCAACATATTTTAAAGAACATTTCCACGTATTGCCTGATTTAAGATACTGAAAAGGGCTTGTGATGTAATAAAGGCACTGAACACATTGGTAATACTATATAATTTACACAGAAATACATGAAAAAGACATTAAACTCCTGTATTTGATAACAAAGATGTCTGACAAACTGTCTCCAATAGTTCATTTATTTGGTATGATAAATATTAAAAGCTATGAAATTGTTAACACATATATTGATGGGTGAGTAATGGGGGAAGGATAATGAATATGATGATAGATAGATATGATAATGATGATATGTTCACGATGCTGCTACAGAGATATGATAACATGATCAAGCAGAATGGACCCACTGCCATTATCAACATTAATTACACATGACTAATTACTTTTCAAACACATGCATATCACACTAATTACTAAATCATTCTTATTACTAAATCACACAAATCATGTAATCTGCCAAATAATATGCAGTAAATGTATAAAACTATTAAAGCGTAGTAGTATATGACATATACTTTATAAAGGTCATATAAAAAGAGCATTTGTCTGCCCAAAAATTTGAAATGATATAATTAACATTAAAAGTTGACAGCAACGTAAACCACTGACATATAACGAATAGTGACATAAAATTTGTTATTCTGTCTGCCAAGAAGCTTTAATCACTCATTAACATCAAATATATTTGATCAATACAAAACTATTTAATACAAGTCTGTTTCATCCAATATGTACTGTACAAAATATCTTGTGTCTTCCATAAAATACCAGTTTTAGCCAAATATTGGCAAGAATGAGATATTTCTCAAATCTGTTCAGATAATTAATTTTGATAGAAACTTCCAAAAATCATATAACTGTCATTAATAATGCAAATATTTGCAATAAAACAAGAAATATACTTCAAAATTTGAAACATATTTTAAGACTATATAAGTTTCTTAAGTCATGCTTAATTTTTCATCATCAAAATCATGCAATTAACACAATGCATTCAATTCCACTTTAAACATAGCCATGCATATATATTCTGTCGCTGTAACAGCTGGCCTCAACCCTTCATGCCCTCTACTGATATCTAATGATTATCCTCCATAGGTCAAAAGGATAAATTATCAGTCTAGGCTAAAACTGAAAAGGTTTGATCGTAATTTGCTTAAAAAAAACATGAAACTATAACAGAACGAACTAATTGCTGAACATTCACTTAACATTGAAAACATTCTACACAACAATTAACTGTGTTGTGGAGGGACAAACCATGGGATTCAAACATGCAGGTTTGTTAGGATGATATTGACTGGAACACACCATGCTTTTAGTTGAGAACGCGACACAACGTGTACAAAACTGTGGGGGTTAAATGCAGAACAGTCATCAACATGCTATAAGTCAGAACTAGAACATCAAACCGACCTTCGGGAATGATCTTTGCTGATGTCGAGTCATCACCAGCCACGTTGGAAGCTTTACACGTGTATGTCTTTTCCGTGTCTTCAAGAGTAACGTCCTTGACCTCAAGGACGTAGTTATCATCTCTGGAGGTGATCTTATATTTGGGACTGTCCTTAAGTACGACTGTGTCGGACATCCATATCACCTCGGGTTTGGGAAGACCAGTGATGGTGCACTCAAGGTGAGCAGTGTCCTTCACCTTCACTGTTACATCAGAGAGAGGCTTGGTGACCTTTGGTGCCTCAACGTGGACAAGGACCTCAGCACTGCATGAGGCGACACCCTTTTCATTGACAGCTTTAATTGTGTAGTCACCTTCATCATCCAAAGTGCATTTGTCAAAGGTCAAGGTCACATTTTCTTCAACGTATTCAATCCTGCAAAGAGATAAATTACACTTTCACAAAGCATATGAAACGAAATGAAATAAGTGGCATAGTAGCTTGCACTATTATTTTCAGACAGATTGCAATGAAATACTGTTGCCCAACAATTTGTGGACAGTATCATTAGTTACAAGTAGTCCACTCCAAGAGTGAAGTACTGTCTTCCAGAAACAGTGCAGGCAAAAGAACAGAAAAAACAAAGTCTTAATATTATGTGAAACTCACTGAAAGGCACGAATTTGAAGGAAACAATTTCATGAACATTTTCTGTGATATTATTGAGTATTGCCAAATGTTCACCAACGGTTCTGATCAAATAAATAATCTCTATTAATTCAGATCATGACAAGTGCCACAGGAAACACTTCAGAATTCTTACTTGTATTTGTCGGCCGTGACTTCCTTGTTGTCATGGAACCATGTAACTTCTGGGCGTGGTATGCCGGTGACTTGACACTTGAGGGTGACAGTTGTGTCTAGTTCCACTTCGGTGTCCGTTAGTGGTGTGATAAAGGAAGGAGCTTCACCTAAACAACATAGACATTAATAATTGTTTTGGCTCATTTCTTTTCCCTATCTTACCTTCAACAAGATACATTCTTAAAAACTGTAACTTTTCACCTTTTATCTCAGGAATCACAAAAACAAAAACAAAAACAAAAACAACTGATACATTCAGTGTAACACTGATATCTGTATCTGATTGGTAAGAAATTTGACAGATTATTCCAAAATCGAAACAAATTAAAGTTAAAATGCTCAATATCATATGCATGTACAATGTACTAGTTACATTAAAACTAGTTACAAACATGCTGTGAAACAAATACTGACCAGCTGGGTTGACCAGTAGTTCGGCAGTTGTTGTGGCCTTGCCAGCGGTGTTGATGGCAACGCAGGTGTAATCTGCTTCGTCGTCAACGGTGGTATCCCTGATGGTGAGGGTGTAGGTGTTGTCCTCAAGCTTCTCGACTGTCACACGCTCGTCAAACTGGATCTCCACATCATCACGATACCTGCACAAAAAATATGGTTAAAGATGGTTTAAGTGTCAGATTAACTATAATATCAGTTCTTAAACCCATATTCAGAAAATATATTTTGAATTCTGTTCTCTATAAAATTATTCTGCATTGATAGTATCTAAAAGTCCAGTCTGTCTTGAGTAAAATATACCTAAAACAGCAAGACAATAATAACACACTGTTTTCTATTGATATGGACAGCCATGAACAAAAGTGAAATACAAAAGTCAGGGCTGATTTGAGATTAAATACCTGAATTTGTAAACAATATAAACAAAAATAACTTTTTAAAGCAAAAATCATTTAATAAAAATGCTTTTGAAATTTCACTTGGTCATTCATAATGAAGAAAATACAAACAAATCTGTCTGGTTTCGATACATAATAGAACTATACATTACAATCATTGCTAAGTGAGTGAGCTGGGTTTAATGCTGCTTTTACCAGTATTCTAAGAATGAGGGACTGTCAGATCAATGATGGAGGAAAGGTGTGAGCAACACAGTTCTCAAATGTGTACCACTTTTGTGAAGCCCATTTAGTTGACAAATCAAGAAACATAATCTGGGTAAACAGGATTTGAACCAACATTGCGAACAGCAGTGCCTTAGACAACTGGGCCACCTGTGTCAGGATGACTACACCTGATAACAAACCATTTATTAAGGTGATCTTAAGTATCAAGAATCTGTTGTTTCATTTGTATGATCATAAACTATGGATAAGATTGTCAACAAAAGACATGCATTAGAATATTTCTAGTAAACACCTACCATTTGAGTTCGGGTTCAGGAGTTCCTGTGACCTTGACGGTCAAGGTCACTGTTGTTCCTTCTGTGACCTTCTGGTGCTGGAGTTCCTGCAGGAACTTGGGTGCAAGCGTGATCTCAACGCTGATGTCTTCCACCGTGGTCCTGTCCTCCACCTATAGGTATATACACACACAGGTGACATTGGGGGGATATGGAATTTGTAGGAGGACAGATGTGATGAACACACGGGACAAGACTGACATGATGCTGAAGAATGTCATACTCTGAACAGAAAGCACTGGATGATGATGGAGTAACATGGATGATGATAACTTCTTTGAGTGGCATTTTTAGAAGTTGGAGAGTCAGATAAGGACAAACGTTATGGATACAGATTCTTGTCAAATGTCGTATCACCTGAATAAAGAAGTTGTTCATCCATAAAGTTTGTCCTTATATGGATGATGATGTTTGATAAAAAAAAAATCAGTTTTATCACAGCACATCAAGTGAATTTGGAGATAGGTCTATCTGTGGTACTTGTCCATAACCAGGAAAACCAGTATGGCAATGACAGACCAAGGATTGGGATCTGGAATTTGAACTGGAGATCTGGATATGGATGCAACAGTTGCACCAATGGCACCTGGATGAAGATGAAACCTTTTCCCTGCTTTTAGAGGAATGTTTAATCTGGAATGTGAACTGGAGATCTGGAACTCGGTGCAACAGTTGTACCCACGGGACCTGGATGAAGATAAACCTTTTCCCAGTTTTAGAAGAATGTTTAACCTGTATTGGACCACACCTGTTTGATGCTAATTTATAACCTACAGAAAATCAATACCTTCCCCAAACATAATTGGGCATCACAGATCTATACCGTCCATTCTGTGACATTCTGTATTCAAAGTGTGCTACAAAAGGCCTAAACATTGGCTTTAAAATTGAACAAATGGGAAACATAAGTAGCTTTCTGGGCGATGTAACATGCACACCATGTAAGTGAAATAAATGGAATATGTGAAGCTGACAACCACACTATGTGAAGCTGACTCCTGACACCTGGATATATAGTGATATAGCATGGACAACACAAAGGACAATACAGATGAACACAACAGCATAATAAATATGGCAGAAGACAACAGTCCTCCCTCATCTATGACAACAATGATATACACAATATTCATCAAACAACTACTTCACAACAGTGAATTTCACTGGATACAAAATACATTACAACATCATAAAATATATCTTGTAATATTGCAAACAATTTTTTAATCTAAGCTAAACGTTTAACATAGCAGTTTGGATTTATCAAATGTTTTTCTTAAGAAACAAATGACACACAGATACATGATATTTGTGCAAGGGCGTTTTACAGTTCAGTGGGGTATAAGTTAGCGGTTGGAATTACATCTATATATAGATATGTGATAAGGACAAAAGCAAGTAGGTTGGGTCTAAGTCCTATTTTAGGAAGGTGATTACATGTGATACTGGGAACCAGGATATATGAGGAAGGCAAGGATGACAGCTTTCAAATAGCTGGCATTTTCTAATAACTTTAAAATGGAAATTATCACATGGTTGCTCATGGTGGTATTACCCACAATTATATCTGTCCAGCCTTTGCAATACAACCCACCTCTCTAAAGGCATATGTTTCCTCCACAGGTTCTGGAGACACCAATTGTTCTGTAAGAGTAATCTCCCCTTCTACATCCTCCACTACAGGGCTCTCAGCAACAGTGAAATCAACAGTCTCTTCCTCGATGGAGGTTGTATCAAGGTCCTTCTTAAGCTTAGGTTCATCATCTCTAATGATGTGTTCAGCCTCAACTTCCTCCACTTGAGGCTTCTCCTCAATGACGAGTTCAGCCTCAACTTCCTCCACTTCAGGTTTCTCCTCAATGACGAGTTCAGCCTCAACTTCCTCCACTTCAGGTTTCTCCTCAATAACGAGTTCAGCCTCAACTTCCTCCACTTCAGGTTTCTCCTCAATGACAAGTTCAGCCTCAACTTCCTCCACTTCAGGTTTCTCCTCAATGACAAGTTCAGCCTCAACCTCCTCGACTTGAGGCTTCTCCTCAATCACAAGTTCAGCCGCAACCTCCTCCACTTCAGGTTTCTCCTCAATGACGAGTTCAGCCTCAACTTCCTCCACTTCAGGTTTCTCCTCAATGACAAGTTCAGCCTCAACTTCCTCCACTTCAGGTTTTTCCTCAATGACAAGTTCAGCCTCAACCTCCTCCACTTCAGGCTTCTCCTCAATCACAAGTTCAGCCTCAACTTCCTCAACCTGAGGTTGTTCCTCAATAACAATTTCAGCCTCAACCTCCTCCACTTCTGGTTTCTCCTCAATCACAAGTTCAGCTTCGACGTCCTCCACTTGAGGTGTCTCCTCAATAATAAGTTCAGCTTCGACATCCTCCACTTGAGGTTTATCCTCAATGACGAGTTCAGCCTCAACTTCCTCCACTTCAGGTTTCTCCTCAATGACGAGTTCAGCCTCAAATTCCTCCACTTCAGGTTTCTCCTCAATGACAAGTTCAGCCTCAACCTCTTCCACTTCAGGTTTCTCCTCAATGACAAGTTCAGCTTCAACTTCCTCAACTTGAGGTTTCTCCTCAATCACAAGTTCAGCCTCAACCTCCTCAACTTGAGGTTTCTCCTCAATCACAAGTTCAGCCTCTACTTCCTCCACTTCAGGTTTCTCCTCAATGACAAGTTCAGCCTCAACTTCCTCCACTTCAGGTTTCTCCTCAATCACAAGTTCAGCCTCAACCTCTTCCACTTGAGGCTTCTCCTCAATGACAAGTTCAGCCTCAACTTCCTCCACTTCAGGTTTCTCCTCAATGACGAGTTCAGCCTCAACTTCCTCCACTTCAGGTTTCTCCTCAATCACAAGTTCAGCTTCGACTTCCTCCACTTGAGGTGTCTCCTCAATGACAAGTTCAGCCTCAACTTCCTCCACTTCAGGTTTCTCCTCAATGACAAGTTCAGCCTCAACTTCCTCCACTTCAGGTTTCTCCTCAATGACAATTTCAGCCTCAACTTCCTCCACTTGAGGCTTCTCCTCAATGACAAGTTCAGCCTCAACTTCCTCCACTTCAGGCTTCTCCTCAATGATGAGTTCAGCCTCAACTTCCTCCACTTCAGGCTTCTCCTCAATCACAAGTTCAGCTTCGACTTCCTCCACTTCAGGTGTCTCCTCAATAATAAGTTCAGCTTCGACTTCCTCCACTTGAGGTGTCTCCTCAATGACAAGTTCAGCCTCAACTTCCTCCACTTCAGGCTTCTCCTCAATCACAAGTTCAGCTTCGACTTCCTCCACTTGAGGTGTCTCCTCAATAATAAGTTCAGCTTCGACTTCCTCCACTTGAGGTGTCTCCTCAATGACAAGTTCAGCCTCAACTTCCTCCACTTCAGATTTCTCCTCAATCACAAGTTCAGCCTCAACTTCCTCCACTTCAGGTTTCTCCTCAATGACAAGTTCAGCCTCAACTTCCTCCACTTCAGGTTTCTCCTCAATGACAATTTCAGCCTCAACTTCCTCCAATTCAGGTTTCTCCTCAATCACAAGTTCAGCCTCAACTTCCTCCACTTCAGATTTGTCCTCAATGACAATTTCAGCCTCAACTTCCTCCACTTCAGGCTTCTCCTCAATCACAATTTCGGCTTCGACTTCCTCCACTTGAGGTGTCTCCTCAATAATAAGTTCAGCTTCGACTGCCTCCACTTGAGGTGTCTCCTCAATGACAAGTTCAGCCTCAACTTCCTCCACTTCAGGTTTCTCCTCAATGACAATTTCAGCCTCAACTTCCTCCACTTCAGGTTTCTCCTCAATGACAAGTTCAGCTTCAACTTCCTCCACTTCAGGTTTCTCCTCAATGACAATTTCAGCCTCAACCTCCTCCACTTCAGGCTTCTCCTCAATCACAAGTTCAGCTTCGACTTCCTCCACTTGAGGTGTCTCCTCAATAATAAGTTCAGCTTCGACTTCCTCCACTTGAGGTGTCTCCTCAATGACAAGTTCAGCTTCAACTTCCTCCACTTCAGGTTTCTCCTCAATGACAAGTTCAGCCTCAACTTCCTCCACTTCAGGTTTCTCCTCAATGACAATTTCACCTTCAACTTCCTCCACTTCAGGTTTCTCCTCAATGACAACTTCAGCCTCAACTTCCTCCACTTCAGGCTTCTCCTCAATCACAAGTTCAGCTTCGACTTCCTCCACTTGAGGTGTCTCCTCAATGACAAGTTCAGCCTCAACTTCCTCCACTTCAGATTTCTCCTCAATGACAAGTTCAGCCTCAACTTCCTCAACTTGAGGTTTTTCCTCAATGACAAGTTCAGCCTCAGCTTCCTCCACTTCAGGCTTCTCCTCAATGACAAGTTCAGCCTCAACCTCCTCCACTTCTGGTTTCTCCTCAATCACAAGTTCAGCTTCGACTTCCTCCACTTGAGGTGTCTCCTCAATAATAAGTTCAGCTTCCACTTCCTCCACTTGAGGTTTCTCCTCAATGACTATTTCAGCCTCAACCTCCTCAACTTGAGGTGTCTCCTCAATAACAAGTTCAGTCTTCATCTCCTCAACAACAGTTGTCTCTTCCTTGATTGAAATTTCAGCTTCAACTTCCTCAACCATTGGTTTTTCATCTTCAACAATAATTTCAGACTGAATTTCCTCAACAACTTGCTTCTCTTCCTCAACTGAGATTTCAGCTTCAATCTCCTCGACCACTGGTTTCTTGTCCTCAACAACAATTTCAGCTTGAACTTCCTCAACAACAGTCTTCTCTTCCTCAACTGAGATTTCAGCCTCAAATTCCTCAACCATTGGTTTTTTGTCCTCAACAACAATTTCAGCTTGAACTTCCTCGACAACTGTCTTCTCTTCCTCAAGTGAGATTTCAGCCTCAACTTCCTCAACCACTGGTTTTATGTCCTCAACAACAATTTCAGCTTGAACTTCCTCAACTACTGGCTTCTCTTCCTCAAGTGAGATTTCAGCCTCAATTTCCTCAACCATTGGTTTCTTGTCCTCAACAACAATTTCAGCTTGAACTTCCTCAACTACTGGCTTCTCTTCCTCAATTGAGATTTCAGCCTCAATTTCCTCAACCATTGGTTTTTTATCCTCAACAACAATTTCAGCTTGAACTTCCTCCACAACTGTCTTCTCTTCCTCAACTGAGATTTCAGCCTCAACTTCCTCAACCACTGGTTTTATGTCCTCAACAACAATTTCAGCTTCAACTTCCTCAACTACTGGTTCCTTTTCCTTAACTGAGATTTCAGCCTCAACTTCTTCAACCATTGGTTTTTTGTCCTCAACAACAATTTCAGCTTGAACTTCCTCAACTACGGGTTTCTCCTCCTCCTCAATGGAGATTTCTTCTTCAACTTCCTCAACCACTGGTTTCTCCTCTTCCTCAATAGAGATTTCAGCTTCAACCTCCTCAACCACTGGTTTCTCCTCTTCCTCAATGGAGATTTCAGCTTGAACTTCAACTACTGGTTTCTCCTCCTCCTCAATGGAGATTTCGGCTTGAACTTCTTCAACTACTGGTTTCTCCTCCTCCTCAATGGAGATTTCAGCTTGAACTTCCTCAACCACTGGTTTCTCCTCCTCCTCAATAGAGATTTCAGCTTCAACTTCCTCAACTACTGGTTTCTCCTCTTCCTCAATGGAGATTTCAGCTTCAACTTCCTCAACTACTGGTTTCTCCTCCTCAATGGAGATTTCGGCTTGAACTTCCTCAACTACTGGTTTCTCCTCCTCAATGGAGATTTCGGCTTGAACTTCCTCAACTACTGGTTTCTCCTCTTCCTCAATAGAGATTTCAGCTTGAACTTCCTCAACCACTGGTTTCTCCTCCTCCTCAATAGAGATTTCAGCTTCAACTTCCTCAACTACTGGTTTCTCCTCCTCCTCAATAGAGATTTCAGCTTGAACTTCCTCAACCACTGGTTTCTCCTCCTCCTCAATAGAGATTTCAGCTTCAACTTCCTCAACTACTGGTTTCTCCTCCTCCTCAATAGAGATTTCGGCTTGAACTTCCTCAACTACTGGCTCCTCCTCCTCAATAGAGAAGCTTCCTCAACTACTGGTTTCTCCTCCTCCTCAATAGAGATTTCAGCTTGAACTTCCTCAACTACTGGTTTCTCCTCCTCCTCAATTGAGATTTCAGCTTCAACTTCCTCAACCACTGGTTTCTCCTCCTCCTCAATAGAGATTTCAGCTTCAACTTCCTCAACCACTGGTTTCTCCTCCTCCTCAATAGAGATTTCAGCTTGAACTTCCTCAACTACTGGTTTCTCCTCCTCCTCAATGGAGATTTCAGCTTCAACTTCCTCAACTACTGGTTTCTCCTCCTCCTCAATGGAGATTTCAGCTTCAACCTCCTCAACTACTGGTTTCTCCTCCTCCTCAATAGAGATTTCAGCTTCAACTTCCTCAACCACTGGTTTCTCCTCATCCTCAATAGAGATTTCAGCTTCAACTTCCTCAACTACTGGTTTCTCCTCCTCCTCAATAGAGATTTCAGCTTCAACTTCCTCAACCACTGGTTTCTCCTCCTCCTCAATAGAGATTTCAGCTTGAACTTCCTCAACTACTGGTTTCTCCTCCTCAATAGAGATTTCAGCTTCAACTTCCTCAACTACTGGTTTCTCCTCCTCCTCAATAGAGATTTCAGCTTCAACCTCCTCAAGAACTGGTTTCTCCTCCTCCTCAATGGAGATTTCAGCTTCAACCTCCTCAACTACTGGTTTCTCCTCCTCCTCAATAGAGATTTCAGCTTGAACTTCCTCAACCACTGGTTTCTCCTCTTCCTCAATGGAGATTTCAGCTTCAACTTCCTCAACCACTGGTTTCTCCTCTTCCTCAATGGAAATTTCGGCTTGAACTTCCTCAACTACTGGTTTCTCCTCCTCCTCAATAGAGATTTCAGCTTCAACTTCCTCAAGAACTGGTTTCTCCTCCTCCTCAATGGTGATTTCGGCTTGAACTTCAACTACTGGTTTCTCCTCTTCCTTAATAGAGATTTCAGCTTCAACTTCCTCAACCACTAGTTTCTCCTCCTCCTCAATGGAGATTTCGGCTGGAACTTCCTCAACAACTGGTTTCTCCTCTTCCTCAATGGAGATTTCAGCTTCAACTTCCTCAACTACTGGCTTCTGCTCAATGGAGATTTCGGCTTGAACTTCCTCAACTACTGGTTTCTCCTCCTCCTCAATGGAGATTTCGGCTTGAACTTCCTCAACTACTGGTTTCTCCTCCTCCTCAATAGAGATTTCAGCTTCAACTTCCTCAACTACTGGTTTCTCCTCCTCCTCAATGGAGATTTCGGCTTGAACTTCCTCAACTACTGGTTTCTCCTCCTCCTCAATGGAGATTTCAGCTTGAACTTCCTCAACCACTGGTTTCTCCTCCTCCTCAATAGAGATTTCAGCTTCAACTTCCTCAACTACTGGTTTCTCCTCCTCCTCAATGGAGATTTCAGCTTCAACTTCCTCAACTACTGGTTTCTCCTCCTCCTCAATGGAGATTTCAGCTTCAACTTCCTCAACTACTGGTTTCTCCTCCTCCTTTCAGCTTGAACTTCCTCAACCACTGGTTTCTCCTCCTCCTCAATAGAGATTTCATTTTCCTCAACTACTGGTTTCTCCTCCTCCTCAATGGAGATTTCAGCTTCCCTCAACTACTGGTTTCTCCTCCTCCTCAATGGAGATTTCGGCTTCAACTTCCTCAACTACTGGTTTCTCCTCCTCCTCAATAGAGATTTCAGCTTCAACTTCCTCAACCACTGGTTTCTCCTCCTCCTCAATGGAGATTTCAGCTTCAACTTCCTCAACTACTGGTTTCTCCTCCTCCTCCTCAATGGGTGATTTCGGCTTGAACTTCAACTACTGGTTTCTCCTCTTCCTCAATAGAGATTTCAGCTTCAACTTCCTCAACCACTAGTTTCTCCTCCTCCTCAATAGAGATTTCAGCTTGAACTTCCTCAACAACTGGTTTCTCCTCCTCAATGGAGATTTCAGCTTCAACCTCTTCAACTACTGGCTTCTCCTCCTCAATGGAGATTTCAGCTTCAACTTCCTCCTGTTTTTCTTCTTGGACAGGGATTTCTTCCAAAGTGGTTTCTGATTCTTCTTCAATCTCCTACAGTAGAATGTGAGTTTGATATGATGCATCTCATCACTACCAGTTGCTCATTCGCTACGTCGTGTTTGGACAGTTTTAGATAGAGAGCAAGTGAACGGCAAAGCATAGGTAACATGTCTTGCCAACAACCATGCAAGTATGGCAAACCACTAAACACAGGTTAACAGGCAACACAGTGGATCACATTCAAAGGGAGCATCTACCCTCAAGAAAATATGAAAATACAGAAAGATATGAATGTTTAGCTGCATGAATATAGTTCTGGAACCTCCTTTGACAGCCATGTCACATAATATTGGAACAGGAGTGGACTGAAGAAACCCATGATCAAAACTGAATCTGATATTAAACCCTGTAACAGCTAATCCTTTTACAACTAAGGGACATAACTCTGCACAGTGACCTATGCTTCATCTATTTGCTCGTCCTTCCTGCATTTGGGGGCATGTGCACACATAATAGTGTGTCAAAGTTGATGCAATATTTTAGAGTGAGTGAGTGAGACTGGTTTTACTCAGCTTTTAGCAATATTTCAACATATCTAGACACCAGAATGGGGTTCATAGATTGTACCCATGTGGGGGAATCAAACCCAGATCTTTGGTGTGACAAAAAAACGCTTAAACCACTAGGCTACCCCAAGATCCTCGATATTTTAGAAACATCTTGAGAGTAGATGCTGTACAGGAAACACAGGGAATGGTGTTGTGGAAAAACATTGATAACAACCATGTGAATAATGAACTAAATATACAGACAACCACACTGAAATAAATATACTTCATTAGAACAACACAAAAAATAAAAATATAATAGCACAAAGAAAAACAGTTTGATTGTTCAACCTCTGTTAAATTCGTGTGAAGCGTATTTTAACAAACGGCAGTTTAGTAACAACATGTCGAACTTGGTTAATCAGCGAGAAAGTTTGCGCGATTATTGATGACTATTTGCCTTGGAACAGGGTATGCATTTGGGCTTGCATTCAAACTTTGAGGAACCAAATTTTGAATAATCAATTTCCATAGCAACAGCATTTTTATGGAGAAGAATACAATAGTACCCTGTTGGGGCAAATGTCATCACAACAAAACACAAGAGTCAACAGGAAACATGACCAAGATGAGTAAGATGAATATAATGAACAAAACAAACACTGTTTTAAAGAACAAATTGTGAATAAACAAAAATAAAATAATGAATGAATATTCCAAACACAAGTTGTGATGTCAATAGAACTGTGTGCAATAATCACAACCATTAAAACATGTTAATAATAACATCAAGGCCAAACAATATTTAGTAAAATATGCGCAATTAAGTTAAAAGTGTCCAAAATTCAAAAAGAATTAGCATGTTCAGAGAATATGTTATGGCTTTGCTGTGCCCGGGCAATTCAAACTTTTTCCAAAAGGATTTTCTAGGTCAACAGACAAAAGACAAAGAAAAGATCATTTGAAGTAATTTCCTAAAACTGACTCTTGAAATATTCATTTTGAGGATAAATACCAATTTCAATCAGCATTCAAATTTCATTGACTTAAGGCATGTCTGGGGTATGGAAAAAGAAATTAAATTGTAAAATGAAAATATTCTCTGAACATATTAAATAACTCATCACACCAAAAATTGAAAGAAAGATCATTTCTATCCATATCCCTTAAAAAGTCTCTTATTAAACATCTTCCTATACTGACAACGTACTGAATAAAAAACGCTGTGGATCATGAATATCATGGAAAATATTGTCTTTGCAGTGATGATTCAGCTGACAATTTGATAAATATTTTTTAGCAAATATTTTACTGATCACTGACTAGTTTTGTTCAGCACATTATAATGTCATAGTTATTTCTATCATTTTTTCTAAAATTTGAAAAGATTCAAACATAAAAAATAACCTTTCTTTCAACACCAAAGGTTTACCTGAAAATAATTTATTAATGACACTTCCAAATGACAGTTTCTGTTATAAATCTTTAATAAATTGTGCTTTCATGAACAGATGTGCATGTTGGTTCTTGTTAGAAATGGATTGTTTAGTTCCAGGAACAATTTCAGACTTGCTGTCAAAACAATTTGTGCTGAATTTATCCTTCACACTTTTTTAACAAAAGTGCCATAAATACAGGTGTGTGTAGGTGCTAGCACATTGTGCACATTAATTTTACACAAAATCAAAATTTAGGAGAAATAAAATTGCTTCACAATTGAGAAGTGATAACAATACAGAGGTAGACAATCGTACACCTTTTTATTGGTAAAATATTTCAAGTGTAGTTAATCCTACCTGAACCTCCTCTGTGACTGTGATGTCAGTCTCTACGACAGAAATCTGTTGTTTCATCACCTTCACCTGTTCCCGGGCCTAGAAATATAATGAATAATGCCAATGAAACAACATTGATACAATTTAAAACAGCATTTAAACTGAGAGTGGCAGCACAAGCTTGATCCCTCTCAAGTTCCTATAGGACCATCCTCACTATATACTGGATGAAACATCTGCATACAGTGATGAACATCAGTTGTAAAATCCCCGGGCTTTGTCATACCAAAAAGGATAACAAACAGGTGCTTCTTATAGTTACCCTGCCTATCATGACATTCTCACTGGTACACATGACAACGACCTTTAGTGTCAGAGTGTGGCTGGTGATCAAACCACTGACTATCTGCTCTCTGGGCAGATACTCTACCTACTAGATGGAAGCCACCCATAGTAAATGGGTCTGTACTTATGTTCTTCATTCTGATAATGACAAGCTGTTACCCAACACCCTAAGTGCATCAGTGACTTCAGTACTGCATCCCACATGCAACAAGTCTGATCCTTTGCATGGACTTATAAAGACTTCAATGGATTCCCAGTTCGCTAAAGACAAACCAGCATTATCTGACATTCCACTCACCTTGTATCCACGGAAGGCTGACTGTATTTTGATGGCTGCCTGCTCCGCTGTATCTTCTGGAAGAATCTCCTCAGCTTCCTCCTCATGCTTCGAGCTGATGGAGCTGGTCTCGGAGATACTCTCTGTAACACACATGTATATGCATAGCCAAGTTGATAATGACATGTGGCAACACAAATCATTAGGTTGCAGGATGAAGTCAAAATATATTTGATGAAATTCACACAGCAGATCTTGCCTTGCTTATGACTCACCAATGATTGTGTGACTGGATCTATTCTGATCTGACTCATCTATGAACTTAAGATTGGATCACATCTTTATGTAACTCATACATGAACTTGAGATTGGATCACATCTTTATCTGACTCACCTTTTTCTGTAAGATTGGATCACATCTTTATTCGACTTACCAATGATTGTGAGGATAGCTTGGCACTCCACCTGGCCAACATCGTTCTTGGCCATGACAGAGTATGTTCCGGCATCCTCTGGGTAGGCTTCTGGCAGAACCAGAGCACTCTCTCCATCTGGGCCGGGGACAATCTGGTAGATGTCGTCAGACTTGAGGGGAGTTCCATCATGATACCACACAACACTAGGTGCTGGTTCACCCTTCACCTTGCACTCGAAACGTGCAGTTTCACGTTCACGAACACTGACATCTTGTATCTTAATGATGAACTCTGGAGCAACAAGTATTGGTTTCTCCTCCTGAAAGAGAATTCAACATGTATACTGGACTGCAAAAACATATATTTATTTTAAAACAAGATCCTCTGTAAAAGGACAAGCGTGCCTAAGTTGGGTTTTACGCTGCTTTTAGCAATATTCCAGCAATATCATGGCAGGGGACACCAGAAATGGGCTTCACACATTGTGCCCATGTGGGGAATCGAACACGGTTCTTTGGCATGATGAACGATCACTGTAAACACTAGGCAATCCTATCGCTCCTTAAAAGGACAAGAAGTAATAGTCTCCAGAAAATCAAACCCCGAACCCCCTGATGCATCATCTTCCAAGATAGATCATGTCAGCATAAACTTGATTACATTCCAGTTTTCTTACCTCAATGGAGACCTCTGCAGTTGGGATTTCCTCAATGACCTCAGGTGCTGTTTCTTCCACGACCTCCTCTTGTTCAGTGCTGTGGAAATAAAATCGAACGCCATGTACAACTTGTGTATACAACATGGCAACCAATTCCTGTGGATGTGATAAAACATTATGTTCAACTTCTGTATATATAGTATCGAGTGATCACCTGTACTGTATATACACAATATGCTCAACTCTGTATACATAGTATCAAGTGATTACCTGTGCTGTAGATATCATATAACACTATTTTCGACTCTGGACACAAATTATAAAGTGATTTCCTCTACTGTAGATATGATACAACGCTGTGTACAACTTCCATACAAAATATATTTCAATGAATTCACAAATTGTAGCACATTTAGCTTTTGGTTATCTACACAAACTCTGAATTCAACTTGTGTATTCAATATATCAAACAGCTTTTGTAGTTAACATAGAACTCGAAACACCACATAATTATGCTATTACTGAATATCAAAGACCAGGATTAGAAGCAGGAATATGTATATATTGTTAGGATGAATATAATCTTTGACTAAGAATCGCTGAGACAGCTGTTAAAACATTACATTGGTTACAAAAAGCTGAAAATGATGCAAAACTGTCACCTCGGTAATGAGAAGACATTGCATGAAAATATATTAGTCTAAAATGAATTAAATAAATACGACAAAGAGTATTAAACTAAATATATCTGAGAATGTCCCTTATGGATACAATAGCCAAAGACTAAAGAGAAGTGCGGAGAAAAATGATATTAGAGAATATATGACGCATGGACTCTTTAACTTTTAATATGAATAACATATATTCAGAAAGTCCCAGCAGGTTAGGATGTGACAGAGTGTGGCTGTAGAGTGCATGATGGACAGTCGTGGTGCAAGGAGTGAGTGTACATGGTTACATAGTGTCATGTGGACAGAAAGGTCATTTCCTTGGTGCAGTCATTGATGTATATGGAAAAGCATATTCTCCCAAATATGGTTTCAGAATATCTGAAAACTTTCAGGAACTTGGATTGCAAAGGGTTATTAAAGGATTTGGGATGCTTCCAAACTCCATTTCTGTTACCAGAGAGTATATTAATAGTACAGGTTTTTGGACACAACTTTGTTACATTTTGGAGCTTGTGCAGAGCTATGGTAATTCAGAGAAACCAGGTGTCTTGAAGGTCCAAGTGCAGGGTTACCTCTTTGATTAAAAATAGATGATGAGGCATAATGAGACAGGTGGAAAATGTGCAATAAGACCAAGATGAGCTGGTTACCACAGCACATTGAGATGTTAATGACCAATACCATTAGGAGTAGAAATGTTCAAGCTTTGTAGAGAGGCGCCGACTATCAGGTCCAGCCACTGACCAAGACTTACGTGAGTGAAATATGCTTAGTGGATGTATTTTGACCTTCCTTTAAGAGATGTCGGAAGTCCATTTGTTTTACTGAGTGATGCACTCCGACTTTGTTGTCCTCCTGTTGAATTAATGTTGACATCAATCTTATTACAACATTCACATGCAGAATATAATACAAAAAAAATAAATAAATAAAAAAAAATGAAGATAATCTTAATTAATGGACACACTAACTACCATCTAGATTCAGTCAGGAAAGTTTGAGAAATCAAACATAAGTCAATAAATCAAACAATATGTAATAATTTCTTCACACATTACTGATAACATGACCCTTCAGCAGGAAACATGCAGGGGGTTATTGAATTAATTTTAACTCAGATTCTGTCTCTCCCATACACTGGAAGCATTATATGTTTACTAAGTTTAAATGGAAAATAGAATGACAAAAGAATGAAAGCTCATTACCATTTTTACAGTCACAGCTAATTCTAACATTCCACAATTTAAATGATTTGCTTTCCAGGAATATTTCAAAACACTTAATGGGATTACATGGGATAATTTTTATAGTTCCTTTGTCTAGTTTATAGTCAGTAATTCTCATTGACACATATGTGATAATTTGATGTCATGGGTGTTCTCAGTTCTCAGTCTTATGGAACACTCAAGCTTGTCATGAAGTAAACTTCCTGAATAGAAACAGATTTCACTGATAACTTTCCAATCGTGACTTTAATATGTTTCATATCAAAACTCCTCATTTTCATGTAAACTTTCTAAAAGGACAATCAGAATATGACCTTGTAAATTATGAGAAACAAAGGGACATTGAGAAACAAAATGGGTTTGGAAAAATAGCAAAATAAAATCAATTGCGAAAACAATCATATACACTGCACTTTGTTTAAACCAGCATCTCCATTAACTGGCAACCTCTGTATACCAGCACTTACCTCCTGGTCATGAGAGTAGGTAACATTCAGCACTCTCTTATCCATCATCCTCTTTAAAGCAGCCTCGATTCTGCCTCTTAGCAATGCTGGTTTACACAGAGTGAACTACTGTCACAACAGGCACGAATATTTACTGCATTCAGTGGACAATTACAACCACGACTAAACTACTCTGAAGAGAATATAGTATTGATATACATACACTCTTGTCTTCAGGGCAGATCGGAAGTCCACTTGTTCCACAACTTCTTCTAAAGGAAACAAAAAAATACTGTCAGTTTCAACAGATATTTCTGTAGAAAAGTTTTGCAAATTTTTTCCTTCATACATATTTTAAATGACTTCTAAATCACAGAGCTGATTTTAATATCCTCTGACAATCATTTTTATCAGCATTCAGTTTTCACTGACATGAATGTGACAGGAGTGAAAGACACTCATTTTATGTATTTGTGAAAGTCTTCTTTTTACCTATGTTCTAGCCATAAGAGACTGTTCAGAAGCACGTACAATGTGAATGCCACCCCACCCCCAAAAACAATTATGTACAAAGCAAGTGACCCCCCTGCATACCATGTACAAAATTGATGACACCTACCTCCCCAGAACAAAATGGGTGGCCCCACCTAAAATCCTTCTCCTCCCCCTCCCTCCCCACAGCCATGAATTATGAATGATCCCTTAGAGGACATCAAGAACATATCATGAGCACAAGTTATTAAATCAGTGTCAAGTTGCGAGGGCGGTGGGGTAGCCTAATGGTTAAAGCATTGGCTCGTCACGCCGAAGACCCGGGTTCGAATCCCCACATGGGTACAATGTGTGAAGCCCATTTCTGGTGTCCCCCGCCGTGATGTTGCTGGAATATTGCTAAAAGCGGAGTAAAACCAAACTCAGTCAGTCAGTCAAGTAGCGAAGATACCAGATATCCATGTGAAGGCATCCGTGAAGACATACCTCTGACAACAAGAGACACTTTCACTGAGGCTTCACCATGTTCGTTAGTGGCGATGACTTCATAATTCCCAGCGTCTTCGGGAGTGGCTTGGTCAATCTCCAGACTCACGTGATACATGTGCACATCTTTGTTGATTTTCACATGATGACGATCGGTAGGTTCGATCTTCACACCATCACGTTGCCACACGATCTCAGGTTCAGGAAGGGCCACAACTCTTCCCTCGAAGACGACATTGGTTTTCTCGTCCACGTTCTGGAACTTGGGTTTCTGCTGGAAGGTGGGTGCGATTCCCTCAACCTTCTCAACTGTCTCTTCAACAGTTTCCTCGACGGTTTCTTCAACTGTTTATAAACCATTAAGTAATGATTAGTTATGAAATGCAGATTTCCATGATACACTGCAATATGTTATCAGTTACAATTCGACATTCATTGCGACTCTACTCATCATGCAAAACACCATGCAGGAAAAAACATGTTGACGTTGGCTCTTTGGAGTTTAGTTTATACTAAACATAAAAGTTAAAAATCATGAATATCTTTCATTTTTTTGGTGGTGAAGACAAAAATGTTCATGATCCTCAACTTGTTTTGTTCGATATGGACAAAATTTCTGTTATTTGCACAATGAAAAAATGACCACTTACACATGCAGACTCTCATTACAATTCTATTGAGGAAAATCAATTCCTGTTTCCAGTATATAAGACAGACTAAGTTTATATCTCTACAGGAGAATATAAATAAATTAAATATAAATCAAACATTTTTGTTACTTTTATTATTATATGTCTAATATTTATTGTTATATGTTTTATCCAATTACCTGTATTTTATTCTATCAAACATTACATCGTTATTATTCTCAAGTTCACATTCTTTAATCCTTTCTCCTGCTACATAGCCTCTACCTTGGAAAGAAACATGACCTTTCCAAACATACATTAAACCCCCAAAAAGGCTAAAAAAATAATTTTTCTTGGGCATTAACTCTTCACCTGGAATCCTGAATGTCAATCATTTTATTGTGAGAGAGAGAGTTTTTATTCAGTAAAGGGGCCACAGGCCCATTATACATCAGGTGTACAGAACATACAATTATTAGAGCACCGTACAACATCATGAGAGCTGCACAATTATACATTTGTGGGTACGAAGGCTGAAAGAAATTTATTTCGTTTTTTCATGGCAAAAAATAGATATTTTGCAAGACAATTTATAATATAAGTATTCTTTGATGTAAACAACTGGGCTAATTTCACTTCAGATGGATATATGTGATAATATGTAGGGAGGATATCATTTCTTAATTTCTCATTTTATTAGTAATACAGATATTACAATATTTTAGCATTTTCATCATGATAATAGTACAGTAAGTAGATTCTGTTATCAGTAAGATGTCATGCTTGTGCCCATTTGTATTTGTTGGTATTTTTGGTTTGAACAAAATGAAACTCTTCACTTTCAAGAAAAATATGACAGAAAAAAGCTTTTTGTGCAGCCTAATTATTCCAGAAAAACCTGTCTAAAACCAAAACAACAGTTCTTTTCTATGTAAATATTATTAAATTTTCACCTTCTACATGGAGCTGGGCAGAAGTGGAAGCAGTGCCGTGGGCATTTTCTGCAATAACTTCATAAACACCAGCATCTTCTGGGAATATCTCAGGAATATACAGCATGCAAAGATCATCATTGTAAGTAATCTGGAACTCGTCGGAGGACACAATGATCTGCCCATCTCTAAACCAGTTAATGTTGGGAGGAGACATGCAGGAGACACGACACACAAGACGGGCAGAGCTGCCGTCCTTCACAGACATGTTCTCCAAGAACTGGGAGAACTCAGGGTATTCCTTCTCCTGGGAAGCTTCTGAAAGGTAATCAAGCCCACATGCTTTGTGAGTTAGTGAGTGAATGTTGTTTGACCTATTGTCAGCAATTTTACAGTTATATCATTCAGATGGTCAAACCAGTGGTTGATAGCATGAGTGAGTGAGTGAGTATAGTTTTATGCCGTTTTTAGCAATATTCCACAATATCATGGCGGGAACACCAGAAATGGGCTTCATACATTGTATCCATGTGGGGAATTGAACCCAGGTTGTCAGCATGATGAGTGAACGCTTCAACCACTAGGCTTTCCCACCACTCCTTTGATAGTATGACGAGACTGAGGGATGGGGGTCAGAGATATAAAACATCCATGCCCGAGAATAGATCTTGAATATATGCAGAAACAGATGGATTATGGATTTAACATAAATACCTACACTAGGGTGCTCATAGTCCAAGACTTGGGAGACTGTCTCTGAACCTGCTGTGTGTTTGCAACATGTTGAACATGTCAGCCATTGCCAGCAGCCGTTATTGGTGATACCACACTGCAAGCACCTAGTTTCGTCTCTGAATGTTTCCTCAGCAAACAAACTACATGCAAACTAAGCATTGACTATCACCCATTCATAATAATGACTACCAGCAAAACAGTTCCTGGTACAAACTGACTGAGTAGCAATATTCCAGCAACATCACGGAGGGGACACCAGAAATGGGCTTCACACATTGTAGCCATGTGGGGATTCAACCCAGGTCAACTTTAACCACTAGGCTACCCTACCGCCCCTTTCCTGGTACAAAGCTGAGGGAGATCCTTTATACAAGATCCTTTCAGTCCAGGTATTGCTACAATGCAGCAAACCATGGTTGTATTGAAGTCCAAAGGACAACTAATTTTAGGGTGTTTTCATAACCACGGTTCATTGTACAAATACCGACTATAACAGCAAAGGGCTGGGACCAACAAACCGTTGTGAATTCTGTCAGTTCATTCTGAGCATGTTTGTTATAAACATAGTTTACTGGGTTTGAATCTAATCCAAGTGAAACTGAAGAGAATCTCCACAAACCTGCTAAAGATAGTTGTACAGTTTCTTCGATTTCTTTCCTTTCTTCATCAGATACAACTTCCTTCTCTTCTTCTAAAACAACAAAACAATTGTTCAGATTGAGGTCAATAGTAAAGAGAACAAAATGAAACTTTTATCAGTATATGCGATTTTGAGCTTAAGTCAGTGTGTGAGTTTGATGTAAGCACAAAGTAATGCGAATCCGCCACATTGGTCAAACCAATGAGAAGGTATTTTACTGACATCTCTACCCCTTCTCTACCCATTATGTCAGATTTTTCATTACAATTTCAGGTAGTTCTTATGTTCAAATTTAAACCCAATAGACCCAGTGACTGCAGTTTGTATGGCATGCAATAAAACGAGTGCAATAAGTCATGGGAAGAAAGTGCATGTTGTATAAAATGGTCAGCTGAATATTCTTCAAGTGTGTCAAGATGGTATCAGTGAGCCTAGAGTGGACATAAATTATTTTGAGTGCATCGGTGTTCACTCCATAAGCTACCGGTCATTGTTACAGAGACCAGCAGGTTATAGCAATATTCCAGCAATCTCATAGAAGGGAGCAGAGAGATGTGGAACAGGCTTTCGCCATGACAAGACAAAAATTTCAGCACATTGCTAACTTCATTTTTACAACCCAACACCCCATTGTTACAATCCTATGCTCTATTGTTACAATCCACACCCCATTGTTACAATCCTATGCTCTATTGTTACAACCCAGCACTCCATTGTTACAATCCTATGCTTTATTGTTACTATCCTACAATCCTGTTGTCACAACTGTGGTGATGAATACATCCCTGGTTGGTTGTTTATCGCCCGCACTCAGCAATATTCCAGCTATATGGCGGTGGTCTGTAAATAATCAAGTCTGGGCCAGACAATCCAGTGATCAACAGCATAAGCATCAATCTACTCAATTGGGAAACGATGACATGTGTCAACCAAGTCAGCGAGCCTGACCACCTGATCCCGAAAGTCGCTTTTTACGACAAGCATGGGTTGCTGAAGATCAATTCTTCACAGGTTAATACATTCCTGAACCTACCTGCAGTAAGTCTCTCTTTTTCAGAAAGCACTTCCTCCTCTGAGGGTGCTTTGTCAACAGGACCTGGAGGTAGGAATGTAATACTATTAGGACCACTCAGACACTGACACAAGCATAAATCTCTAAATATATACTAGAATTAATTCTATTTATTACCAATTACAAAATTTTATAAATTAAATAATATTCTAACTTCCATATTTATGATCAAATTCTTGTTAAGATTTATATATACAGGAAAATTAATGGATAACTATTTCAAATGTTAAAATGCATCACTACTATTTAAAAAAAGTAATTATGAATCATGTTGCAACTGTAAAAAAAACTGTAAAGTCATTAGGGACACAGGAGGGGTTTCTAGGGTTCATACATCAAGTGTCACAGGAAGAATACATCTATACAGTGCTCACTGTACAACATATACATTAACATGAACATGGTATGTATATAAATATATAGAGTTACATAGAGAGTGTAGATATATATCTCACAATACTAAAAGCGATGAGCTATATAAATAGAAGGACTAAACATGGGTTGCACATTACAAAACACATGGAAACACACATGTGTATGTGAATCTGACGTAAAACAATGAATTGTAATTATGTTTTTTTCTAAAAGCAGTTGAAAATCACACATGCAATTTCTGTCATGTACTTGCCAGCATATATCTTCTTATAACCTTTCTTATAGTATTCTTGAACTTGGTGACAAGTGTAGTATGTTTTTTTCAATTCAGTGGGCCAACAAGTTGAATTTTATCTTGACAAGTTTCGAAGCATTCATATTCTCAACATAAATCTTAAAACTAAATGAACAAAAAGTTTTAAAAAGTAAAACTAAAGACAAAATTAGAAAATAATGCTCAAAATAACAATTGTCAAAATTTATGTTTACACAGAGACCAAACGGTAAGATTCTTTGACAATCAGTATTTTAAAGCACCATGAGAAAGTATCAGTGCAGAAGAGTTCCAAAATAAAAACAATTAATCAAGGAAGTTAAACAGATTACCTGCACTGAACGTTACCATCATGGAAAAATGCAAGGTAATTCAAATATATTTGTTTCAGTCTTAAAAAACTATTTAACAAAGAAACAGTTTATTCTTTCTCCATGATGATATCAACTAAAACTGTCTAACTTTCTAATCATGCAGAACAAAATGTACAGAGATTAGTTCAACAAACTGACAAAAATATTTTACATTTTTCAATATGAAATGAACAAAATACACACAGACATGCCAAAAAGAATTTCAACATAAAAAAACAAAGTCCATATCAAATTATAAACATACTGGAACTAAATATATATTAACATCACCAAAAACAACTGAATTAACAAGATGATCAGTTGTGATAAATAACTTAAATGTAAGCTTAAATGTTAGACTGCAGATTCTATTTGTTATATTCTAGAAAAATGAAAATAATCCTGTGAAGAATATGATCAGTCAAACAGAGTACAACTCAGCCAAGTAGCTCAGAACATTCATCAACTCAGCCAATGAGCACATTTTATACAATTTCTACCTTCTTCATCATCGTGGGGGGCCATCTTTACTTCCTCAGTATCTATTGAAATATCCTGAGTACCTGAGAGCTTTTCGACAGGAGTTACATGATCTAACTGATCAAGGTCAGTAATTTCAGAAGGAAGAGCTGCAGATTTGTCAGGCTCCTGGGCCACATCTTCATCTGACCATTCAGATAATTCATCATCGGTGATGTCAGATTCATCAGACAGAGCAATAAGTTTCTCTTCATCTTTAATAATAAGCTTTTCTGAAATACCAACTGTTTCTTCTTCATCTGAAACATCGAAGTCTGTAAGTTCCTTCACAGCAGTTATTTCAGTTGTAACTTCTGTCTCTGCAATTTCTTTTTCAGGAGATTCTTCAATTATCAATTCTGACCCAACCTCCTCCCTTTCAGGAGCTTCCTCAACAATTACTTCAGCCTCAACCTCTTCCTGTTCTGGTTTTTCCTCAAGAATCACTTCTGCTTCCACTTCTTCCTCTTTTGGAATAATGACAAGTTCTTCCTTGTGCTTTTCAACACCTTCCTCGGGTATATCTTCTGTGATTTCCTCAAGGACAATTTCTTTAGTCTCAACCTCCTCCTTTTCAGGTGCTTCTTCAATGGTAACTTCAGCTTCAACCTCCTCCGTAGGAACTTCCTCAAGAGTTACTTCTGCCTCAACCTCCTCCTTTTCAGGAGCTTCCTCAATAGTTACTTCTGCCTCAACCTCTTCCTGTTCTGGTTTTTCCTCAAGAATCACTTCTGCTTCCACTTCTTCCTCCTTTGGAGCTTCTGTGATTTCTTTTGTCACTTCAATAGTTTCTCTGAAAACAGTTTCAGTGATGTCTTCTGGTGCTGTCACTTCAACTTCAGTGATAACAGGTTCAGTCTTGGGAGCTATGACAATCTCTTCCTTGTGTTTCTCAACATCCTCCTCAGGAATTTCCTCTGTTATTTCTTCAGTTGTCACTTCACTGACTTCAGTAGTTGTTTCCTCAACTTCAGTGACAACAGGTTCGGCTTTGGGAGTAATGACAATTTCTTCCTTGTATTTCTCAACACCTTCCTCGGGTACTTCCTCAGTTATTTCCTCGGATATTACCTCACTGACTTCAGTGGTTGTTTCCTCAACTTCAGTGACAACAGGTTCAACTTCAGTAATGACAACAGGTCTTCCTTTTGCTTTTCAATGACATATCTTCTTCCTTGTCAAGCTTTTTCAACACCTCCTCCTCAGGTATATCTTCTGTGATTTCAGCTTCAACCTCCTCCGTGGAATTTCAAGAGTTAGTTCTGCCTCAACCTCCTCCTTTTCAGGAGCTTCCTCAATAGTTACTTCTGCCTCAACCTCTTCCTCTTCAGGTGCTTCTTCAATGGTAACTTCAGCTTCAACCTCCTCCGTAGGAACTTCCTCAAGAGTTACTTCTGCCTCAACCTCCTCCTTTTCAGGAGCTTCCTCAATAGTTACTTCTGCCTCAACCTCTTCCTGTTCTGGTTTTTCCTCAAGAATCACTTCTGCTTCCACTTCTTCCTCCTTTGGAGCTTCCGTGATTTCTTTTGTCACTTCAATAGTTTCTCTGAAAACAGTTTCAGTGATGTCTTCTGGTGCTGTCACTTCAACTTCAGTGATAACAGGTTCAGTCTTGGGAGCTATGACAATCTCTTCCTTGTGTTTCTCAACATCCTCCTCAGGAATTTCCTCTGTTATTTCTTCAGTTGTCACTTCACTGACTTCAGTAGTTGTTTCCTCAACTTCAGTGACAACAGGTTCGGCTTTGGGAGTAATGACAATTTCTTCCTTGTATTTCTCAACACCTTCCTCGGGTACTTCCTCAGTTATTTCCTCGGATATTACCTCACTGACTTCAGTGGTTGTTTCCTCAACTTCAGTGACAACAGGTTCAGTTTTGGGAGTAATGACAAGTTCTTCCTTGTGCTTTTCAACACCTTCCTCGGGTATATCTTCTGTGATTTCCTCAAGGACAATTTCTTTAGTCTCAACCTCCTCCTTTTCAGGTGCTTCTTCAATGGTAACTTCAGCTTCAACCTCCTCCGTAGGAACTTCCTCAAGAGTTACTTCTGCCTCAACCTCCTCCTTTTCAGGAGCTTCCTCAATAGTTACTTCTGCCTCAACCTCTTCCTGTTCTGGTTTTTCCTCAAGAATCACTTCTGCTTCCACTTCTTCCTCCTTTGGAGCTTCCGTGATTTCTTTTGTCACTTCAATAGTTTCTCTGAAAACAGTTTCAGTGATGTCTTCTGGTGCTGTCACTTCAACTTCAGTGATAACAGGTTCAGTCTTGGGAGCTATGACAATCTCTTCCTTGTGTTTCTCAACATCCTCCTCAGGAATTTCCTCTGTTATTTCTTCAGTTGTCACTTCACTGACTTCAGTAGTTGTTTCCTCAACTTCAGTGACAACAGGTTCGGCTTTGGGAGTAATGACAATTTCTTCCTTGTATTTCTCAACACCTTCCTCGGGTATTTCCTCAGTTATTTCCTCGGATATTACCTCACTGACTTCAGTGGTTGTTTCCTCAACTTCAGTGACAACAGGTTCAGTTTTGGGAGTAATGACAAGTTCTTCCTTGTGCTTTTCAACACCTTCCTCGGGTATATCTTCTGTGATTTCCTCAAGGACAATTTCTTTAGTCTCAACCTCCTCCTTTTCAGGTGCTTCTTCAATGGTAACTTCAGCTTCAACCTCCTCCGTAGGAACTTCCTCAAGAGTTACTTCTGCCTCAACCTCCTCCTTTTCAGGAGCTTCCTCAATAGTTACTTCTGCCTCAACCTCTTCCTGTTCTGGTTTTTCCTCAAGAATCACTTCTGCTTCCACTTCTTCCTCCTTTGGAGCTTCCGTGATTTCTTTTGTCACTTCAATAGTTTCTCTGAAAACAGTTTCAGTGATGTCTTCTGGTGCTGTCACTTCAACTTCAGTGATAACAGGTTCAGTCTTGGGAGCTATGACAATCTCTTCCTTGTGTTTCTCAACATCCTCCTCAGGAATTTCCTCTGTTATTTCTTCAGTTGTCACTTCACTGACTTCAGTAGTTGTTTCCTCAACTTCAGTGACAACAGGTTCGGCTTTGGGAGTAATGACAATTTCTTCCTTGTATTTCTCAACACCTTCCTCGGGTATTTCCTCAGTTATTTCCTCGGATATTACCTCACTGACTTCAGTGGTTGTTTCCTCAACTTCAGTGACAACAGGTTCAGTTTTGGGAGTAATGACAAGTTCTTCCTTGTGCTTTTCAACACCTTCCTCGGGTATATCTTCTGTGATTTCCTCAAGGACAATTTCTTTAGTCTCAACCTCCTCCTTTTCAGGTGCTTCTTCAATGGTAACTTCAGCTTCAACCTCCTCCGTAGGAACTTCCTCAACCTCAACCTCTCCTTTTCGGGCTTCTTTTCTCAATAGTTGCTTCTGTTACTTCTGCCTCAACCTCCTCCTTTTCAGGAGCTTCCTCAATAGTTACTTCTGCCTCAACCTCTTCCTGTTCTGGTTTTTCCTCAAGAATCACTTCTGCTTCCACTTCTTCCTCCTTTGGAGCTTCCGTGATTTCTTTTGTCACTTCAATAGTTTCTCTGAAAACAGTTTCAGTGATGTCTTCTGGTGCTGTCACTTCAACTTCAGTGATAACAGGTTCAGTCTTGGGAGCTATGACAATCTCTTCCTTGTATTTCTCAACTTCCTTCCTCCGGTATTTCATCAGTTGTCACTTCACTCACTTCAGTAGTTCTTTCCTCAACTTCAGTCACATCAGGTTGAGGTTGGAGAGAAATTACTATTTCTTCCTTGTGTTTCTCAACACCCTCTTCCAGTATTTCCTCTGTTATTTCCTCAGTTGTCACTTCACTCACTTCAGTGGTTGTTTCTTCAACTTCAGTGACATCTGGTTGAGGTTGGAGAGAAATTACTATCTCTTCCTTGTGTTTTTCTACACCCTCCTCTGGCACTTCCTCTGTTATTTCCTCAATTGACACTTCACTCATTTCAGTTGTTGTTTTCTCAACTTCAGTGACATCGGGTTGAGGTTGGAGAGAAATTACTATTTCTTCCTTGTGTTTTTCAACACCCTCTTCCAGTATTTCCTCTGTTATTTCCTCAATTGACACTTCACTCACTTCAGTTGTTGTTTCCTCAACTTCAGTGACATCGGGTTGAGGTTGGAGAGAAATTACTATTTCTTCCTTGTGTTTTTCAACACCCTCCTCGGGTATTTCTTCCGTGAGTTCTTCAACAGTCACTTCACTCACTTCTGTGGTTGTTTCAGGTTCAGTAACATCAGGTTGAGGTTGGAGAGAAATTACTATTTCTTCCTTGTGTTTTTCAACACCCTCCTCGGGTATTTCTTCTGTGAGTTCTTCAACAGTCACTTCACTCACTTCAGGGTTGTTTCCTCAGGTTCAGTAACATCAGGTTGAGGTTTGAGGGAAATGACTATTTCTTCCTTGTGTTTCTCAACATCCTCCTCAGGTATTTCTTCAGTTATTTCCTCAGTTGGAATATCTTCCTTAACAATTTCCTGTGGAACTTCCACATCCTCTGTCGGCTCTTCTCTCAGTTCTTTGGTCACTTCAATGGTCTCTCTGAACACTGTTTCTGTGATGTCTTCAGGAGCTGTCACTTCAACTTCAGTGACATCTGGTTTAGGTTGGAGAGAAATTACTATCTCTTCCTTGTGTTTTTCTACACCCTCCTCTAGCACTTCCTCTGTTATTTCCTCAATTGACACTTCACTCACTTCAGTTGTTGTTTCCTCAACTTCAGTGACATCAGGTTGAGGTTGGAGTGAAATTATTATTTCTTCCTTGTGTTTTTCAACACCCTCCTCAGGTATTTCCTCTCTTATTTCCACAGTTGTCACTTCACTCACTTCAGTTGTTGTTTCTTCCTCTTCAGTGACATCTGGTTGAGGTTGGAGAGAAATTACTATTTCTTCCTTGTGTTTTTCAACACCCTCCTCTGGCACTTCCTCTGTTATTTCCTCAATTGACACTTCACTCACTTCAGTTGTTGTTTCCTCAACTTCAGTGACATCGGGTTGAGGTTGGAGAGAAATTACTATTTCTTCCTTGTGTTTCTCAACATCCTCCTCAGGTATTTCTTTCGTGAGTTCTTCAACAGTCACTTCACTCACGTCTGTGGTTTCAGGTTCAGTAACATCAGGTTGAGGTTTGAGAGAAATGACTATCTCTTCCTTGTGTTTTTCAACACCCTCCTCTGGCACTTCCTCTGTTATTTCCTCAATTGACACTTCACTCACTTCAGTTGTTGTTTCCTCAACTTCAGTGACATCGGGTTGAGGTTTGAGGGAAATTACTATTTCTTCCTTGTGTTTTTCAACATCCTCCTCGGGTATTTCTTCTGTGAGTTCTTCAACAGTCACTTCACTCACTTCAGGGGTTGTTTCAGGTTCAGTAACATCAGGTTGAGGTTTGAGGGAAATGACTATTTCTTCCTTGTGTTTCTCAACATCCTCCTCAGGTATTTCTTCAGTTATTTCCTCAGTTGGAATATCTTCCTTAACAATTTCCTGTGGAACTTCCACATCCTCTGTTGTCTCTTCTCTCAGTTCTTTGGTCACTTCAATGGTCTCTCTGAACACTGTTTCTGTGATGTCTTCAGGAGCTGTCACTTCAACTTCAGTGACATCTGGTTTAGGTTGGAGAGAAATTACTATCTCTTCCTTGTGTTTTTCAACACCCTCTTCCGGGAGTTCCTCTGTTATTTGCTCAGTTGGCACTTCACTCACTTCAGTTGTTGTTTCCTCAACTTCAGTGACATCGGGTTGAGGTTGGAGAGAAATTACTATTTCTTCCTTGTGTTTTTCAACATCCTCCTCGGGTATTTCTTCTGTGAGTTCTTCAACAGTCACTTCACTCACTTCAGGGGTTGTTTCAGGTTCAGTAACATCAGGTTGAGGTTTGAGGGAAATGACTATTTCTTCCTTGTGTTTTTCAACATCCTCCTCAGGTATTTCTTCAGTTATTTCCTCAGTTGGAATATCTTCCTTAACAATTTCCTGTGGAACTTCCACATCCTCTGTTGTCTCTTCTCTCAGTTCTTTGGTCACTTCAATGGTCTCTCTGAACACTGTTTCTGTGATGTCTTCAGGAGCTGTCACTTCAACTTCAGTGACATCTGGTTTAGGTTGGAGAGAAATTACTATCTCTTCCTTGTGTTTTTCAACACCCTCTTCCGGGAGTTCCTCTGTTATTTCCTCAGTTGGCACTTCACTCACTTCAGTTGTTGTTTCTTCATCTCCAGTGACATCAGGTTGAGGTTGGAGAGAAATTACTATTTCTTCCTTGTGTTTTTCAACATCCTCCTCGGGTATTTCTTCTGTGAGTTCTTCAACAGTCACTTCACTCACTTCAGGGGTTGTTTCAGGTTCAGTAACATCAGGTTGAGGTTGGAGAGAAATGACTATTTCTTCCTTGTGTTTTTCAACATCCTCCTCGGGTATTTCTTCTGTGAGTTCTTCAACAGTCACTTCACTCACTTCACTTCAGGTGTTGTTCTCAGGTTCAGTAACATCAGGTTGAGGTTTGAGAGAAATGACTATTTCTTCCTTGTGTTTCTCAACATCCTCCTCTTTGGTATTTCAATCTGTTAGTTCTTCAACAGTCACTTCCTGTGGACTCACTTCAGGGGTTGTTTCAGGTTCAGTAACATCAGGTTGAGGTTGGAGAGAAATTACTATCTCTTCCTTGTGTTTTTCAACACCCTCCTCTGGTATTTCCTCTGTTATTTCCTTCAACAGTCACTTCACTCACTTCAGTTGTTGTTTCCTCAACTTCAGTGACATCAGGTTGAGGCTGGAGAGAAATTACTATTTCTTCCTTGTGTTTTCAACATCCTCCTCGGGTATTTCTTCCTGTGAGTTCTTCAACAGTCACTTCACTCACTTCAGGGGTTGTTTCAGGTTCAGTAACATCAGGTTGAGGTTTGAGGGAAATGACTATTTCTTCCTTGTGTTTCTCAACATCCTCCTCAGGTATTTCTTCAGTTATTTCCTCAGTTGGAATATCTTCCTTAACAATTTCCTGTGGAACTTCCACATCCTCTGTTGTCTCTTCTCTCAGTTCTTTGGTCACTTCAATGGTCTCTCTAAACACTGTTTCTGTGATGTCTTCAGGAGCTGTCACTTCAACTTCAGTGACATCTGGTTTAGGTTGGAGAGAAATTACTATCTCTTCCTTGTGTTTTTCAACACCCTCCTCTGGCACTTCCTCTGTTATTTCCTCAATTGACACTTCACTCACTTCAGTTGTTGTTTCCTCAACTTCAGTGACATCTGGTTGAGGTTGGAGAGAAATTACTATTTCTTCCTTGTGTTTTTCAACACCCTCCTCAGGTATTTCTTCTGTTATTTCCTCAACAGTTACTTCACTCACTTCAGTTGTTGTTTCAGGTTCTATTTCTTCCTTGTGTTTTTCAACACCCTCCTCAGGTATTTCTTCTGTGAGTTCTTCAACAGTCACTTCACTCACTTCAGGGGTCTTTTCAGGTTCAGTAACATCAGGTTGAGGTTTGAGGGAAATGACTATTTCTTCCTTGTGTTTCTCAACATCCTCCTCAGGTATTTCTTCAGTTATTTCCTCAGTTGGAATATCTTCCGTAACAATTTCCTGTGGAACTTCCACATCCTCTGTTGTCTCTTCTCTCAGTTCTTTGGTCACTTCAATGGTCTCTCTGAACACTGTTTCTGTGATGTCTTCAGGAGCTGTCACTTCAACTTCAGTGACATCTGGTTTAGGTTGGAGAGAAATTACTATCTCTTCCTTGTGTTTTTCTACACCCTCCTCTGGCACTTCCTCTGTTATTTCCTCAATTGACACTTCACTCACTTCAGTTGTTGTTTCCTCAACTTCAGTGACATCGGGTTGAGGTTGGAGAGAAATTACTATTTCTTCCTTGTGTTTTTCAACACCCTCCTCGGGTATTTCTTCTGTGAGTTCTTCAACAGTCACTTCACTCACTTCAGGGGTCTTTTCAGGTTCAGTAACATCAGGTTGAGGTTTGAGGGAAATGACTATTTCTTCCTTGTGTTTCTCAACATCCTCCTCAGGTATTTCTTCAGTTATTTCCTCAGTTGGAATATCTTCCTTAACAATTTCCTGTGGAACTTCCACATCCTCTGTCGGCTCTTCTCTCAGTTCTTTGGTCACTTCAATGGTCTCTCTGAACACTGTTTCTGTGATGTCTTCAGGAGCTGTCACTTCAACTTCAGTGACATCTGGTTTAGGTTGGAGAGAAATTACTATCTCTTCCTTGTGTTTTTCAACACCCTCTTCCGGGAGTTCCTCTGTTATTTCCTCAGTTGGCACTTCACTCACTTCAGTTGTTGTTTCTTCATCTCCAGTGACATCAGGTTGAGGTTGGAGAGAAATTACTATTTCTTCCTTGTGTTTTTCAACATCCTCCTCGGGTATTTCTTCCGTGAGTTCTTCAACAGTCACTTCACTCACTTCAGGGGTTGTTTCAGGTTCAGTAACATCAGGTTGAGGTTGGAGAGAAATGACTATTTCTTCCTTGTGTTTTTCAACATCCTCCTCGGGTATTTCTTCTGTGAGTTCTTCAACAGTCACTTCACTCACTTCAGGGGTTGTTTCAGGTTCAGTAACATCAGGTTGAGGTTTGAGGGAAATGACTATTTCTTCCTTGTGTTTCTCAACATCCTCCTCAGGTATTTCTTCAGTTATTTCCTCAGTTGGAATATCTTCCTTAACAATTTCCTGTGGAACTTCCACATCCTCTGTTGTCTCTTCTCTCAGTTCTTTGGTCACTTCAATGGTCTCTCTGAACACTGTTTCTGTGATGTCTTCAGGAGCTGTCACTTCAACTTCAGTGACATCTGGTTTAGGTTGGAGAGAAATTACTATCTCTTCCTTGTGTTTTTCTACACCCTCCTCTGGCACTTCCTCTGTTATTTCCTCAATTGACACTTCACTCACTTCAGTTGTTGTTTCCTCAACTTCAGTGACATCGGGTTGAGGTTGGAGAGAAATTACTATTTCTTCCTTGTGTTTTTCAACACCCTCCTCGGGTATTTCTTCTGTGAGTTCTTCAACAGTCACTTCACTCACTTCAGGGGTTGTTTCAGGTTCAGTAACATCAGGTTGAGGTTTGAGGGAAATGACTATTTCTTCCTTGTGTTTCTCAACATCCTCCTCAGGTATTTCTTCAGTTATTTCCTCAGTTGGAATATCTTCCTTAACAATTTCCTGTGGAACTTCCACATCCTCTGTCGGCTCTTCTCTCAGTTCTTTGGTCACTTCAATGGTCTCTCTGAACACTGTTTCTGTGATGTCTTCAGGAGCTGTCACTTCAACTTCAGTGACATCTGGTTTAGGTTGGAGAGAAATTACTATCTCTTCCTTGTGTTTTTCTACACCCTCCTCTGGCACTTCCTCTGTTATTTCCTCAATTGACACTTCACTCACATCAGTTGTTGTTTCCTCAACTTCAGTGACATCTGGTTTAGGTTGGAGAGAAATTACTATCTCTTCCTTGTGTTTTTCAACACCCTCCTCTGGTATTTCCTCTGTTATTTCCTCAATTGACACTTCACTCACTTCAGTTGTTGTTTCCTCAACTTCAGTGACATCGGGTTGAGGTTGGAGAGAAATTACTATCTCTTCCTTGTGTTTTTCAACACCCTCTTCTGGTATTTCCTCTGTTATTTCCTCAATTGACACTTCACTCACTTCAGTTGTTGTTTCCTCAACTTCAGTGACATCTGGTTGAGGTTGGAGAGAAATTACTATTTCTTCCTTGTGTTTTTCAACATCCTCCTCGGGTATTTCTTCCGTGAGTTCTTCAACAGTCACTTCACTCACTTCAGGGGTTGTTTCAGGTTCAGTAACATCAGGTTGAGGTTGGAGAGAAATTACTATTTCTTCCTTGTGTTTTTCAACACCCTCCTCGGGTATTTCTTCTGTGAGTTCTTCAACAGTCACTTCACTCACTTCAGGGGTCTTTTCAGGTTCAGTAACATCAGGTTGAGGTTTGAGGGAAATGACTATTTCTTCCTTGTGTTTCTCAACATCCTCCTCAGGTATTTCTTCAGTTATTTCCTCAGTTGGAATATCTTCCTTAACAATTTCCTGTGGAACTTCCACATCCTCTGTTGTCTCTTCTCTCAGTTCTTTGGTCACTTCAATGGTCTCTCTGAACACTGTTTCTGTGATGTCTTCAGGAGCTGTCACTTCAACTTCAGTGACATCTGGTTTAGGTTGGAGAGAAATTACTATCTCTTCCTTGTGTTTTTCTACACCCTCCTCTGGCACTTCCTCTGTTATTTCCTCAATTGACACTTCACTCACATCAGTTGTTGTTTCCTCAACTTCAGTGACATCTGGTTGAGGTTGGAGAGAAATTACTATTTCTTCCTTGTGTTTTTCAACACCCTCTTCTGGTATTTCCTCAATTCCTCTGTTATTGTTTCCTCAACTTCAGTGACATCTTCTATTTCTTCCTTGTGTTTTCAACACCCTCCTCGGTATTTCTTTGTTTCTTCAACAGTCACTTCACTCACTTCAGGGGTCTTTTCAGGTTCAGTAACATCAGGTTGAGGTTGGAGAGAAATTACTATCTCTTCCTTGTGTTTTTCAACACCCTCCTCTGGCACTTCCTCTGTTATTTCCTCAATTGACACTTCACTCACTTCAGTTGTTGTTTCCTCAACTTCAGTGACATCGGGTTGAGGTTGGAGAGAAATTACTATCTCTTCCATGTGTTTTTCAACACCCTCTTCTGGTATTTCCTCTGTTATTTCCTCAATTGACACTTCACTCACTTCAGTTGTTGTTTCCTCAACTTCAGTGACATCGGGTTGAGGTTGGAGAGAAATTACTATTTCTTCCTTGTGTTTCTCAACATCCTCCTCCGGTATTTCTTCCGTGAGTTCTTCAACAGTCACTTCACTCACGTCTGTGGTTTCAGGTTCAGTAACATCAGGTTGAGGTTTGAGAGAAATTACTATTTCTTCCTTGTGTTTTTCAACATCCTCCTCGGGTATTTCTTCCGTGAGTTCATCAACAGTCACTTCACTCACTTCAGGGGTTGTTTCAGGTTCAGTAACATCAGGTTGAGGTTTGAGGGAAATTACTATTTCTTCCTTGTGTTTCTCAACACCCTCCTCAGGTATTTCCTCTCTTATTTCCACAGTTGTCACTTCACTCACTTCAGTTGTTGTTTCTTCATCTTCAGTGACATCAGGTTGAGGTTGGAGAGAAATTACTATTTCTTCCTTGTGTTTTTCAACACCCTCCTCAGGTATTTCCTCTCTTATTTCCACAGTTGTCACTTCACTCACTTCAGTTGTTGTTTCTTCATCTTCAGTGACATCCGGTTGAGGTTGGAGAGAAATTACTATTTCTTCCTTGTGTTTTTCAACACCCTCCTCTGGCACTTCCTCTGTTATTTCCTCAATTGACACTACACTCACTTCAGTTGTTGTTTCCTCAACTTCAGTGACATCGGGTTGAGGTTGGAGAGAAATTACTATTTCTTCCTTGTGTTTTTCAACACCCTCTTCCGGTAGTTCCTCTGTTATTTCCTCAGTTGGCACTTCACTCACTTCAGTTGTTGTTTCTTCATCTTCAGTGACATCAGGTTGAGGTTTGAGAGAAATTACTATTTCTTCCTTGTGTTTTTCAACATCCTCCTCGGGTATTTCTTCTGTGAGTTCTTCAACAGTCACTTCACTCACTTCAGGGGTTGTTTCAGGTTCAGTAACATCAGGTTGAGGTTTGAGGGAAATGACTATTTCTTCCTTGTGTTTCTCAACATCCTCCTCAGGTATTTCTTCAGTTATTTCCTCAGTTGGAATACTTTCCTTAACAATTTCCTGTGGAACTTCCACATCCTCTGTTGTCTCTTCTCTCATTTCTTTTGTCACTTCAATGGTCTCTCTGAACACTGTTTCTGTGATGTCTTCAGGAGCTGTCACTTCAGCTTCAGTGACATCGGGTTGAGGTTGGAGAGAAATTACTATCTCTTCCTTGTGTTTTTCAACATCCTCCTCAGGTATTTCCTCTCTTATTTCCACAGTTGTCACTTCACTCACTTCAGTTGTTGTTTCTTCATCTTCAGTGACATCAGGTTGAGGTTGGAGAGAAATTACTATTTCTTCCTTGTGTTTTTCAACACCCTCCTCAGGTATTTCCTCTCTTATTTCCACAGTTGTCACTTCACTCACTTCAGTTGTTGTTTCTTCATCTTCAGTGACATCCGGTTGAGGTTGGAGAGAAATTACTATTTTTTCCTTGTGTTTTTCAACACCCTCCTCGGGTATTTCTTCCGTGAGTTCTTCAACTGTCACTTCACTCACTTCTGTGGTTGTTTCAGGTTCAGTAACATCAGGTTGAGGTTTGAGGGAAATGACTATTTCTTCCTTGTGTTTCTCAACATCCTCCTCAGGTATTTCTTCTGTGATTTCTTGAGGTTTCACCTTCTCAACTTCAGATGTTTCAGGAACTATTTCCTCAGTGTCTGACTCCTGCAGCTCTTCCTCAATATGACCTACTTTATCTAGAACTGTTTCAACTTCAACAGGTTTATCTACAGGATATTCAATTTCTGGGGATATCTGGTCCTCGTCAGGAGCCTCCATTCTTCGGTCTGATGGGCAGAAGTATATTGACCAATTCAATAATTCCTGCAGTCCACATTCACTGTTTTTTTATGAATACATCATCGATTGTTGACATCATACAACACTCCTCAATCAAATTGACGTATATAGGATTATTATGGATATGTGCAAGTGTTAAGTTCATTCTATCATTTAAGATCCTTTCTGACTCAAGATTGTGCTTCCCTGATGGATCATCAAAGTCCAACTCAGTATCAATTGTGATGCTGTGCACATGGTATTTACATTGTTCATTAACTGAAAACATCTCTTGTATAATACTGGCATGAAATGAAATGATGAGTACTCATGGAGTTATGTGCAAACTGTGATAGAGGCCTTTATCAGTTTGCGTACCGTCATGCATTTCACGGTTGCTCTTGCTCTTTCAGACTTGCATGCATCAGAAGAAAATGCTGTGGTGAGGGTGAATCTCACACCCAAAGTGATGCAAAGTTAACTCGCCGTAAAATCAATCCTTGCGTTGACAAAGCACATGCTTGTTTGCATTTTGCAAGAAACTCTGGTATTAGTGATGCCATGAAATCAGCAAATGTTAGTTTTATTCCTTAAGACAATCTCACTTTACTAAGAATGACCTGTCTAGAAAATTAAAATAAAGACATATATGTTATGAAAAATCTAAAGTAATAAAAAAGTGCAGTGAATCAATCTAATAACTTCTACACAAACAAAATATACATAATTCTATGGAAAATGTTACTTTTACAACAATGATGATGTTTCTTAGATGTCGAGAACACATGTACACTGAACAAGGATTTCCTTATTGTGTTTCTTTAATTTGAAAAGGGTATGTTTAGTGAATGCAAAACAAAGCTGTTAGGTCCTGAACGTCTTTGTTAAAGTTTGCCAATATTTAGTAGCCCATCTATCCTGCTTGGATAAACAGATAATACTGTTATGTTGATGTCAATGATGATCAATGCACGCCATACTGATGAAAGTGGAAAGCAAACTTGTTTGTAACAAGTGTATAATGTTATGTTTCATAGAAAGAACACAGAATAAAACATTCAACAGATAGCAACAACAGAAATAACAGCAGTAACATCAATAGCAGTGGTAACAATAGCATGTACATAGTTATCAACAATGAAAAACAGGTGTCAGTTTTCAAATAATATGACACTCTGAGAAGTTTATATAGCTGGGTAGTATGAACAAGTCAAGTTGTTTACCTGTTTAATAAATATCACAAGCATATGAAGTAAGAAATATACAGGGATGATTGTTGCATATGTCCAAAAATGACTTGTTGGAGAAAAAGTTCAAATAAATTAAAAATATACAGAATATTTAAAACATTTTCTCATTCAGTGAATTTCAGGAAAGCTCTTTTTTCTCATTCAGTGAATTTCAGGAAGGCTCAGCTGTTTATGATCAGATCTGATTATGTCTTTAGACCAATGTATTTTACTTGTTAAGTGTCACATTATTGAAAGCTGTATGTCTCAATGCTATGATTCACATTACCAAGCCAACAGTCTGGCTAACAGCTTTTTATTAACTTTAATCTGAAGTTTTTCTTGGACGAAAAAGCAACAATGTCTCGTATTGAATTTTCCACATTTTCAAAAGCTGTGCAATTTGAACCACAACATTTCACAGCAGGCTGAACGCCAGTTTAAGCTGTGTTTACTGTTCACAAGAAAGTAGAACATGCAATAAAGTTTCATAAATAAATTGTAATGTTTAACCTGACTCATAGAGAAATGTCCATAACAGACATACGTGAGGTGAACAGTAAACACGAGCATTCAACAAACAGAACATCAATATTCCTTCATATTTACTCATAAACCATATTTCTATAATAATGAGCACTGTACTGTCAAATACTGGTCTGGAAGGTGTGCAGGGACTGGGTGCATTTGCTGGGCACCATTCACTCTTGGTGTTCAAGGATCTCAACTCATTCTCATGGGTATTCAATAGGTTTCTTCAACACTCTAGGACAGGGAACAATCTGTTGGATATCTCCTGGGGCATTATGTTTTCAATAATAAGGCTCTTTAAACATTCTTGGAAAGGGCACAATCTGTGTGGGTTCTTCAGGGTCTACATACACAATCACTAGGAAAGGTATCACTCTATGAAGAGTTAACATTTCTATATGTTTGTTAAGATGATCATGGGTTTAGCATTGGGTAATTGTGCGAATATACGGGACTATGTGCATATATTACAAGATTTTAAATGAAATCATTTTATGACTTCTTGTATAGGAGAAAACATCTTAATTCCATATTTCTCATCTACTAAAATTTCATTTGTCATGAACTATTAATGACAAAGATATATATTTAAAGACTAGATAAGCATAAATGCTAATTTTAATAAGAGAAGAAGAAATTTCTACTACTGAAGGCAAAATGATGTTTGAAGAAATATTTTGAAGTGATTGGAAGCTACTGTAAACAAAACACCAGTCTGAAATGATCAATCCTGTTAAAGTTTCTCACAGACATACAGCTAAATACTGTTGTTTCCAAGTTGAAGGGATTATGTAAATACTTATCTGAGACTTGACACAACAACAAAATGATGAAGGACTGCATTGGGATAAAAATTTCTCTTCAAGACAAACAAAGCTTTGACACAAGTTTGACTGTATTTCGAAAAGAATCTAAACAGCCTTTCGACATAACTTCAAAATGGTGTTTTGATTTTTGTGCAGAAGAGAAGGCAGGCATGCATACTCTGGCAAAGTTAGTGTGCTTAGGTAAGTAGCCACAGTCTCCAAACTGTATTTCAGTTTGCTGTACAGTTCATGTACAAATGATCGAGCCAGTTTGGCAAAACAAATGATTTTGAAAGCATTTAAAATTTGCCAAACCAGCCAGCTTATTGTAGGAGGAAAATCATTTATGTTTACTATGATAATGAATCTCATTAACATACATCAGGTGCTGACAATCTAATCAGGGCCCCTTTCCTCAAAGCGACTGTAGTGCTATGATAGTGGTCCAGGACCATACTGGTTTTCCAATCAGTTATAGACTTCTCAGGATCTTCAGGAGTAGCCTGTTATCTGTAACTGGCCATAATTTAATGCAAAATGGAACTGCATGAATTGGATTTTTGAAATGTAATAGTGTGTGTAATAAAATTTGCATAACTGAAACATCAGTGAGGAGAACCATCAGTGGCAATGGTGATAAGATATGGTTCTATGGATGATATGATCTTTTGGGTAAAAGTATGCTGAAGGAAAGCAAGAAAGCAAAATCCAACCTTGAATGTAGAGGTCTGCTTTGGTTGTGGCTGTTCCAAGGATATTGACAGCGCTGCATTCATACTCTCCCTCGTCCTCAGGGTAGGTCTCGGTGATGGTGAGACTGCATACGCCATCGTCTTTCTGGACGATGTGAAAATCTGGTGAGTCCTCAATGACCTCACCATCAATACGCCAAGTAACTTCTGGCACTGGGATGCCAGTTACTTTGCACTCGAAAGTAGCTGGTTGTCCTTCGAGTATTTCTACATTGGACAATGCTTGTGTGAACTGAGGTGCTTCTTGTAGGATCTCGGGGACCTCTTCCCTCTGCACCTCCTGGAGAAGGACCTCCGGTTGGACTGGAGCCTCTTCCTCCTCTACCACCACTGCTTCGGGTGTGGTGTGAACTGGAATTTCTTCAGCTTCTGGCAGCTGCAGTTGTTCCTCTACATCAAAGGCGTCAACCACAGTTGTTGATTCCTCGGGAATTTCTTCTTCCTTCTCAACTTCCAGTGGGATAGAGACTTCAGTGACTTCACTCACCGGAGTGACTTCCTCTATAGAGGGAAGAGACACTTCTTCTTGTATGACTTCCTCAGAAACAGTTTGCACCGTTTCCTGGACGACAAATTCATGTGAAACTACCTCCGTCTCAGGTTTAGTTGTTTCATCTCCAGTGGTCTCAATAGTAACAATTTCAGACCTCTCTGGAGCTTCTGTTACTGTAGGAGCAACTTCCAGACCCTCCACTATTTCAGTATCAACTTGTGTGATGACAGTGGATGTTTCTTCCGATTCGGGCAATTCTGTTTTAAAGCAAAAAGCTGATTCAAATCTAAGAAAGCAAAAAGCAGAACCTGACAATATCCACACCAAAGATTTAAGAAAATTCAGGAAAGTTCAAGATCACCAAAAATTTAAATGATTCTGCCTCGCAAAAGTATAAAGAATATAGATAGATGCATAATTTAAGTGCAAGAATAGGAAATATACAATCCAGACCATAAAAGAAAACTTCACAATATGCCAAGAATTTTTTAAAAATTATGCGATAACATTTCTAAATAATCATAATGCTTACAATTAATTTTTAGCATTTCTGAAATCCATTGACAAAGAAGAATATCAAGTACTTGTTGTTCATTCATCCATCACACATCCAATCACACAAACAACAACGATACTTCCGATGAGGTTCATGAATCAGCAGTCGATCCTCTGGGAGGAACCAATCACGGGGTACTACTCTGGTCTCGCAGGTCAGTGGTGATGACAGATGTATGGGTTCGTGTAGGTGGAGGTGAGTGAGTGAATGAATGAGTGATTTGGGTTTTACACAGAATGAACAATATTCAAACAATATCATGGCAGAGGACACCAGAAATGGGCTTCACACATTGTACCCATTTGAGGAATCGAACTCTCTGGCATGATCAGCAAATGCTTTAACAACTGGTCTACCCCATCGTCCCAGGTGAAGGTGGCATCTGTATTATGTAACCAGTCATGTCTCCCTTGTGTGGAGAATGCATGGTGTGAATGTAAACATATATTATCGACACACGTTATCAAAGACCCATTGCTGCTTTGTGTTCGACAGCAGTAACAGGAAAATCTCCCTTTCTATCATCAGTTATCCATCCTATTCTTCTGTAACCACTAGTGCCCCAACAGGTCAGATCCATACATGATACACAGCTATGTCTCAGCTAAGCACTTTACATACTGTAAAAAGATAAACCTGGATGCCACTTCACAAAGTGATCACCAAACTTTGACTGCCCTATTGACTGCTCTAACTAAGAAATCTAACACTAGTGTGCTATATGTTGGATCTGAACACGAAGAATCCCCTGGTCATGATACACTTTGATGCGGCACTGTATACGACTCCCACTCCCTGGTAGGAGGTCCTTTTGGACATGCTAATGCCATCACAACATCTAACTGTAACAGCTTCAAATGAAAAGTTATTTTTTGCATATTTGTCAGTCATGGATAAGTGCTTAAACTTTTCTGTATGGACACAAAAATATTTAAAAAGAAAACTGTTTCGAGAATGTCGTTGTTATGGCATTAGAAAATCCTTTGAGGAGTGCAGGTGTGTCTGTCCTGTAGGTACGCTGTGATATTTCAGCCTCTAACCATATTTCCATTTCCATATTGTAAGTGATGCAAAGCTCTGTGAAGTACTAGCCATCATCAAAATACACTCTCACTTCAACATCTCAATCTAATGAACACTGAAGAAATATAGCCATCTGGCAACTCCTCAGAATCAAAAGCTGGCTTCATAAAAGAATTTCTTTCCGAAAAATCCAATTTTGAGAAACCAAGTTGATCGTCTTGTGATATTTGATGATGGCCAGAGGCAAAGCAACAAGAACATCAAAACTAGCAAAGAAACATTTGTAGCTTTTTGATAGGATGAACATAAATATCTATTTTTGCCATTTCATAGTTTCTTTTCGAATATTAATGAAATTTACAAAAAAGAAAGATCCGTTGATGAGGTAAATTTAACAAACAGTAACAAAGAGATGCTCAAAACTATTTTTAAACATAACATTTTGGTTCACTGTTTGATGTTCTTGTTTACCACCGATGTCCTTCCTTTGATTGAAGAGTACTGACAGCCACTGCATCAGCAGCATCAAACTTTCAGCATCCTGCTTCGGATGTGTCAGGTCATTCCTGAGTGCCATTATCTCCAGTTTTGCTAGGATGCATGCTGGGAGTGGTCATGTGATCAGGGGGGAGATGGCGAATGAGCAGACCAAGCAAGTATGAATCTAGAATATAAATCTAATGAGAGGCAAACAGAAGAAAATCAGATGAGTGATGGGGGAGACAAGGTACTTGAGTATGGGAAAATAAACAGGTTCTGTGAACACATGTAGGTATATGCTAATTGATTAAGGTTTTTGGCAAATGAATTCCAGACATGTAGGTACAGGTGTGACTCTTTGCACCACTTGACCAAAAACATAGAATGGCTAACTTGATACAAAACTATCAGATAATAAATGTTTCTTCCCTTTTCTCTGTTTCTGTCCCTTTTCTTAAAACATAATGTCAAAATTGCTTTCAAAATCAAATTTAAAACAAATTCCACACAGAATTCTGGTACACCTGTGTTGAGTGTTCTTAAAAGTATCTATTTAACACAGTACACAAGAATGCTATGCACTTCTGATTGATACTGATTATGTTTTTCTGATGAACAATATGATCAACCTGAATGAATATGTGTTAAAATGGAATCAGGTATCTATGTAAATGTTCAGCCATTATGGAAAGGAAAGGAAGTTAAAGGTGGTTGGTAGGTTCCTTATCAACAATATACTCAGGTGATAAGCATGATGTATGATCTTCACAATATGATTGTTCAAAGTGACAAACATTTGTGTAAAATTTCAATACGGATTCAATACCTTTTGTGTTCAGCAAATGTTATGAAGTAATGAGAATAACATGCACAACTTGCATTCCTCCTTTCTTCTGTCTTTCATGACAAACATATAAATTTCTTCTTTCATCCAGAAAAGATCATCCCCCAAGGGAGATAACTCTGAAACAAACATGCTGTACAGGGGAATAAATAGATAGGGGTCATATCATGCATAACTGCCACATACAAAAAATAACATACCTTTGCAGAAATTCATAGATTTTAGTAATGTTTTGGAATGAATTTCAGTAATCAGATTTGTAGAAATATTCAAATTTTCAGGTCAAAGCAAAATAAAGCATTTAGCATAATCTGTCTGAAGGTGTACAAATTCAGACATAATCTACTTCATAACAATCCTTCATGAGAAATATTTCTGCAAAAGTTTCGCATTCAAATCACACAAAAGATGAAATTCAACATTACAAGTTAGTCTTAACAATATCAAGAAATGCACAAGAAATTATGGTCACGTCAAACAGTGCTGTTTCAAACTTTTCACAAAGTAACGGCCTTGAAATCAGGCTTGATAAAGACTCCAAAATATTTATATTGAATATTTTCAGGTCAAAACCTGATATTTGTATTTCAATTCATCTTGTGCATTACAGTACAATCAAAACAACAATAAATATATGCATGAATAAATAATAAAACTTACACACAACAATTAATTCTTATGGCAGGTGTTGAAACACAATTATATACAATAGAGGGAAACTAAGTGCTAACTAATTAATTAATCAACTCAGTGTTTTAAATACAACAAATATATATATATTAGAAACTGCCAAAGCCATGCAGAAAGCTTACGGCCTGTTTCATGCCATTTACTAATTAAAACTGGAGAAAAATGATCTCTAAACCTGTGTGAGCTAAAATACATAAACTCCTTAAAATAAAACTAAAAAATCACTTTGTTTCATAATATTTATTTCTCTGATTTGCCCATATACAGAAGTACGAAGTCACACACTCTTACAAAAATACAGATTTGATATTTTTGTGGGTTTTCTTCCCTTTTTGTGCAAAATTGTACAAAGTACTTTGAAAGACGTAAAAAACTAGAATAATCTTTGGTTTTCTAACAGTTCACCTGCCATAAGATTGGGATGAAAAATATTGATTGTTATAACAGCAGACATAAATAGTCAGGGAATTGAGGGTCGTAGTTTTACTTGAACATTTGATCCGGAAATGATGTTAAGAATGTTCAATTAAACATTATATCTGCTGTGATAAGAATCCTAATTTACACTACAAAATGAATATATTAATTGTTAAAACAAAATTTTGGCTACAATCTGGGTTTTGAACACATGATCATGCAATGATTCCATTCTATGACAAAGTTTCCTCAAACAAAGTCCTAGGTTACCAAACATCGATTTAGCCCAAGACTGATTCCGCATCTAGCATTTGGAGGTGCCAATGAAAATTAACTTCCCAATCATGAAAATCAGTTCATAAAAATCAAATATTTTTAAAGATAATGATCCAGCCAATTATCTTTCACAAACATCCTTTTCAAACTGAATCAGTTAAACGGCTATAAAGTACATGGTGCAATGCCAGCATTAGTTCCATAACAAGACGTCCAAAAAAGGACAGGTCAAAGGTTAGAAAAAATATAGAGAGAAATTAAAATTGTAGATTTTGTGAATGAGTCTACATGAGAAAAATATTTTTGTTAAAAAAGACACCTCCAATATAATGAACTAAGTGGGCCAAATGACTGTAAAAATACATGTCCAGATGCAGGAACCAAAATCAAGCAGCCAAGCAAGGACCCTGAGCAATATCATTACAAGAATTATAGCAAGCAGAAATTGCTGCATGCTTGCATCATCTTCAACATTGGTGGGGTGCCAACCTAGTGCCGCTGTCACGGCCGATGGTTTCTCCAACACCTGAGGTTCAGGTTCGGCTTCCTCTAAGGGCTGCGTCACCTCTACCTCAACTGCCTCAGGTTCACTCTCCGCGACACTGAGTGGTTCTACAATTAAAACAGCACCAAATCCTGCAAACTCTCTTCCATTTTACCTTTGTCACCTTCCCACAGGGTCTCAAAGAAAACGTTTTTGATGACATAGGATTCAATATATGCCTAGAGTTTTTATGGAACGAAACAAAAACAAAAACAGTTTTACACATATTTGTAAACATCAAAGGTGTAAACTGTATAACAAAATAAACTTTTATTACTTGATGTTTTGAAATGTCAACAAATAACACTATTGAGACCCTGGAAAGAGAAAGTCATAATTTTTTCTGGAAAAAAATACCTGAAATTTTCAATATTTCACAAATTTGATTTCAAATGAGAATGAGTATGACAATGAAAGGTGACAAATCACTCCAAGGCACTACGCTTCATGCTTCACGACTGAGCAGACATTGCTGAGGAAAGAGAACCAATCAGATGCCTGGATTTGCCATGATATGTGTTCAGGAAAATAGTATATGTCATGAAAAATAAAATGGGTGCTATTCATATCACAACCTGCAATGTACATTCACTATGTACTGGCCCATAACAAAGGTATTTTCTCAATGAAATATCATGAGAATTCATATGACTTGAGCATTGTTGTCCTACTGCCTTCAGTTCCATCCTGCCAACAACTGATAAACCCTCAATCTCACCAACACAAAATTTCTTTTCATTTGTAATCCGAAATTCTCCATAGATACTGCCCTTTCTACAAAGAGTCTTCATATTAATCATAATGATAAGAAGACTGTTCCTCTCTGATTAACAAACATTTCAGCTCTGGAAAATCACTGAAATATTTGTAGAAGGTTTGCAATGGCTGCCAGACCGCTTGGCTCTTTTCAATTTCAGACTACTTTCTCAACAACTATTCATAACATTTTTTTGAGATTCAGGCATATCCTGGCTGTGTGACTTCGCTGCACATGGGACAGAACTGTGTGGCAGTGAATAAATAAATGTTATATACACTCATATATTGTAAGTTGTGTAGAAAATAGTGTCGTACAACGTCATGACAAGGTGCATGTCTAGCTTATACTTTTGATGTTATCATTTCATCAATAGAATGGAATAATTAACATTTGGAATACATTTTCGTCTTTCACTGTTCATCAAAATATAATGAAAACATGATTGAAATGTTCAAGAGCAAAAAACTTCTTTCATATACTCAAACAATAACAATAAATAGATAAAAAATATATGTATATAATTTAGAATTTTGAACATGAAAAGTGTAAACTAGACATCATTTAATGTACATATTTCCCCGCATCTACAGGGCATTCTGGGTAATATTTCAGTCACATGTTGTTTTTGAGCGCGTGGCTGGCTGGTTTTGACTCGTCGGGGCCACTGTATTTCGATTTCAACCTCGATGGAATAGAATTCCTGTCGCACGATGCTTTCCTCAGCGTTCAAACACTCTGTTTCATGCAAAATACAAATAGAGAATTAAAGAAAGGAAAGTTCAAAGTCAAACATGAACACAGGCAAGCAATCAGTTTTTATATGAAACAAAACCAAGTATTAAGACAAAAGTTTAATTGAAAATTTTGATTTGAAACTTTTTGTGCCTGTGTTCAACTCTAATGACTACAGCAAGAAAATGACAATTCATAAAAGCATAAATTGAAAGCACAATGAAATGATGTTATATATGACAGAGAATTGGAAAGAGAACAGTATTAATACTAAAAAACAGCATTAATACTAAACAATAGACAAGACAATTAGCTGTATTTTGTAGTCTGTGGCAAACATAAGTCAGAAAATACAGAGACAACATTTCATACCCATGCATGCCATGCAAACTACAAAATACAACAAAGAGTCATTGTTTTCATGATTTTATTCAACTACAGCTACAACTAAAGCTACATAAGCAGTTTTGACATTATGAAAAATCATAGTCAAGAACCACACTATCCACTATAGTATACAATATATACACTAGACAAAAGAATATTAGTTGTACAAAACATTGATAAATATCATAAACTTCCAAATAGTTAATTCATATTTGAAATTGATTTTTCTTTCAAGAAAATTAATGAATTTACTTTTGTCAAATTAACCCAAATTTGCAATGTTCCACAATAGCCTAAACGTCAGCGCAAATGTTAACTGATTAGCAAATATAACAAACCATCAAAAATTCTCTTGTCAAAAAATCAACTCTTATCATTCCAATAATGTTTTAACAATAAACTGGAATTGATTTGTTAGATGTAACTTCAATAATGTGTAAGAAAACACAACCCAATGAATCAGGATAACATAATTTGACCAAACCTGTCCCAACATTATGAAGCCACTGTATCTAAACTTACCAATATTGCAATAAGCAATATCACAAGCAATCATATACTAGCTTGTACTTTATACAGAGCATAGTTTAAGCAATGAGGATTTGGTCCTACGTTAACAATAACTTCAACAAATATAGAACGTCCTAAAAGAATCTACAATATACAAACCTGAAAATTCAAACAATATAATTACAACCCTGGTATTTCATGTTTTTCCTTCAAAATCAACAAGAAACGCGACAGCATAGAAACTATCTTTGTGGTGAGAAAGTATTTCTGCTACTACTTGATTGGCATATGTCCTAGATACTAAGAAAAGACCACTCTTAACCTAACAAGACACATGCAATGGACTATTCTATCGTCTATACACATAGCACATCCACCAAGAAGCCGTGTCACTAAGTACACACAAACAAGCAATAAATATTGAATATAAAAAATTATTTAAAACATTTCTTGTGATACACCCAAACAGTACAGAAAAATAAATCCATTAAATGGTTCAATCAAAAGTGCTATTCTAATAAAATAAATAATTCTTAAAAATAAATCTTAGAAAAGAATCTCCTGGAGGTCAAATAAAAACTTCAACTTTCAAATTCAATATGAGGTTGTCACTTGAAAGAATATCTTCTGTAAAATACTTTTATAATAAATAAATAATAATAACAAGAAATGCTTTTATATCAGAATGCCAAAATCATACATAAATTTAGTTCAAGTATCTCCCAAAGAGTACCAAAAAAATGAATCTACTTTGAGTGCAGCAAATTCTAAATTGCAATAGTGCCGCAATACAGTGTATTCCTACCAAAGTTCTAGCTAGGCTAAGCAACTATTTGTAGGCCATGAACATGCATGATGAAACATTCCACAATGGACATCGTGAGGTATTGTCATCAAAGGATAATCATTAATGTTCATTATTTATCATACTATCAAAATTTCATTCCATAATCCAAAATTTGATCTTTACATCAACACACTCAGTTACCTGAAGTTATGTGATCAACACATTCCAAAATGGTTTTATTGTATATAGAACCTGAAATGTATTGATCACATGCCTCTGTATGATCATTCACTGAGGTATACATTGATGGGAAAGATCAACATACTTATCTTGCATCTTAAAAGAAGTTAAAGAACATCCCATTCCATCATATTCCTATATATAATCTGTTATAGACAGACAGATTCACCAAGTCATATGAAAGAATCCAGTGTTCTTTAACATCTTTTGAGCTGTATACTTTCAAACTGGCTGTTTCACCTCAGGTCTCAAAATTAATTTTTCTTTTCAATGTTTTGGTTTTAACATGTAACATGTTTTAACATTTTCAATTAACAAACTTCCATTAATATTTTTTGTTTTCATCCAATTTTCTTTTCAAAGGTATGTATTCATAATTTCGAAATCCTGTACAGTATTAATACAGGATGAGGCTATATTCCCTAGCGAGACCACACCCTTAGCACTTATCAAGGTCAGGATTGCTATGGCAGCAAGTAATTCAAGAATATAGGATGCCTTCATGGTTTCCTTACTTTCCACGAAAAATTCAATCCGGGTGGTGGCCGTGCCAGCCTCATTGGTGGCTTCACAAGTAAACTCTGCATCTTCGTCCATCGTGATGGATTGGATGGTAAGAGTACACCGACCATTCTCATACGTGGTCAAGAAACGTTCACTTCTGGTGATAACAGTGGTTCGATCCTGAAAGAAACAAACCCATTTTGCAACACAAATCAATATCGATCTTCTGCAAATCATATTTTGGTCTACTGGTCAAGTTTGATGGAAATGACTAATTTCCATTGTAGGTGATACTCATGCTGAGTCATGCTGATATTAACATTTTGATTAATTTTTCAATTATTTGTTTTACAGTGATCATCATATTTAGATATTTTTTCTCAGATGATATGCTCAGATCAGTTTTTATGTTTTGTTTCTGAACTGGGCCTGAAAACACGTGTATGTCCAAGTTGCCTGCAGGTTTCACTTCAACCTGATCAGAAGCCTTATCCCTACTAGGGAGGAGAAAGCTTTATGAGTTGGCTGAAGTGCAGGTTGGCTTGGATGACTAGCGACCATACACTCCACTTTGACTCTTGCTTAATGACACATACCTTGTACCACGTGATAGTGGGTTGCGGCCGGCCAGTGACCACACACTCCACGGTGACCGTTTTGCCCAGGAAGACGTCCAGCGTCGTCTGGAGGGTCTGTGTGAAACGGGGTGCTTCTGGGGCCTCTTCAGGCTTCTTCTCTTCTGGTACTTCTGAAATACAATAATTAAACAAACATTGAACAAAGAATAACAACAAACACCCCAAAAATATCCAAACAACTACATACAATAACCGGTAAAATGGGCTTCAAACATAATACCCATGTTGGGAATCGAACCCAGGTCTTTGGCGTGATGAGCAAATGCTTTAACCACAAGGCTACCCCTCCACCCCTTTTAACTAGGAACAAACTCTGACACAAAGTGTCATGTTAATGTAAAATAAATAGTATTTTCAAAACAAAGTTCAAACAAGGTCTTCTTTATGACACACAAGTTATCACCCAAGATGACCAAGTATCTGACCTGTTTGGGCAGTGATTTCTTCCTGTTTAACTTCAAAGTCAACAGTGACTTCCTCCACAATCTCTTCTTCCTCCACTTTTTCTATTGCTGTAAATATCAGAACTAAAGGTCATTCAACTATAGACAATGACTCTCCATAATTACAATATAACACAAGAGAGAACATTAATATCACTTTTTACAATTTCAGTTATTTTTATAGCTATGAAAGTTATGTGCTTTGAATACGGCAATCAAGCATTGTTACTTACAGTTTCTTGAGCAACATCAATGCATAGGTGGAATGTCGGTAGTCTCTCAGGACCCATACACAACACACATACAAACATGCATTTACATGATGATAGATGTAATGGGCTCGAGGCAGCAGTTTTCAAGGTGATTATATAGGTGAATATATTTGAGATGAGGGAACAGTTTAGACAAAGACATGTGCTTCTGGACAGAACAGACAGTAAACATCAAATAGATACATTGATAAAATACACAATTATATACAAAAGTAAATGTTTTTGACAATTTTCACCTTGCGTTTCTTCAACTTCTACAGTTATTGTTTCAGCTTGTTCTTCAGGAGCTTCCAATTTGGTTTCGATTTGAGTTGGAATCTCTTCTTTAATAGTAATGGTTTCCTTTTCTTCTTCCACTGTTTCTTCTTCGGGTGCTTGAACCTCTATCTCAGTAACAACCTCCTCAAGGGGAGCAGAGTCAACAACTTCCTCAGTCTCTGTTATTTCAGAAGGTTTTTCTTCTTCTACAGATACAACTTCCTCAACAACCTGAGTTACTTCTTCTTTCACAATTTCAAACTCAGCTTCTGTTGTGATTTCCTCAACTGGTGCTTCAACAACAACTTCTTCAGCTTCGGGAACTTCTGTGGGCTTTGTCTCCTCAACAATGATAGTTTCCTTCGTTTCCTCAGTTGTTTCAACACTGGGAGCCTGGATTTCAACCTCAGTGATTTCCTCTACAGGAACATCAACTGTTTCCTCCAACTGCTCTGCTTCAGCTGGTACCACATCTTTTACCTCTACAATCTCTTGTATAATTTCAGTTGTCTCCTCTGTGGTTGTTTCAAGTTCCATCTCAGTTGTGATCTCCTCAGCTGGTGCCTCCTCAGTTATTTCAATGGTTTCCTCTGCTTCTGAAGGCTTTGTCTCCTCAACAATGATAGTTTCCTTCGTTTCCTCTGTTGTTTCAACACTGGGAGCCTGGATTTCAACCTCTGTGATTTCCTCTACAGGAACATCAACTGTTTCCTCCAACTGCTCTGCTTCAGCTGGTACCACATCTTTTACCTCTACAATCTCTTGTATAATTTCAGTTGTCTCCTCTGTGGTTGTTTCAAGTTCCATATCAGTTGTGATCTCCTCAGCTGGTGCCTCCTCAGTTATTTCAATGGTTTCTTCTGCTTCTGAAGGCTTTGTCTCCTCAACAATGATAGTTTCCTTCGTTTCCTCTGTTGTTTCAACACTGGGAGCCTGGATTTCAACCTCTGTGATTTCCTCTACAGGAACATCAACTGTTTCCTCCAACTGCTCTGCTTCAGCTGGTACCACATCTTTTACCTCTACAATCTCTTGTATAATTTCAGTAGTCTCCTCTGTGGTTGTTTCAAGTTCTACCTCAGTTGTGATCTCCTCAGCTGGTGTCTCCTCAGTTATTTCAATGGTTTCCTCTGCTTCTGAAGGCTTTGTCTCCTCAACAATGATAGTTTCCTTCGTTTCCTCTGTTGTTTCAACACTGGGAGCCTGGATTTCAACCTCAGTGATTTCCTCTACAGGAACATCAACTGTTTCCTCCAACTGCTCTGCTTCAGCTGGTACCACATCTTTTACCTCTACAATCTCTTGTATAATTTCAGTAGTCTCCTCTGTGGTTGTTTCAAGTTCTACCTCAGTTGTGATCTCCTCAGTTGGTGCCTCCTCAGTTATTTCAATGGTTTCCTCTGCTTCTGAAGGCTTTGTCTCCTCCACAGTGACTATCTCCTGGATGTCCTGGACCGCTTCAGATGGAATTTGTATCTCAACCTCTTCAGATACCTCTTCAGTTGAGGTAAGTTCAATGACTTCCTCTGATTCTTTAATCTCAGATGGTTTTTCTTCTTGCACAAGAACTGTCTCTGTAACCTCATCCACAGTTTCCTCAACTGGAACTGAGACTTCCACCTCAGAAATAGTCTCCTCAGATGGGATTTCAATAATTTCCTCAGCTTCTGTTACTTCAGAGGGTTTCTCAATCTGTAATTCAATAGTTTCTTTGACAGTCTCTGTTGTTTCTTCAACAGTTACCTCTGGTTGAACTTCCATGATTACCTCCTCATGTGGTGTTTCAATCACTTCCTCTGCCTCTTTGGCTTCAGAGGGTTGTTCCACATCCACCTGAATGACCTCAGTGGCAGTTTTAGTGACCTCCTCTATAGTTTGTTCAACTGTGACCTCAGTGACATCCTCAACTGGTACCTCTTCAACAATTTCAACAGCCTGTTCCACTTCAGAAGGCTTTGTTTCTTCAATTGTAATTGTTTCTTTTATTTCCTCTGTGGTTTCCTCAACAGGTGCTTGAACTTCTACTTCAGTTATGACTTCTTCCACTGGGACTTCCTCAGTTTCTTCCACTTCAGGGACTGTGGAAGGTTCAACCTGCTTAATAGCCACTGTTTCTTCCACTATTTCTGTGATTTCCTCTGTTGTTGTTTGCACATCGAGTTCAGTTGTGATGTCTGTGACAGGAACATCTTCAATAACTTCAACAGATTCCTTGGTCTCTGTGGGTTTCTCCACCTCAAGAGTTATTGTCTCTCTTGTCTCCTCTGTGACATCTTTTTTAGGTGCTTCAGTTTCAACTTCCGGAATAACCTCTTCCTCTGGAATTTCAACTATCTGCATTTCTTCCTCAGCCTCTGCAGGAAGTTCTTTCTGGATTTCCACGGTTTCACTCACAACTTCAATGACCTCCTCTGTTGAAGTTTCAAACTTGATTTCTGTAGTGAATTCCTCTTTTTCAGATACCGTTATTTCCTCTTCTTCCATAGTTTCAGCTGGGATTTGTTCTTCCTCAACAACAGATTCTTGCACTTCTTCAGTGGTTTCTTCAACAGGGGCCTTGATCTCAATTTCGACAATAGATTCCTCAGTTGGAACCTCAGTAACTTCCACTTCTTCCTTAGCTTCAGCAGGGATTTGTTCCTCAACGACCACAGTTTCCTGCACCTCTTGTGTTGTTTCTTCCACAGGAGCCTTGATCTCAATTTCTGCAATAGTTTCCTCAGTTGGAACTTCAGTAATTTCTTCTTCCTCTTTGGTTTCAGTTGTCTGAGTCTCCTCAACAACAACAGTTTCCTGCACCACTTCTGTTGTTTCTTCTACAGGAGCCTTAATCTCAATTTCTACAATAGTTTCCTCAGTTGGAACTTCAGTAATTTCTTCTTCCTCTTTGGTTTCAGTTGTCTGAGTCTCCTCAACAACAACAGTTTCCTGCACCACTTCTGTTGTTTCTTCCACAGGAGCCTTGATCTCAATTTCTACAATAGTTTCCTCAGTTGGAACTTCAGTAATTTCTTCTTCCTCTTTGGTTTCAGTTGTCTGAGTCTCCTCACAGTTGGAACTTCAGTTCTCCTCAACAACAACAGTTTCCTGCACCTCTTGTGTTGTTTCTTCCACAGGAGCCTTGATCTCAATTTCTACAATAGTTTCCTCAGTTGGAACTTCAGTAATTTCTTCTTCCTCTTTGGTTTCAGTTGTCTGAGTCTCCTCAACAACAACAGTTTCCTGCACCACTTCTGTTGTTTCTTCTACAGGAGCCTTAATCTCAATTTCTACAATAGTTTCCTCAGTTGGAACTTCAGTAATTTCTTCTTCCTCTTTGGTTTCAGTTGTCTGAGTCTCCTCAACAACAACAGTTTCCTGCACCACTTCTGTTGTTTCTTCTACAGGAGCCTTAATCTCAATTTCTACAATAGTTTCCTCAGTTGGAACTTCAGTAATTTCTTCTTCCTCTTTGGTTTCAGTCGTCTGAGTCTCCTCAACAACAACAGTTTCCTGCACCTCTTCTGTTGTTTCTTCCACAGGAGCCTTGATATCAAACTCTACGATAGTTTCCTCAGTTGGCACCTCAGTAGTTTCTTCCTCTTCTCTAGTTTCAGTTGCCTGAACTTCCTCAACAACAATGGTTTGTCTGATTTCTTCAGTAGTTTCAGCAACAGGGGCCTCAATTTGCACTTCAGCAATCGTTTCTTCTGTAGGTATTTCTGATATCTCAAGGGCTTCCTTTGCTGTTGCAGGCTGTTCCTCCTCGACCACAATTGTTTCACGGATTTCCTCAGTGACTTCCTCTTTGGGAGCTTCAATCTGCAGTTCAGTAGAGATCTCTTCAACTGGAGCTTGTTCAATTAATTCCTCAGCCTCTGTGACCTCAGATGGCAACTCTTCCTTGATCTCCACAACTTCTCGCACAACTTCAGTGATCTCTTCAGTTGTTGTTTCAACATTAACTTCAGTTGTGATTTCCTCTATTGGTGCCTCAGTAACAACCTCAACAGTTTCCTTTGTTTCCATCTCCTTCTGTTCCTCAACTTCAATAGTTTCACGTATTTCCTCAGTTGTTTCAGGAACTGGTGCTTCAACTTGTACTTCAGCAACAATGTCCTCAGTGGGGGCAGTTTCCAAAATCACCTGTTCTTCCTTTGATTCAGTTGGCATTTCCTCCTCAATCTTGATGATTTCTCGAAGTTCTTCTGTTATTTCCTGAGCAGGAGCTTCAACCTGCATTTCAACAATATCTTCTTCTGTTGGAGTTTCTGTGACCTCTTTGGCCTCAACTACAACAGAAGGTGTTTGCTCCTCAACTGTCAGTCTTTCCCTTAATTCCTCGGTTATTTCCTCATCTGGCTTTTCAGTTTCCTTCTCTACAATTTCCTCCACACTCTCCTCAATGACCTTAATTTTCTCTCCAACCACTGATGGTTTCTCTTCTTCTACTTGGATGGATTCTCGAAGTTCCTCAATGATCTCCTCACCAGGTTTCTCAATCTCAGTTACAAAGCCTTCTGTTGTGATTTCAGTTGTCTCCTCAAAAGTTTCCTCAGTGACAATAGATTCAGTTCCCTGTTGAACATCTATTGTTTCTCTAATTTCAATTGTTTGCTCGGATATTGGTCGTTCAGTTTCAACTGTCTCAGGAATTTCTTCTGACTGTTCTTCAACATCTCTTTGAACTTGTTCCACTGCCTGAGATGTTATCATTTTGATAGTAGTTGTTTCTCGTACTTCCTCAACTTCTTCTACAGAAGGCGGCACAGCTTCAAACTCCTGTTGAAATTCCACAGTTTCTTTCACAACCTCTTCTGTTTCCTCCTTGGATGATAACATTTCAACCTCAATTTCGGGTTGACTTTCAACTGTGATCTCTTCTCTGAAAGTATCAACATCTTCCTTGAGGATTTCAAGAGTTGTAACCTCAGTAGAATCGACCTCAACCTGGACATCAGTTGGTTTCGGAGCAATGGTGACCTCTTCAGTGAATCTCTCTTCTTCCTCCACTGTTTCTTGGTCAACATCAACTGTCTGTTTGAAGGTCACTTCCGAGACTACTTCAGTTGTTTCAACTTCAATCTCTTCTGGTTGAGGTTTAGGAGCTAAGGTGATCTCTTCAGTGAATCTCTCCTCTTCATCCACTGTTTCTTGGTCAACTTCAACAGTCTGTTTGAAAGTCACTTCTGAGACTACTTCAGTTGTCTGAACTTCAATGTCCTCTGGTTGAGGTTTAGGAGCTAATGTGACTTCTTCAATGAATCTTTCTTCGGTCACTTCTGGTTGTTCTTCCTCAACTGTCTCCTCTTGTTGAATCTCAACTGTCTGTTTAAAGGTCACTTCAGAAACTTTTGTTGTCTCCTCCTCAATTTCCTCTGGCTGAGTCTTGGGCTGAATTTGAATCTCAGTTGAGAATGTTTGATCATCCTTCACCTCCATCTCAACAATTTCCTGCACCTTCTGCTCAACTGTCACCTCCTCCTTGTACATTTCAGAAACACTGACATCTTCACTGGGAGACTCAGGAGCATCTGATGAAGGGACACTGGATGCTGAAAGAACAAGCACAGGTAAGGGTAGGCAAGGGCACACAGGTTGGTCTATGAGGCATATTAAGGATCTTCTCTTAAGGATAGGTTCTACAAGTCAGGTTTATATTGATCACAGGTAAGGTTTAGGCGAAGGTTTTGGTATAGAATTTGGAGGTAGGACAAACTACTTATTTGACTGTTTACAAGAGAGTTACCTTGGTAAGGTTTTGTTTAGATTTCCATTTCAACAACATACCTCAGAAAATATCCAAATGGAGGTTTTACCACATGCCAGTTTGGGTAAAACTCTTGGATATATGTCTGAGTTTAGTTTTTGAAATGAAACTGGGAGTAATTAGCAGGTTCATCATATAATTACATGGCAGTTTATTTGAGGGCTATTTAGTTTGGAAGGTGTTCTTAGGGTAGAAGTCAGATTTACAGGTGATGAACTGATGGAATAACTAAGGATGAAAACCAAGGAAAAGGAGAGAAAGAAAGAAAGAAAAAGAAACAATGTATGTCAAATAAAGAAAACGTAAAAAATATGTTCAATCACAACGTAAACAGAATAATGAAAATGAAGTTCAAAAAGACAAGTGTTGTTTCTCAACAACAAAGAAAACTAAAAACAGAAACAAAAGTCTATAACAATGAACTTGTAATTAAGTGAACACAAAATGGAAAGGCGATAACATAAGAGATGAACTAATGCGACAAACACACATTACCAGTATTTTACAAAATGGACATAAATTCAAAATAGTTTTGGTTTTGAATTGACATCAATCAATATGATTAGATATATACACAATGCCAATTGGAACACAAACAAATTGCTCAATTTAACTGGCAATACATGAGTGCATGACATATGATAAGAAACTAATTCTGTCTGTTCCTGTCACATCAGTTCAAAACTGATATTGAACAATATTGGACATTTGTTCAACAAACAAGTATTACATGATGAAGACACAGTTTTACTTTGGGGGCAAGGGAAACAGTATATGTAGATAGCATGATGTTCATACACTATTTATTCCACAAAAGGGTCAAACACACACTAATTTATTGTTAATCTGATCTTTACTATCACAGAGGAGTGGGCAACACAAATGACCTGTTAACGAGAACACACTGTGCTCAGTCACAAGTTGGAACAATATATTGAGGGTTTTTACACACATACTGTGAGGATATCAGACAGTTTATATGTATCTCAGGTGAGGCTATGTTCTCACGGATCAAACTCACTGCACTTATTTAGGAATTATTCTCAGGAAGGGATTTGAACATTCGGTGTACAGCAGGGAATGCAGCATAATTCTAATGTCTAGACATACTATTGACATCTTGCTTTATGAAAAGCCTAGCCATATGATTTGGTTCATTACAAGTTAACCTTTAAAGTATGGTGCACAGACCACAATGGAGCTATTTCAATATCAACAGTGCCTTGTCATATTACAAGACCCAACAGTGCAATAAATATCCATACTTTCTTTGAAACATAGTTGCATGTTAATATGATTTATTACTTCAATTCTATTTAACAAAACAATATTTTTAAAGCAAGATAATTATTCACTATTACTAAAAGCAAAAAGCAAAGCAGAAGGTTGCAGGTATGTATGGCAAAGGAAGCTTGTATTTATTACAAAAACATTATCTATTAAAGTTGTTACCACTTAAAGATTTAAGAATGGGTCTCATTTCCTTAATACACTGTTTTTCCTTGATAGATAATAGATCATGTTCAGTCTTCCTTTGCTTGGAGGAGAAAGGGTTTCAGAAAACTCAATTTTGTACTTACGGAGCACAGTGATGTATGCAACGGAGGTGCAACGACCAACAGAGTTGACAGCTTCAACTCTGTATTCCCCTTCATCATCAGGCAGGACATCAGTGATGACTACAGTTGATTGGTTATTAACTGTTGTTATTTGGATGTCTTCTGATGGGGTGAGCTCAATATCATCCACAAACCACTGGAGTGTAGGCAAAGGCATTCCCTTAACAACCACCTCCAGGGTGAGGATGGAAGCTTCCATAACTGTTATATCAGTCAGCGTCTTGATGAATGTTGGTGCTTCAGTTGGTTCCTCAGCTGTTGGTTCTTCAGGAGCTGGTTCCTTGGCCTCAATGGTAATGGTGGACACAGCAGTTGTTTCAGCTTCACTGATAATCTCTTGGGTGAGTTCTGTGACAAATGAGTCCACAACATCTTCTTCAGGAACTTCTTCAGGAACTTCTTCAGGGGCTTCTTCAGGGGCTTCTTCAGGCTGTTCTTCTTGTGGTTTCTCAGCCTCTTTAACCTCAGCAATAATTTGCTGGACCATCTCTGTAGCAAAGGTCTCAATTTCCTCCTTCACTACAGTAGTATCAACTTCAACAGTTTCTGTCACAGTTTCCTCAACCTTTTCTTCATCTGCAATGTCAACCTTGTATTCTTCTGGTTTTTCAGACACAGTTTCAGCTAGTTCAGCAGTGATTTCAGTGCTTTCAGCTTGTTCTGGAACCTCCTCTGTTACATCAGTAACCTGAGGCTGTTCAGTTGTTTCTTCAACAACAGCTGTTTTGAATTCTGCAGGCTTCTCTGCAATGGTTTCAGCAAGTTCTGTTGTGATTTCTTCAGTTTGAGCCTCATCTATTGGTTTTTCCTCAACTTCAGTAACCTCAGGAGCTTCAGTGACTTCTTCAATCACAGATGTTTCATATTCTGCTGGTTTCTCAGCAACTGTTTCCGCCAATTCCATGACAATTTCCTCAGTTTCAGCTTCGTCTGTTGGTTTTTCTTCAACATCAGTGATTTCAGACACTTCAGTCACCTCTTCAACAACAGTTGTTTCATATTCTGCTGGTTTCTCAGCAACTGTTTCAGCCAATTCCATGACAATTTCCTCAGTTTGAGCCTCGTCTGTTGGTTTTTCTTCAACATCAGTGATTTCAGACACTTCAGTCACCTCTTCAACAACAGTTGTTTCATATTCTGCTGGTTTCTCAGCAACTGTTTCTGCCAATTCCATGACAATTTCCTCAGTTTGAGCCTCGTCTGTTGGTTTTTCTTCAACATCAGTGATTTCAGACACTTCAGTCACCTCTTCAACAACAGTTGTTTCATATTCTGCTGGCTTCTCAGCAACTGTTTCCGCCAATTCCATGACAATTTCCTCAGTTTGAGCCTCGTCTGTTGGTTTTTCTTCAACATCCGTGATTTCAGACACTTCAGTCACCTCTTCAACAACAGTTGTTTCATATTCTGCTGGCTTCTCAGCAACTGTTTCAGCTAATTCCATGACAATTTCCTCAGTTTGAGCCTCGTCTGATGGTTTTTCTTCAACATCAGTGATTTCAGACACTTCAGTCACCTCTTCAACAACAGTTGTTTCATATTCTGCTGGTTTCTCAGCAACTGTTTCCGCCAATTCCATGACAATTTCCTCAGTTTGAGCCTCGTCTGATGGTTTTTCTTCAACATCAGTGATTTCAGACACTTCAGTCACCTCTTCAACAACAGTTGTTTCATATTCTGCTGGCTTCTCAGCAACTGTTTCCGCCAATTCCATGACAATTTCCTCAGTTTGAGCCTCGTCTGTTGGTTTTTCTTCAACATCAGTGATTTCAGACACTTCAGTCACCTCTTCAACAACAGTTGTTTCATATTCTGCTGGTTTCTCAGCAACTGTTTCCGCCAATTCCATGACAATTTCCTCAGTTTGAGCCTCGTCTGTTGGTTTTTCTTCAACATCAGTGATTTCAGACACTTCAGTCACCTCTTCAACAACAGTTGTTTCATATTCTGCTGGTTTCTCAGCAACTGTTTCCGCCAATTCCATGACAATTTCCTCAGTTTGAGCCTCGTCTGTTGGTTTTTCTTCAACATCAGTGATTTCAGACACTTCAGTCACCTCTTCAACAACGGTTGTTTCATATTCTGCTGGTTTCTCAGCAACTGTTTCCGCCAATTCCATGACAATTTCCTCAGTTTGAGCCTCGTCTGATGGTTTTTCTTCAACATCAGTGATTTCAGACACTTCAGTCACCTCTTCAACAACAGTTGTTTCATATTCTGCTGGCTTCTCAGCAACTGTTTCTGCCAATTCCATGACAATTTCCTCAGTTTGAGCCTCGTCTGTTGGTTTTTCTTCAACATCAGTGATTTCAGACACTTCAGTCACCTCTTCAACAACAGTTGTTTCATATTCTGCTGGCTTCTCAGCAACTGTTTCAGCTAATTCCATGACAATTTCCTCAGTTTGAGCCTCGTCTGTTGGTTTTTCTTCAACATCAGTGATTTCAGACACTTCAGTCACCTCTTCAACAACAGTTGTTTCATATTCTGCTGGCTTCTCAGCAACTGTTTCCAGCTAATTCCATGACAATTTCCTCAGTTTGAGCCTCGTCTGTTGGTTTTCTTCAACATCAGTGATTTCAGACACTTCAGTCACCTCTTCAACAACAGTTGTTTCATATTCTGCTGGCTTCTCAGCAACTGTTTCCGCCAATTCCATGACAATTTCCTCAGTTTGAGCCTCGTCTGTTGGTTTTTCTTCAACATCAGTGATTTCAGACACTTCAGTCACCTCTTCAACAACAGTTGTTTCATATTCTGCTGGCTTCTCAGCAACTGTTTCTGCCAATTCCATGACAATTTCCTCAGTTTGAGCCTCGTCTGTTGGTTTTTCTTCAACATCAGTGATTTCAGACACTTCAGTCACCTCTTCAACAATAGTTGTTTCATATTCTGCTTCTATTTCGGTGACAGTTTCAGAGAGTTCCACCGTAATGTCTTCAGTCCCAGCCTCCTCAGCGACTGTCTCCTGAACATCTGTTATTTCCTGTTGTTCAATGGTCTCCTCAACAATACCTGTTTTATACTCTTCTGGCAGGTCAGCTACAGACTCTGTAAGCTCTGTTGGGATATCAATAGTTACTGCCTCCTCAGATACCTCTTCTGTTACCTCTGACACATCTGCAACTTCAACTGTTTCCTCAACAATGTCAGTTTCATATTCTGAGGGCTTATCAGCAACAGATTCAGCAAGTTCAACAGTTATCTCTTCCTGTTGTGCTTCCTCTGGGCTTTTCTCTCGGACATCTGTGGTTTCTGGTTGTTCTGTTACTTCTTCAGTAATTCCAATTTGATATTCAGTAGGTTTTTCAGCAGTAGTTTCGGACAGTTCCATTAATATTTCATCAGTTTCAACATGTTCTGTGATCTCTTCTTCAACTTCTGTGATCTCAGTAGTTTCAGTCACTTCTTCCACAATGTCAGTTTGATATTCTTTTGGCTTGTCAGCAGATGAATCAGCCAAATCTACTGTTATTTCTGCAGTTGATGCTTCATCAGTAGTTTCTTCCACAATATCTTCTGTCAAAGCTGCTTCAGTAACCTCAGCAACGACGTCAGCTTTGTACTGGGAAGGTTCTTCTACAGCTGTTTCACCAAGTTCAACAGTGATTTCAGATGGCTCAGCCTCTTCAGTGAACTCTTCAGAAACTTCAGCGAGCTCTGGCTGTTCAGTTACTTCTTCAAGAATTTCAGTCTTGTATTCAGTTACTTCTGCAGCTTCAGTTTCAGCAAGATCATGCACAATTTCTTCAGTAATTGCTTCATCTGTTTGTTCCTCGTCAACAACTGTAACATCCTGTGGTTCACCAACTTCAAGGACAATGTCAGTTTTGTACACAGCAGGCTCTTCTGCTGCAGTCTGAGACAGATCTGTGGGAACATCTTCAGTGATGCCCTCGTCAGCTTCCTGTTCAGTAACCTCAGAAACTTCTATTTCCTCTGTCATCTCAACAACCATGTCAGTTTTGTATGTTGAGATTTCTTCCATTTCTGATTCCACAAGTTCAGTTGTAATTTCAGACGGTTGAATTTTATCTGTTGATTCTGCATCAACTTCATCAATGGTAGGCTTCTCCACTTCTTCCATCACCATTTCTGTTTTATACTGAGCAGGAGTTTCAGCAGCTGGCTGAGCTAATTCAACATCTACAGATGATCCCACTGCTTCATCCATTAGCTCTTCAGCAACATCAGAGACAGTGGGTATGTCAGACACTTCTTGAACTACTTCGGTTTTGTAAGGTGTTGGCTCAACAGCAGCAACTTTAGCTAACTCCACTGGTGTGTCAGCTGTATCAACTTCCTTAGCCGTAACTTCTGATACCTCAGACACAACTTCCTGTATTTCAGTCTCTGTAACTGTATCAGCTTGGAACTCGGGTTCCTCAGCCACTGCTTCAGCCTCCTCAAGACCTTGCTCAGTTTCAGCCACCGTCATTGGTGTGGCTGGATGGATGACAGCAACATGTTCTTCAACTGGTTCCTCTGCCTCCTCAACAACTTCCACAGCAAGCACTTCCTCTTGCTTTGGAGCTTCTTCTTCATCCTTTTCTTCAGTCAACTCAGATGCAATTTGTTCCTGAAGACGCTGGATCTCCTCAACAAAACCACGGGAGTGTGCAACTGCTTCAGTGTCAGAGTCTGCTGGTGTTGGTTTGGGTGATGACGGTTCGAGAGAGGACATCATAGAGTCAGATGCTTCTTCTGTGTCAGGTACATATTCATAAGCTGAAAGAAAGCAGATTCAAGTAAATATCAGACATACAAAATTTGTCTTAAATTCAGAATCAATCTGAAGCTTGAGATAAATTTAATAAATATGTTTTGATGGTTTATAGTTTGTTACCATTGTTCTTTCAACCATTCAAAACAGCAATAATCCACCATAATTCAAGAACAAAAATCATGCAAAAACATATATTCAGCAAGATTTGGGGATTTCATTAGTCAATTTTTATTTCATTAAATAACTATGCACTTACATTCAACTTCAAGAGTCGCTCTGGTGACAGCTTTTCCAAATTGATTTACTGCAACACACTTGTATTCTCCAGCATCTTGTGGGAAAACTTCAACAATGAGAAGAGTGCATGCTCCAGACTCCATATCATAGGTCAGTTTAAAGTCCTGGTTTTCTGTGATTGGTGCATCATCATGGAACCATGAGATCTCAGGCATGGGGCTTCCAACAACTTCACATCGGAACTTCACCTCCTCTCCATCCATAACTTTGAGAGACATCAATCCCCATGTGAACTCTGGTGCCTGACCCTCAGGCAGACCCTCAACTTCATCAACTTCAGCTGTCTCAATGACCTGTTCCACCTCTTCTTCTCTCACTATCTCTTCTTCAACCACCATTGACACTTCCTCAGATGGTACGGCTATTTCCTCTGGACCCTGAACCTCAACTGCTACAGGTTGTTCCTCCTCGACCTTGAATGTGAACTGAACCTCCTCAGGTGCTTCCTCTTTGCCCTTTATCTCAAAAGACAATTCCTGTACATGGGTCTCCTCTGTTTCTATTATTTCTTGCTTCTCAACTTCAACCTCAGACGTGAATACTGTCTCCTCTACTTCTGTTGAAAGAGGAATTTCAATTTCTTCTCTCTCTACTGGAATCTGATCTGGTGCCACTTGAAGAGTGAAGGCAACTTCTTCCATAGGTTGTCCTTTGATATCAACTACAAGTTCCTCCTTTATTGTCTCCTCAGCGGTGTCAACAACATCTGTTACAATTTCTTTCACTTCAGTCTCCTCTGACTCCACAATCTCCATGGGAGCCATAGGAATTTCAAAGGTAACCTCTTCCTTGGGTACTTCAACATCTATAGTAACCTGTGTTTCTCTTGTTGGTGAAGTTGTAATTTCAATTGTCTCCCTTTCAATTTCCTCAGGGACAAGTTTTTCCTGAGTAACGACTTGAATAGTTTCCCTCTCAGTCACTATTACACTTTCTTCTGGAGCCTTAGCTGCAACAGCTGGTTCTTCCTGTGGGACAACTTCTGGTTGGATAACTACTTCATGTGTGACCTCCTCAACCTGAGATGAAGAGATTTCAACTGTCTCCTCAAACACCTGTGATTTGGTGATAGTTGCTCTGTGTTCCACAACTTGCTGTTCAGTTGGTCTTGGTGCCTCAACATTAAAGTCTGCTCTGCTAACTTTACCAACTTCGACCTCAATCTCCTGAGGCTTTGGTTCTCTTGTGAGGACAGTTTCCTGGATCTCAACTTCAATTCTTTGTGCCGCTGGCTTTGCATCCATCATCTGAGAAACCTCTGTCACCTCAGTTGTTGTTGGGATCTGAAATCGGATCTCTTGAGGCTGTGGTTTCTCATCCTGGACGATCTCAATGGTCTCAGTATGAATCTCTTGTGGACCTTGTTCCGCAACAGGGACTGATCTCAGCTCAGATGTAACTGTACGTGTTGCCTCTGTGGTGTGTGAGAGCAATTCTTCAGTGTCAGCCTGTGCTGGGAGTTGAATCTTGAGTTCAAATGGTGCTGGTTGTTCGCTCTTCTTCATGGTGACCTTGGTTGTGTGAACACCATCAGTCTCCGTTACTGGTTCTTCCATCTCCTCTTCTGCTTGAATCACAGTAGATGTTTCCTGCGTGATGGTCGTTGTGGTTGTGGTGGTCGTTGTGGTCTTTGGCTGTGGGAATCCTATTTGAATCTCAACAGTTTCAGGTTGTGGTGTTTCATGTACAACCTGGACTTGTTTGACACGAGTCTCTTCATCAGATGTGATTTCACGTGTAAGGTCGATCTCAATTGTCTCCCTGTGTCGCTCATCAGATGAAATCTCTTCCTCTGGGCCAGCTGAAAAAAAACCCATGAAAATAATATAATCAAAGTGAAGGAACACAGAATTTGAATCTTTCATATTCTTACAAATCTGTACTTCAAAACAATGGAAAAGTAATACAAATTTACTATTTTACCATCTGATTCAATACAAATCAGGTCAATAACAGACTATTCAGTGATTGACATCATGAGCATCAATGAATACAGTTGGGAAACAATGTTCAACATTAACCAAGTCAGCATGCCTGACCAATCAATCCCACCATTTGCTTCTTAATACAAGCATGGGCTGCAATACTAACCCTTCTCTTTACAGGTTATAAATCATTCAACATAATTCATAAACATTTATACTTACAGATGACAGTGACCTTGCAAGTTGTAATGGATTCCCCAAAGTCATTAACAGCAATACAGGTGTATTCTCCCTCATCTTCTGGGAACACCTCAACAATGATGAGGATACTCTCTTGTTTAGCATAGTCCACAGTTATCTTAAAGTCTGTGCTTGGTTGAAGTTCTTGGCCCTTTTGGTACCAGGTAATCTTGGGAGAAGGTGCGCCAATGAACCTTACTTTGAGGACCACACGTTCTCCATCACGAACCTTCTTGTTCTGAAGAAGCTCTGTGAACTCTGGAGCAATTGGTGTGATACCCTCTTCTGGAGCCTGATCTGGCTGAGTTGGTGTCGGTTCTTCTTTGGGTTCAGGTTTTGCTTCCTCTGGTTTCTCCTCAGTGCGAGGAAGTTCTTCCTCAGTGGGAGCCTGCTCTCTCTGTATCTCGATCTCATCCTTTTGGACAGCTACAATCACAAAGAACTCATATATACATCATCCAGACACAAGAAGATATCCACAGTGTAATAAAGAACATTATATTTTCTATTTCATAAGTGTTGGATCTTATGAACCTACATTATCAGAACTGACAAATTTTAAGTTTGCCTGTTATCAGATAAACAGACCTTTCTCTCAAATTTCTGCTCAAGAGGACAGAAAGAGATTAATGCAAATTTCAGCAATATTTCAAATATGTCTTAATGGGGGACACCAATAACTGGCTTGACAAAATTTAGTGAAATTAGGAATAAAATCCCAGGGGACACTTACGTCTGACAGTGAGAGTGGTCTTGCATCGAGTGACACCGATGGGGTTCTCAGCCTGGCACACATACTCTCCAGAGTCTTCAGGGGTCAGGTCCACAATGACCAGCACACTTGTCCTCTCATCCTCAATGATCTTCATGTGGTCAGATGGGAAGATCTCCAGCTCATTCACAAACCATGTTACCTTAGATGTGGGCATGCTCTCATGTTCAACCTCAAGTCTGAAACACAATGGGTTACAATTAGAAATTCATTTTCTCTTATGGTTCAAGAAGTTGTGAAACCTCAAAGAAAGAACTTCAAAATAATCTCAAAACAATCCAACCTTTTTGATAATATCAACCAATAATGCCCTTGACACAAGAGATACAATTTGCCTTGTATTAATCTTGACTGTATGCATTCATCCAGGTGTGTAATATATTGTTTGACAGATACATGAATGGCTGATATCAGCAGCATCTAAATACAATACATACTGAACAGTTCCTCCTTCATCAGCTTCAATGGCTGGCAGAAGAGGCTTCGTGAAGGTTGGTGAGATCTCCAGGGTAGTTGAGTGCTTCTCATCCACAAGCTTCACCTCGGGCATTTCAGCATCAAGGGTGACTGTTGTTACTGTCTCCGATGTTGTTGTCGTCGTTGTTGTCTCAGTCTCTTCCATAGCTAAATGTGATGCGACAGTACAAATATTATTTACTTACGAACCAATGTTTCTTCATTATCCTATTTGACATATATATGTAATTCTTTTTGTCATATTGAGCATTTTTCTGAAGGTAAATTTTAACAACAGTTAAAAAGATAATAACAAAATCGTTGACTTGAATTGACTGACTAGCTTATTTACGAACCAATGTTTCTTCATTATCCTATTTGACATATATATGTAATTCTTTTTGTCATATTGAGCATTTTTCTGAAGGTAAATTTTAACAACAGTAAGAAAGATAATAACAAAATCTTTGACTTGAATTGACTGACTAGCTCTGTTATTTTTTGTTTTAACAAAAAAATAATTTACGCATCATTTAACAATATACTGGAATTATGATTTGCTTCATAAATAGAATAATTTGTCTGAAATGGCACTTACTTCGAACAAGAAGAGTTCCTGATGTTGTGGCCTCACCAAAGGGATTGACAGCCTTGCACACGTATTCCCCTGCATCTTCAGGGAAGACTTCTGCTAGCTCCAAGGTACAGATTCCAGTCTCAGGCTCATAGGTGAGTTTAAAGTCTGGGCTGGGTTCAATCTGAATGGTGCTCTTGTACCAGGTGATTGTTGGTGCAGGGCTTCCGACAAGACGACAGGACATCAACACGGCCCCGCCATCCTCGACAATCTGAGGTTGCAGCATCTCCACAAACTCTGGTGGAATTTCATCTGCTGTTTCAGGAGTGATGATTTGTTGAGGAATCTCATCAGTAATCTGAAATTGGAACTCAACACTCTCCTCTTCAATTGGAGCAATCTCTTCTGGTGGTTCCTTCACTTCAGCCTCTGGTATTTCAGCTTCCTCAGATGGTACTGTTTCCATGATTTCCTGAGGCTCAGCAGAGATAACAAAGGTAACCTCTTGGGATTCAATTTCTGTTCCTTCAATTGGTTCTTCTTCTACTGGCAGTGCAACCTCTGTGATCTTTTCTGTGATTTCTGGGATCTTCACCTCTCTAGTGACCACCTGGGATGTCAGTACCTCTTCAGTTACCTCCTCCCCAGTTGGTGTCTCGAGCTCCTCCTCCATAGGTTCATCAGGAATGATAATCTCACGGAGAGGAGATTCGGGCACTCTTTCCGGTTCAAGAGGAACAACCTTAGGTCTGTCAATCTTTTTAGACACAACCTTAGGCTCAGTGATTTCTTCCAAAACCTCATCACAAATAGGAGACTCAGGGCATGTTTCATACAATTCTGATGTGACATCAGAGCAAATACTGTCAGGAATAGGTGATTCTATTGTTTCTTCTTCAACCAGAGGCTTCACCTTTGGTCTATCAATAATTTGAGGAACAACCTGCTCTTCAGACACCTGGGTAATTTCAACAGGTTTCTCAACATCCATAGGTTCCTCACATGGAGCAGCATCAGTGTACTCGACCTCAAAGACCTCTTCTGTGACCTCCTCTTCCTCCACTACAGCTGTCTCTACCACACTGAGGTAGCCTGATGTAGTGGCTCTTCCTACAGGATTCTGGGCAATACAGATGTACTGTCCTTGGTCCTCTGGGAACACTTCCACAATGATGAGGCTGATCTCACCAGTGTCTGGATTGTAGGAGATGACAAACTCTTCATCCTCATCGATGTTCTTGCTGTCGTGGAACCAGGAGATCTGTGGCATGGGAGATCCAGTGACTTTGCATACCATCTTGATTTCTTGACCATCATTGGCTTCAACAGAGCCAAGGACTTCAACAAATTGTGGTGGAGTCATGGGAGCAGTTGGGGAGACCTCGATGGTGGCAACTGACTCAGGGGCAGCTGGGGCTAGCTCCTCTGTAGCTGGTTCTGTAGGACAAGAATCGTTTCCTTTAATTACTTTTCAATGAAGTCAGTTAATGTGTATCTGTATATGAGACTCAATGTGATTCAGTCCATAGGTGATAAAGCATTGGAAGGAAGGCCTTAAGTTATGAAAGTCATAGAAAACACTGTCAAAATCAGTAAGCATCAGAACTGTGCTGACATACCAAGAAGGATAACCATGGAAAATATGGGATTCAAACCCACAATCAGCAGATCCTGTCACTTCAAGGCAACAATAATGTAATTTTCTGACTAAAAATATAATTTTTAAAGTAAAATTGATATTTTATACTTATCCTGACTCATATTATTATGATACATTTGAGATTATATGGGTAATATTGCAACAAACAGCTGAGAATTAGAGCTATACAGCAAGTAAATATATGAACATTAAGTGGCTAAACAAGTCCCTACCTTGTACATAGAGCGTTGTAGAACTGATGGCCTCTCCCATCTCAGACACTGCTTTACAAGTGTATTCTCCTGTGTCTTCAGGTCCAACCTCAATGATGAGAAGTGAGCTCTTGCCGTCTTCATAGCGGATCTCATAGTGGGGTGAGGGCTTGATCTCCATGCCGTTCACAAACCATGTAACAAGCGGAGGTGGAATGGCATTCACTGTGCATTCCAGCCTAGAAAGGAACACAAATGAAGATCCAGACACAGAATGCAGAATCACATGGCAATACTAAGTGCCCAAATACATGGTCCCCAAATGCATTAAGATATGTTGTCACATTACACTGTTTTAGAAATACCCGTCATATACTGGTTACACATCATGAGATAATGACTGAATACTGAAAACTGACTGCTCCACAAGGATGCTTTATTCAATCTTTGTTAATCTCATTTAACCTAATAGAAATGAAGTAAAACAAACACAGTAAGGTTATCGTTTGTTGCTCGAACAAAATGTACACAGAATCTGCTGTATCTGCAGCTGCAAGATGTGGGTGGAGATGCTACATTTCATCCTAAGATGCTGCACCCACCTGGCAATGCCTCTCTCCCTGACATAGATCTCTGGTTCCAGTGGTGTCACGACCACTGGCTTGACCTTCTGAAGAATAACCTGTTCCTCTCTCTCAATGGTGGTCACAGTCTTGGTGACTGTCATGCTCTCTGTGGTCACCTCGGTGTGGGGCAGTTCCACTGTCTTCTCGGTACCTGTGAGATATTTACTCAGTAAGAATTTGAAAGTAAAGAACAACGCCTAGATGACACATTACCACTGTTATCTATGTTACCCAACTTATCATAGGGACACTTCCACAAACTATTTAACGGAGAAATCAGTGTTGTAGATTGATAGTGGTATCCCTACTGTAGGTTGAGTAGTATATACTTATCATAGTTAAGAACCCATATCAATCATATTGTGAAACAGTTGTTAAGAGGTTATTGTAATCACTGTATGTATTTCAAGGATGACAAGAAACAATATCTTCAAAACAGTTTAGACAACATTCTTCCTCTCAGAGAAATATGCCACTAATTGTGATTGCGTATTTGTATCACTCAGTCTTTAAGCTTGAAACAATGTTGATTTATACATTGACTATACAACATTTCACTTCATTAGTTTATTGTTTAAATGCCTAACCAAGCAATATGATAGCATCCTGTAAATAAACAAATCTCACCCTTCATGACGAGCGTTGTCTTGCAGGTGGTCTCGCCGAGCTCGTTCTCCACCTTCAGGGTGTACTCTCCGGCATCCTCTGGCCTGACACTGATGATGATCAGGACCAATGTCTTGCCTTCCTTTACAACTTTGGTTCTCTCGGTGGGGTGAATCTCGATGCCATTCACATACCAGGAACTCCTGAGGACTGGGATGTCTCCAACCTCTGCCTCGAGTCTACAGGATAGAAGAAATATCAGGATAACTGATGGATGAACATCACAGGATCACAGGAATGGTGTGGCTGCTACATATTTTGATATCCAATAGACAGCTGTATGAGCATATTGTATCATAATGGAAGTGATTTGAAAGAAACCTTTCCCTAAGTATACCCTAGATTGTTATGGAACACCAACCTTCTGATGTTGGTTCTCACCCTATGACCGTATTCTGGCAGTTTTATACATACATTCTAGAATATGACACAAATATTTTCACCTCCTCACCTAGGATATGACAGCCATATTTAGGAGTTTCTCTCCCTCTCAATTATATGGCCAGCATATCTTGCAGTTTATCACTTTCTCAATAAATATGCCGACCATTTTTTTTAGTTTCTTATCCACAGAAGAATATGGACAATCTATATCATAGTTTCCAATTCTTCTTATTATGATCCAATGGTACATTAGTTCCTGACGTCCCCAGAACAAGCCCACCTACCTTGTAGTTTCTCCTGGCCGCACTTCCACGTAGGGTTTCAGTGGTTTTGTGAAACCAGGTGGCGCTCTCCGTGACACCACGACGTGCAGTTGCTTCTCCATCTGCCGAGCCTCTTCCTCTTCTACAAAAAATTATTAAAACAGTGTAATCCTCACACTAACAGGAATGCTGACATCTTCAGAAATCCTGAAATTTCTCGGTCCAATTCTCCAAACTAAGGGAAGCTTTTCAACCAGTAGGAAGGACACGTTCATAATTTTCAGAAACACACTGCAGATAAAATTTATGGATATCAACTTATTTAATACTCTATTACACCTGTGTTTTCATACAGATCATTATTATACTATCAAGCAAGACTGAGTTGTTCCTACAAATATGATTTTTCACATTCTACAGCTTAGATTTCACATGAGTTTTAACATTGTAATTCTATAGCAATGGCCAAAATACATCCTCTTATAATACAAACAGAATAAAATATATACAATCCAAGTCTTCCAGTTACTGACTTAGATCGGATCTGAGGAAAATAAATACACTCACATGAACCATTGTTGGCCTACTGCACACATCACATGCTTCATTCCGGGTGCACAGAGATTTCACACATGTTGAACGTTTCACAGTGTCTTCACCATGCCTTCACATGCTCAAGGTCTCAAACCTAGAAAGCTACTTTCCTAATCACTAGTGTTAGTCATCAAAACAACAAATGTTAGTCGAGGAGAAGATGGTCAAACACAATGGTCAATATCACAATCCAACAACTATGGTATCAACATCAAACAGGTTGCTAGGTTACATGCTGTGGAACTATATGGACACAAAATGTTTCAATAAACACTGTGTGTGCATTTACAATCACGTCAAACAAAAAATCAAAATTTAATATTTTGTGGCAGGAATGCAGTATCTAAAATATAATATGTCTTATGCATTCGTTTCAACTGAAACAGATGCATAGTACTTGAATAATTTCTCACCTGTGAAATGGGACATGCAAATTTGTGTCAGCCATGCAAATCATTCTTCTTCTGTTTGAAAAATTTCTTCTGTTCTTGATATCTCGTCATCTCTTTTATCCAAATGGATTTCACACTCTCGAAATCACACACACATGCAATCAATCTCATGCAATCCAAATGCAACTTTCTCATTTTGCTGTCAACCAATTAAATTCCTTGAAAATTCTGGCAATCTGGTAAACTCTACTCTTCATCACGGTCAAGCATGCACATAGCTATCCTGCTTCACACACAGCAAAACATCAACATGCACCATTAACCATTCCTTATAACACACAAACGTGGGATCAACGTGGGATCTCCAGGAAAATACAGAAAAAGACCAAAATGGTTACAAATTGACAAGAAGATTATCAAAGATTAAAGGGTTTTCAATTTTAATTTCAGAAAATTCTTGGCATTTGGCGAAGATCTCGAAAGAAGCCTGGCCTGATATTCAAGCAGAAAGAGAACACCAAGATGCAGGGTTGATGAGCTACCACTTACCTTGAATGTAGAGCTCAGCGGAGCATTCCGAGATACCGGCCGGGTTCTTGGCGCGACATGTGATCAGACCACTGTCTTCTGGGAAGGCTTGTCGGATAGTGAGAGTTGTCATGCTCTCGGTAACTTCGATCTAGAGTAATTAATTGACATATTTCAATTTCTCAATGAAGCATCTTTTGCTTCACTGAAAACAAAAGAATAATGTTCTTAAAGGGAGACTAACCACTGAGGCAAATCAGCTGACCCAGCAAGTGTTAAGTAAGTGCAAAAAATCACTTTGTTACCCAGCTTATTCCAGTTTGTAGCAGTAAAATCTTACTTTACTGGTGCATTCATCCTAACAATCCATAAATGACTTGAATGTGGTGTTTGGAATATTTTAAAGTCCAGATTTTAGCTATGAACTTTAACAAATAATTCATCACATTCTTACACATCTACAGAAAGTGAGAAACCAATTCTATTTGAGTGAGTGAGTTTAGTTTTATGCCAAACTCAGCAATATTCCAGCTGTATGGCAGCGATCTGTAAATAATCGAGTCTGGACCAGACAATCCAGTGATCAACAGCATGAGCATCGATCTGCGCAATTGGGAACCGATGACATGTGTCAACCAAGTCAGCAAGCCTGACCACCTGATCCCATTAGTCGCCTCTTACGACAAGCATGGGTTACTGAAGGCTCATTCTAACTCGGACCGTCACAGGTCAATTCCATTTGAAAAATGATTACCTATGGATCTCAACTTTTTCAATGCAACACTTTGATACACATGCAAGAAAAGATGCATTGCAACAACAAACAAGTTGAAACCCAAGTGTCAACTCCAAGTCCCTTGAAGCTACACATAAATTCAAATGAAAGCAATATCAAATTCCCACAAACTTTCCTCACAGGTAAGTCAAAAGAACCTTGATGATATGACCCAACGGGACTTACAGTTGTCTCCCGAGTTTCGTGGATGGTTTGGATGCCGTTCCTGATCCAGGTGACTGTGGGTGTGGGGTGTCCTGAGAAGACAGCCTCGAAGCGAGCTGGGCTGCCGGACACAACCAGTGTGTTGGAAATAGGCTTGATGAAGCTTGGAGGCATGGCCTGAGGCTGAGTCGGTTCAGGCTCACTCTCGATTCCTGCAGGAATACAAGGCATAAGGTCTTTGAGTACCACAGTCAAACACTCTTGTGTCAAACTTTGACATTTCAAACGTATGGCTGTCTCAAAGTAAAAGCTTGGTTCATGCACATATTGTATTTAGTCAATTAATTATAACCTCAGATAATTTGAGTGAGTGAGTGAGAGAGTTTAGTTTCACGCCGCTTTAACAATTTATTAAAGCAATATCACTGTGAGAGATACTAGAAATGGGCTTCACACATTGTACCCATGGGGAGAATCGAACCCGGGTCTTCGTTGTGACAAGTGAACGCTTTTACCACTAGGCTACCCCACCGCCCATCCAACTGAAAGACTCAAATGTAACTAACATGAATGAAGTAAAACCATTCTCAAATACAATTTTGTTCCATGTTATTAACCAACATTGAATGTTTTGCCAACTGACCGTGAACTTTGAGGTATGTGACGCTGGAGACTTCTCCTCCAGGGTTGCGAGCGACACACTTGTAGGTGCCGCTGTCCTCGGGGAAGGCCTCCATGATGCTGAGGGTGTGAAGGCCGTCTGGGGCGCTCTCCATCTTGAAGTACTTGGACTGCTTCACTAGGTGGGTGTTGCGGTACCAAGACACAACAGGAGCTGAAACATTCAGCAACATGTGAACTCCATCCAGGTGGTATCAACAGACATGTCTGGTATCTGTGATCCCCACCAACCCCCCTGTCCTTATCGCGTCATCAGGATAACCTATACAATGTTTAACATTGACATCAATATCATTGTTAAACATTATCAACATCAGTACCAGCAGTGCTAATATCATCGTTTTTTTATCAATATCCTCATCATCACTGCTTAGAATAATCTTCATTGTCATCTTCACTTATTATAATTCTCATCATTACTGATTAGTGTAATCCTATTCATCTTTAATAATTAGAATAATCCTCATCATCACTGATTAGAGTAATCATCATCACTTATTAGAGTAATCCTGGTCATCTACATCAATTAGAATAATAATAATCATCATCATCACCATCAGTGATGAAAGTAATATTTATTATCATCAACACTAATCAGAGTAATCCTGATAATCACTAAATAGAGCAATTGTCATTATCATCAACACTAACCAATTATGAAGATGTTCAAAGAACAATGCTGTGCTATGACTTAGACATTTTTAATCATTCTGCTAACAGGGGAGATAACCATGTAGATATTTAGGCATACCAGTAGGGATAGCTTAACTTAGAAAATTTTTAGTCTCTTTCATTCTGTATGTATCTGTGTCACCCACAGGAAACTGGCAACCATAATCCAGAGGAAGTCGTTATCATCAACATAATTAGATTATCCTGATCATCATTATCATCATTATCACTAATCAGAGTTATCCTGATCATCACTGATTAGAGTCACTGACATCATCATCTCTGATCACTGAGAGTTATCCTCCTCCTCACTGATTTGATTCATCACATCTCATTCAAAAGGCTGTACTCACGAGGATGTCCAGTGATCCTGCATGTGAATGTGACAGGTTCTCCCTCGTCTACTTCCTTTGGCTGGGGCTGTTGCTGCACAACAGGGGCCACGGCAGGCTCCTCTGGCTTCAGCTCCTCTGGTGGGTGGATTGGCACTAGACAACAGTAACAGGACCATTAGCTTTCCTTTAATATCATCCCCCAAACTGGACCCCCCAGTCAAACAACACTGCAATTAATACCATTTAAAACAAATATCAGCAAGATAAAAACCTCTGGAATTTTATTTGGATAATAACAAAATGAAAAATATTTTTATTGTATAAAATATAGCGTTCCGTACATTCAACTGTGAGTCTTGCGGTGCAGGTTGCCTTGCCAACAGTGTTGATGACAACACAGGCATAGACTCCAGCATCCTCAGGTTGGACTTCATAGATAACCAGAGTGTGGTTGTAGTCTTCGGCGATGAACTTCCACCGTTTGCTCTCATACAGTGGCTTCCCATCCTTTGTCCAGGACACCTGTGGCCTGGGATAGGCGGACACCTGGCAGTCGAAGGTAGCTGGTTCTCCCTGGGTGGTCACGCTGTCTCGCAACAAACTCGTGAACTCAGGGGAGGCTACTCTCTCTGGCTCTTCGGGCTCTGCAACAACAACATTATCCATTATCAGATAATTTTGATTTCATTTTCAGAATGTCTCATTTCATTTTCAGAATGTTGTCCGTAAAGTAATACATTCAATTTCTATGATCTAACCATCCTCTACTATCTATTTTTACAAAATACATCATGTTATAAGATGCATATGCACTGACCAACAACGGTCATCTTGGCTTTGCACTGGACCATGCCGAACTTGTTATAGGCCTTGACAGTGTACATGCCGCCATCTTCGTTGAACACCTCTGGAATCTGAAGAGTACTGCTGCTGTTTGTTGTGGTGATCTGGAATGGATGAAGAAGAAAAGATAATGACACTCAATGTCCATCCATGCTACATACAAATTACATGATTAAGAATATTATACGTTTTTTAATATGCTGCAGAGCACAACATGCCCATGTGAGGAAGCGCTAACCGAACCCAGGTGTTCAGCATGATGAGCGAACACCTTGACAACTAGGCTACCCCACTGCCCCTTTTGTTCAGAACATAATGCAGTTCAATGTATGCAATAATTTGGGTGCAGACTTTGCAAAGACTGAAAAACCAAACATTTAAAGACAGGTGTTTTGTTTTCCTGACCTGGAAGTCTCTGGACCTCTGCACCTCAAAGTTGTCTCTGTACCAGGTAATGACAGGTGGCGGACTTCCCTTGAACTGAACCTCAAGTCTGTAACAAGAGTGGACACAAGGTGTCATAATACCAGTTTAGATAGTTGACATTTACTTCATCAAAACATCAACACAATCACTCAAATAAACTACATCTGACTATCATATAAAAGTGATTGCAAATGTTGTTTTATACATCAGCTGTTTTAGTGTAGCCTGTACATAATCATCCCATGGTCAGGCAAAACAATGTTTGAAATCATGTGCATGATCCTGTCATTGGGGCACTATGCACTGTCACATAACACAAGGAATTTTTAAGAGATTATAACACTACTGAAATAAATACTGAGTACTCGAAGCAAATGTGTTCTGAAGTAAATTAAAAAAGCAATATCTTATTCTCCATTTAACATTTACATCAATACTTCAGGTAATGGCTACACAAACATCACATCATCCAAGTCTCTTCAGAGATACAATATACTCACTTGACAGAGGCTCCTTCTGTGACGCGGACTGGACGCAGTGGCTTAGAGAATACAGGTGGTTCCCCTTGGGCCAAGGTCACCTGCTTCCGGGCGACGTGGGTCTCATCAGGCTTTATCATTGGCTGAGGAGGAACAGCAAACATCTGAGCATGCTCAGCAATGAGATCCTTGTTGGTTGGCTGGAGGTGTGTGTGCACACTGATGTACTGCTGTTCTGCAAGGACGACCTCGTCATCACGGCGAATCTTGATCTTTGACTCTGAGGCTGCAAGATGACCATCAAACACAATGATTATTTATATATACCTGTCTTCATCATACAAACAGAATTTATTTTCTGAAAATATTTCATAGTCATGTAGTTGTCATGGCAAAAAAAATCAGATTCTGAGATTTTAATAACACACCCAATGATCCTGTACATATGACCAATCTCACATCAATGTTGTATTTGAAACATTGGAGCTAAGTCCTACCTCTTTCAAGTTGGCGAAGTTCAAATTCAGTTGCTTTTGGCTTCTTGAAGGCTGTTTCAAGTTCCACGCTACGGAGTTCAATTTTCTTTCTACGCTCAAGTTCAATCTCAAGCTCTCCTGCAAGATCAAAGGATATCATGTGAATATGAAATTTCAACACAAAGAGTAAATTTAAATTTTAAAGGTGAAATCAAACATTATCAATGACAATGAAATATGAATCCTATTATCATATATAATCAGCTTCAAACAGTTAGGAATGTCAGCAATATTCAAGCTTTACCCCTGACCTATAAATCACCATCTTGTAACATCTTTTCGGTATGACATAGAGAGGGGATGAAACCACTTAAGTTATGCACTATAGCAGGTGCTCTATCCAATTGACCACACAGTCAATCTGAACAATTGGCAGTAGTAACACATATAGTACAGTCCAATGTGCAAACCTTTGGGTGCCTGCTTCAGCTTGGCTCTCCAGTCCTCCTTGGGTAGAACCGTCAGCGATGTGCTGGTCTCGGCTTCACCTTCAGGATTCTTGGTGACCACACGGATCTGTCCTGCATCGTACTCGCGACAACGTGGAATCTCCAGGTAATGCATCATGCCATCATATGTTACCTTGAACCTTGTACCCTGGAAAGGACAAACACAATTTTCAGTCAAGGGCCAAACATAACACAGTCAAGACATAATAGCAACCTGAGAAGCTATTTTCAAAATTGTCTTTTTCATATTTTGTTAATTATTGCTTAATATGTTTTGTTTAATGCCACACACTCAGCTATTCCAGCTACAACTGGTGAATCAAACTCATATCTACACTACAAATACTAAGTTTCCCAATCAGCTCATAAAACATTAAGTAACATGTCAGTTACACCTGTATCCTGTCCAAAACATGCTGTACCTTAATACAAGACAAACATATCCTATAATTTTAGAAAATATCCAGTGGCCTTATACTCACCCCGACAATTAGCGACCCATTGACCCACCATGACACGCGGGGTCGTGGGAAACCGCTGACCTTGACCAGGAACTTGGCAGGTTCACCTTCACCAGTTTCCACTGGCTCTGGCTTGAGGTCGAAGCTTGGAGGGCATTTGACCTGAGGTTCTTCAATGACCCTCTCCTCCAACATCATACCACTGGAAGACACAAAACCATATTACTAAAACTAGAAAGAATACGCTCTTCTGTGTACAGATTATCACAACTTGCATTACACAAAAGCAGTGTATAAAGCATTCACACATTCTTATAACAGGTATGGGTCATGTAAGTGTGTGTTCCATTATCTAGGATCTGTATGCATAGAGTAGACTTGACCAACACTTGTATTTCAACTTTGTGTATTTTTTTCAATTCAATATTTCATAATGATACCTTAATTTACTAATATTGTATTGTAACCTTGCATTTTTATAAGAAGTTGAAATCTGTATTTTGTTTTGCAGCTTATTGGTACAACTTCTAAAGCCAGTTATATGTATCCACAAAGGGAGGTAACTCACCTTCTCCAATGTTCTTCCATCTCAAAGAGACGAGTGGCGCCCTCTCCTGGCAGTTGAGTGTCCATGATGATAGATTTGCGGGCTAAAAGATAAATAAATTTGTTTTAATTATTTTACAGATATCTATTTCACTATACTTCAGTTCATTAGGAAGAAAACATAAGTATTACTACTTATAATCTTCAGTATGTTATATTTTCCCTACCTCTGCACTTGATTTCGGCAGTGGTTGTAGCTTCGCCATAGTTGTTAGTGGCCTTGCAGGTGTATGTGCCAGAGTCTTCAGCAAACACATACAGGATGTCCAGGGATACAAAACCAAAGTCATACATTGGCTTGAAGCGGTGGCCTGGAATGACAACGAACATAATTGTCATTTTACTCTAATGGCTCTTAGTGTGAAGCAGTATGTTCTAGACAGATATTTTATTCACACTGGAAGGGGCCTATATTTTATTAATTGTGCAAATTTAGCTGTAGTTTCTTAGTAATCATTCATATCTTGCACCAGATGAAGTTGTGACCTCAAATTTTAACAAGGCAGTAAAACATTAATGATTTAGAGAAAGTCCAAATACAACCAAAGTTATTTTGTACAAATGATATTAATGTTCTATAAATGTGTTCCATATCACCATTTAACTTGTTGGCAGTGAGTGTGTAGGGTTTTACAATATCACAGCAGGGGACAATAGAAATGGGAATCCCACATTGTACACCTGTGGGGAATTGAACCTAGGTCTTTGGTGTGATGAGCAAAGACTTAAACCACTAGGCTACCCCATTGCCCCTATGGTGTTGACAAACAAACCACCATCAAAATTCACCTTATTAAGGTATTGAAACCCATTATCACCAGATCCAGACAAAACTAAGGGACACAACTCTCTTCAATAACCTACAACCAATAAGAAGAGCTACCAACTCACCATGATGAAGAGGCTCTCCATCCTTGAACCACTCGACCTTCATGTTAGGATCACCCATAGGGATGAGCTTGCATTCAAAGTGAGCGGAATCATTTTCCTTGAGAGTCTTCAGGTCCTTGATCTGTGTCTTGAACTTGGGTGGCCGTTGCTTCGTCTTGTCGAAGATGTCACCAGCTTCTGGCTCCTGTCCTTCACGACGGATGTACTCACGTACAGCACTCTCTTGATCCCAGATTTTGACTGTTGGAAGAATACAGACACACTACAACATTCCGTAGAAGAATTGGACCTACCATTGTGTCCCTTGTTTAAGAATATATTTGAGTGTAATGATAAGTAATTTGTATTTGTAATGTTAAGTCAAACCCTGTACCAAGTTATTTATACATTAAAACAGATTAACACAGAGAATGTATTGCAACTAAAGAAGCACTGATCTTGTAATCAATAATATTTACAGAATTTAATTGTTTTGACTTTAACATTGAGCAGGATCTTTATCTAGGATTTTATCAGAAAGAAGTTATATTTTTTCATCCCTAACATGATATCTGAGTACTGTTAGTATCAATCTGATAAAAAAATAAAAATGATGAACTTCATGCTCGCAATGCTCCTAAGATGACCTTCAGATAATATGCATTGATGTTTCATTGGAATCACAAGATCTGAATATATTTTCATTGCGTATGTAACCATACAATAAGTCATGATAAATATTGTTAAATAAGCCCAACAATTTATGATTCCATTGCTCCAAATCTAAAGTAGGACCTCCTATCATATGAAGATCGTCTTCTAAAATACATACAAATTTACGTAAATGAAAATCAAAGATGTATGAATAAGAATATGAATATTTAACTGAAAATGAGTTGGTTTCAAGAGAAGAGTTTACTCTGTTTGCAAATGGGGACGTAGATTATTTGTGATGAAAATACCTGAAGTCCAAAAATATAACCATGAGTGATATCTAGTATAGCTAGTAAACAAAAACAATAAAAAAACTTCAGCAAACATGTCAGGTTGTGGCAAAAAGGAATTCAACTGAAGACTGGGTTTGGATTCCAAATTTTCAAACAAGAATCAGCGTTGGATTTGGCACTGCTTTTAGCAATTTTCCAGGCATGTTATAAACAAGGATGTCAAAGACAGGCTTCAAATAGTGTACCCATTTGGGGAATCACAATCAGATCTTCAGTCTCTTGAATGCATGACGGGTAGAAGCAGGAATATTGTTTCGAATGTCAAATTCTTTTAATTTGAGTACAGCAATTTATCAGCTGAACGGGGCTTTAGGAACAGGTTTAGCTGTTGAACTATATAATGGAAGATTAGGAAAAAAAGGAAATCAGTGGAATTGGAGAAATGTTTGAACAGATGCATTTCATGAATTATGGCAGAAGTATGTTAGTTGGAACAAATGAAAACAAAACATTTGATTCCAAACATAACGCCATGCATGGTCTTGCGACCGAACCTCGCATCAAAGAGTAGAATTGCGCTTGATATCTCAGGTGGCGCTGGCGTCATGATAACTGGCGGTCTGTTGAAAGTATTTGGTTATTAACAGTTGTACAACACACATCATACCATAATATATACATATATAGTTGGACAACAAACAGTGCCCCAGCAAAAGACATCTCATCTCAGTGGATCCAAGAACTGTCAAAATTGTTTATTCAATCCAAAAATGTTAATATGAAGAGGGCCAGTAATTTCGAGTCATCGTTTTAATACAAAAAAAATGGTTTGCAAGCATCAAACTGAATCTTTCATAAAAGGTTTAATCATGGTATTTATTTCAATGAGTGTAGAAATGTATAAAAAATAACAGTTTCAACAGTTCCATAAAAGACACCACATCAGTTTCTACAACATCAAATATATAGTTTGCACTTGGTAGGTGAAATAAAGACTTCCATATCACAACCAAGACAATATTCAAGCACACATTTCAGCTTAAAGGAATGTGGTTCATTCAAGACATAACACATCATGCAAGGAAAAGATCAGTGAGTGCGTGAATAGTGTTTCACTCTATAGACAGCAATATATCAATGTGACTTGATATCTTGTCTAGACCTTGCAAGAAAGTGATCAAAGGAGTCAGCTTGGAAGAAAAGTTCTTTTGGACACATCAGGTCAAACTGAGAACGTTTGGCAATATACCAGAAATATCCATTAGACACCAAGTATGGGCTTAACACAACCATATCAGAACTGAACCTGGATCTTTGGTGTAAGCAAACACTTGACCCATTTGGCTATTCTACAGAGTTGGTCTTCTCCGGTTGCATTCCGCAGCTCCAACTGATGATAATCTGCAGCCATATAGGCCATCTAATCCCCATTTTATCCATGAAGTGGAGAATAAATAGCTGATAAAGAAGGAAAAAGGGTAAATAGTGGCAACAGGTGTTCCATGCTTTGTTGACGGTGGTATCAACATCACAAATATTGTTACGGATTCCAGTGTTAAGAGTAAAGGAGAGATGTACTTAAGGTGCTTCATGTGCTTATAAGGTGCTTCAGGTGGGTACAAAGCAACCATGTTATGTTTGACAGTCTCAGACATGCAATAAACAGGAATTGATATCAACTAAGCTGTCATCCAGCTAATAGGTCATTCTGCATGATACAGCAAATAAATGATGCAGAACTATTTCAGCCAATGAAATCACAATGCATCTTGGCCAATGAAAAGCTTTGAAAATATGCCATTCCGCAACTTGCAATATGCCATAAAAGCATTGCGTCGAGTGAAAGGATGGTCCTCAGCTACAGATGTGGACATGAAGTGAAAATGTGTTGAAGATAAACTCTACTGATCCTGGACTGATCTAGCGCAGGGATGAGGATTGCAAACTCAATGGTTTCATCTAGGGTTCTAGAAGGAAGATGCTGATAAGGTTTCTTAGGGTCATCAACATCAAGACCATTCTACTCAAATTACAGATTCTCTACACAGGCAGTGAATTTCAAAGGTCATCTCCATCCTGGAAACTAATGACGATGATGCATATCCGGACAACACTGATGAGAAGCTGAACAACGATGGTCATTACGACAAGCATGAACGTTGATGCTGCAGCCAAGAAAGTGGCATACTGCTTCCACAAAGCATGACAAGTACAGCAGATTCACAGATGCTGGGTCAAGGCCTAATATGTCCATTCCAGCTAAGGGCTACCAGTATTGAAACTAACCCCTTCTGATACGTGTCTACAGCATGAGGAACATCAATACTCTCTGGCCACCATGGTGGTACATCTTGTCGCAATACGATTGGCTGAGGCACTTCCTCAGGCTTTGGTTTACGTTCACGAACCCTCTTTGGTGAGGGTTTGGGTGACACAGGTGGAGGTGCTGGTTTGCTAAAAAAAATTATTTATTCATCGAAACATGACAGGTGCAGAAAATTCCTTGTTAAGTGTTTCTGATCGGTGCAACATTATGGGCAAACATTTTGAAGAAATGACATTAGGCACAGCAAACAGGTTTGGGAAAAAGAAATCAATTCTTCTCATAAAAATCACTTCAATGAACAACGATGAATACTTTACAAAAGAGAACAAAATATTTTGGACTAGATTATCTCCAAATTGAAGATGTTTCCTATCAAATCATATTCATCAGAAAATCATAACCAAATCATATTATCACATGACATTCATTACAAACTATTTAAATACTTTTAATAGAAATGGTTAATTTTAAGGTTGTCACTGGGATTTTGTACAAAACGGGGATCACACAGAATAGAATAGAATTTAACCTTGGCGGTGCCTGTGGTGCAATCTGCATCTCAACTTTCTGAACAGATGGTATTGGTGTTGGTGGCGCCACAGGTCTGAGAGGAGGAACACAGTGCCACATTACCAAAGTGCTACCAAACTTTTTACCAAAAGTTTATACATATCTTTACCTAGCTTCAAACACCAGGAATATTGCCCTGAGACTACCAGTAATTATAACATATCTTATATTATATAAGTATCACAATACAAACGGGAATTGTAGGATAATGGTAAAACAAAAGTTGGAACTTTAAGAAGGATTATATTGGATTATATATAATTATAAAGACGCCATTACCAAAAAATATAAAGCTAATTCCTCAAAGGAAACTTGGAATATAATACCAGAGTCATGAGTGTATGGATAACAAAGGCAGCTACCTCAGTACAAGCTCCACCTGGGTCAGTAACAAAGCAGGTCTAGATGATATGTTTTAGCATAAGCATGTGATATAAAAGACGAGGCTCTCTCTTAAAGACAATGTGAAACACTCAGTTACCTGTAGTCCACCTCAGGAACCTTGAATGTGGCTTTGACTGGCTCAAAAGTTGGCTGAGGTTTGGGTTCAGGTCTAAAAGTTGGCTGAGGTTTGGGTTCAGGTCTGAAAGATGAATAATCAAATCTAAACAAATGTTAACTTTGGTAAACTCTAACTTTATGATCCATTTCACTAGGCTCTTACTGAAATTGATCTTTACAATGATTTCTAATAAACAATGGTCTGAATAGTCACTTTATTACTCTTCTCCAAACTGGAGATGTTTGATAAACCAAGAAGGCTTCAGTTGTGTTTCCAGTATGTTGTTCTTTCCATAACAAACAAAGCATCTACTTAGGATGTTCTTATAATTGGCACAAATAACAATTCAATGGACATAAAACAGTTTTAGAATAATAGGGTCAGAGAACTCCAATCATGAATCCTGAAAACAATACATGCAATTCATAATTCAAGCAGAATTTGTGTTTTTGTCCAGTTGTCCCTGGGCTGAAATTGAAACAGCAGCTGCATCGTGCATGGCCTAGGGGCAATCAGTCTGCTGAAAGGTGTCAGATCTGGCAGCAGCATGCACAGGCTAAATTCAGTCATCAACATCTGAAAAGTGTCTGAACTTGTTCAACATGCACAGGCTAAATTCAGTTATCAACACCTAAAAGTTGTAATTGTACATCATGCTGTAACAAGTTACATCATAACATCTACCACATTCTTTGTACCAAATTATACAAATTATACCAAAACATATGACGCAACTTGTCTCTGCTCCTGAGACAAAAGCTGCTGCAACTCTTACATGCCAGCCCACCATGTATCATGGCTTCTCAATGCCATACTGTCAACAATAGCTTTGAAGTTCATAAATCAACTCATAAGAAAACAAATCAAGAACTCTTCACTTGCTTCATGCATGGTTAATTTCCTCAACAAGACAAAAGCCTGTTATTCCTAGACCCTTCCACTAGGACACCTTCTTGGGCATAAACACTCCATGCAAAGTTCTCTAGTCAGTTAACAGATAACTGTTATAGCCCTTCATAAGGTATCTCCTAGAAGCAGACCCTCTGCAAATCCTGAACTTCAAAATGCAGAGTTTCACTGAAAGATTTAAGCATCAAGAATTCCTTAAATACATGCTTATGGACACAGAGCCGATGTTTCTGTGATCTTGCTGATAAGCTTCATGCAAACTCCAAAATGTAAAACGAGAACGCAGCACATAGGGTCTCAGTGCAAGCTGGGTAGACACCAACCTCTTCTTCTCCTGCTTGACGAGGCGAAGAGAACCATATTCCGTGTCTGAGGCGTAAGAGATAAGTTGGACTGGTCCTTCCTCCTGGATCTCGTACTCACTGAGTGGAGCAGAATACAATTAGTCAAACTTCTCTAGACTTGGCCACAGTATCCAGCAAACATGAATTCTCACATGCTACAACTTGTAATTAACCTTCTACAAACCTCCTACAACTGAAATGACATACCAGTATCTGTACCATTGCAACAACAGTTCAATTATTTCTGCGCAAATCTACAGTTGATCATTTGAATGAATATTACAGAACATGCCCAAGTTTCTCTTCTGGTAGAACAAGATAGATTATATTTATATCCGTTGAATGAATGAGTAGAGTGAGTTTTATGCTTCTGTAATCATTTGAGCCATGAGGTGTCTTGAGACACAAAGACTGATATTAAGACATTGAAAACATATGTGGACTATGTCCAGGGCCTAATAAGTCGATGTAATACTTGAAGCACTAGGCTACCCTGCAGCCCAACAATTGAAGAATGTATTCAGTTAGGATTTCATGATCATGCTCTTCTGTGATAATCATCACACTAAAAATGAATGAAACAAAATTCAAATAATGTATCAAATAATATTCATGCATAGGCACACAAGGGTGGTCGATGGATGAGACAGAATGTTGGTGGTGATGGAAATATATCCTGCATATACTGTTCTTCAAGAGGAAATCCACACAGAGAAAACAGCATAGTTAATTATGGTGAAAGAAAAGAATCATCAAGCATGAGACTTTGTGACAGTTATTTCCATGTCCTTGTCAAGGACCACACAAGCAGATGAATGTCAACAGAGAGGCATGAGTACAAATCTTCTGGAAACAAGAAATGACAGAATAAGTAAAGATAATAAAGATGTGCCCATTACTGTTCCCTTCTATCCATCAGTAGGATGAAGTGACCATGGTTGTAAGCACAGGGAGAACACAACTGTTAATAAAGAATCAATCCAATGTGTTAATTGCCATGTCCACTGGGAGCACACAGATTAATGTATAGCAAACACTCCGAGATGTTAATGTCCGTGTTATTGGAAATCCAAACCAGCCGGATGTAGCTTTTAGCAACCTCACACACCTTTCTCCAGGTGGAAGCACAAAGGTGACCTTCTGAGGTTTCTTTGGCACTTGTGGCGCCTTGGCCTTCTTCATCATTGTTGGTGGTGGTGGCTTGGTAACCATTGGTGATGGCTGTGGTTCCACCTTCTCCCTTGGTGGGGATGGCAACTTCACAACACGTATTGATGCCGGTGGTGCCTTTGGTGGTGCCATTCTTGGCAATGAGTGAGATCTTGGTCTTGGTGCCATCATTGGCACTCGTGGAGATGGTGCTACTTTGAATGGTTGCATTGGTCGTGGTGCCTGAATCACTGGTTGGATCATTGGTGATGGAGCATAGATCGGTAGTGGAGTGAATGGTTTTAGAACCGGAGCAGCAACCGGTGCAGGAACCGGTTTTGGTGCCGGTTTAGGGGCTGGCTTGGGAGCCACTTTAGGTGCCACTTTAGGTGGTGCTGGAGCTGGTGGTGGTGGTGGCGGCGGTGGTGGTGGAGCCTGTGGCTGTGGTCTGTGTGGTAATTTGTGAACGCTACAGATATTGTGTTGTTAAAATATTGATGAACAAGCATCTTGACTTTTCGCGGGTGTTGCATTGAACTAATCAATGACAGTCATTATAATGACTGGTCCTGAAGAGGCTTGATACAGACATTTTAAGTATTTACTGAAACTATCCCCAGATTATGTCAATGAAGTGGATGAACAGGGCATGCATTAAACCTAAGACTGGAATCTTACTCTTATTACATGCTTGCTATGGGTAAACACATACTCTAGTGAATTCAGTTGTCTTCATCTCCATCTCAATGGAAATATTGTACCAATGCAAAGTCATGCATAAAAGATACATCTAACAAGTGTTTACACTACACAATATAAGGATATAGGCATTCATTAAAACCTACATGATACAACCATATATGTGTATGATGCAACTCAACTTAGATGTAAAGTATTGTACATGATAGGTCACATCTACAGCTTCCTGACGATCTGAATCATATCACAGAGTTTACTGTCAACTTCACACATGCTCTGATCCATGCTAAGATTATTATATTAACCTTCTCTGAGGCTCGATGGGAGCTTCTGGCTTTGGAGTTCTGTCAACAGGTTGCTTCCTGGAAACATGACCACAGAAGACATCATGTAACATTTCGGTAGAGCAATAGGTGTCATGTAACAATTCTTTAGGGCCATTGAGGTGTCATTTAACATTTCCATATGTGGATGTCATGAAGTATCACATAACAATTCTATAGTCACAGATCTGTGCAGCAAAAGATTTTTATGCTGTTAAAAGAGATCCTGAGAAGATACCAACATAGCCTACATTTCTTGAATATCTTAAGATGATAAATGCATGAAATACTTGCAGAATTATTATTTTTTCAAATAAGTTTGTGAAAAATGAATCTTGTGCAAAATAAACATATTGAAACACAAAGGCACATGTACTCAGAGCACACAGATTACTACAGTACTGAACCTCCATATCATGCAGTATTCTTGAGCAGACGTCAAAATCAAGTCAGTCAGGAACAATTAAGGTCCTTGATAAATGTTTCTTCAGTACATACATCAGACTAGGGTTCACCTCCAGTGAGAAATATCAGATGTCATGCAAGATACTATCATTTGTCATGCTTTGAAAGATATGGCCAGACATTATGACCTTGACTTCTTACAAATAGGCATTATGGATTCTAAATGCCAGAAGCGCACAAATTCTGGACAAGCCAACTCTGCTGATCAACTGTTACATACATGCCTGGCCCAGTCATACAACTTGATTAGTGCGAAGACCATTTTAAGTCTATGTTAAAGTATGGGAGTAACAACAATCAGGGCTCAGTTTGTGAAAGTTGGCCCTGAAAGAAAGCTTCATGCTCAGGTTGATTGAAATTAATAAAATTTTCTGAAAATAGTTAGGATCATCTACTTTCACACTCAAGCTGACACAAGACAGTTTAACTACAACTGGGTCATATCGGGGTCATCTATGTCTGCTCGCATGCCAGCAGCAATGCTTGATGTCTAATCTTGATAATCTCAGTATCTGAAGCCATCCAATGTCGCCTTCAGTCTAACGACAGCACTGTCAGTTTCTACAATTCACACCATGCAACTCCTAAGACACAAACCTTGGCCTGATTGGCTCTTGATCTACCAGTCTGAGGTAACCACTCTCGTTGTCTGAGGCATAACTTATCAACTGAACAGGTCCAGTCTCTTGGATGTCATAGCTGGACCAAAAAGGACATCAATCATATAGGGTCAACATAAAGGTCAACAGTGCATACTGACATCAACTTGAAATGACATCTATTGAATGGTTCATCTTTTGCAAAAAAATCATGCAAAATAATAAAGAATTCATCAAAGAAAAAAAGCATCATCTATAGAATTAAGAAATGAAATAAGGAATGTGTATTTGCTGACAAACAACAAATTAACACATTCACCTTAACATGTGTTTAGTGAAGAAATCAGAAGTTTGGGTTTTAACAGTATTTCAGTTATATCACAGTATAGCAGCTTAATGTTTACATTTACCACCTTAGGAACAAACTTCAAGGTCAAGCTGTTGACAGACCAAGAATCATAACTGTGTCAAATATGGGATTTGAACACATCACCATCAGACCCTGACACTGCTAAGGGAGGTCAGGATAAGATATTTCAAAGTGAAAACGAGAAGGTTGAATGAAATCATCTGCATGCGTGATGGTCAGCTTTTCTGATACATTGATCTTGGTCATGCAATGTTCACCTTGGAGACATCTCTCTGGGCTTCTTAGCCTTTGGTTCAGCAGTGGACACAAAGACAGGCTGAGGAGCTGGCACTGCAGGTGATGCTGGTGGTGCTGCAAACTTTGGTGCCGGTTTTGGTACCACTGGTGATACTGGCGGTGGCACTGGTCTTGGTGCTGGTGGCGCCTGAGGTTTTGACACCTTAGCTGGAGGTGGCAATGGGGCACCATCTGGTTTGTCAAACATTTTCCTGGCTTCAGAAACACTGGGCAGCACAAGTTCTTCTTCTGGCTCAGTCTCCATTGGTGGTGCCACAGGGGCAGCTGGTTTGGGTGCTGGGGGTGGTAGCACTGCGACCTTTGGTGCCTTCACTGGTGATACGGGCATTTGCTCCTCAACTGGCATCCTAGCAACCACACACAGACTCTCAGAAATTTCTCTCATATTTGAGGCATTTAAAATATAATCTAAGTTGGTATTGAATTTGATCCAATATTTCTCATTCATGGTGATTAGTAGACAATGTTCTCAATACAAACAACATGTGGGTGGCAGTTCTTCACATGCAGCACTGAATTGGCTCATGGTCAAACATTGACAGTACTGGAAAGTCCTTGAGAATAGTTACAGGTCCAAACATGTTAATAGATCACTTGACTGACAACATGGAAAAGCAACCAGAATGTTTGGTCACAAACAAGTTCATATTTACGGCAGAAGAATGACGCCATGCAGGAAGGAGACAAACCTGTTGACAATGATCCCAAAGTCCTCGAGTGACAGATCAGTGGACATTGGGGTAGGAGGAGGAGAGGAAAGGATGGGGTCGTACAGTCGGCCCCTGGGGGTGGAGTAGTACTCCCCAGGGGTGGAGATCAAGGGAGATAAGTCAGGACTGCTGTTGCACACGGAGAAACACGAGTTAGGGATCACACGTGAAAATCAGAAATCACACAGTGGTCACTCCACAAGAAATAAAAATCCATGTTACTTTTTGTGACCTTGAATATATTTGTGTGGATTTTTAATTAACAAAATACTGAAGGTGCATGTCAGATCAAATTATCTTTAAACATGGAACTTAGGGAAATGTCCAAATCTGAATATTTATTGTGCTTAAAAAACCAGGTCAGCAAGGCAACATTTCATGAAGCTGTTCGGGTTTACCAGCATGCCACATATGGTCATAATATGATCATAATATGATCCTAAGGTATGAATGAACTTGATTATATATACCTATATAAATTACTGTGGATATATTTAAAATAAATTCTTTTGAGAAAAAAAGCTAATTCAATTGAGTTATATAACATCATTATATCTGAAGGTTATATACTACCATAAAAGAAATTATAAATCAAATAATCTTGACATAAACATGCAATTTTTTTTTAATGTGACATTAATCACCAAGAAAACTAATTATTTTAAAGGTCATCAGAACAATAAAGGTCAGTCTGTTAATTTTTCATGCCTTCAGTATAAAAAAACAATTTGAAGCAACATTACTATCGTTAAGATCGAGAAAAGAACAAAATATTCCCTACTTTTTACAAAATCATTAGAGTGGTTAATGAGGCAAATTTAGATCTAAGATTTAATTATGTAGTATTATAAGTAAGAAAAAAACCCAACACTATAATTTAATTGATAAATCATAATAGAACCGGTTTAATTAGTACAACAAATTACGACAACATATATTTAAGAGTGTCACCAATCTACAAACAGACTAGGTTATAATGACAACATGTATGCACTAACTTGCCGACAACCTACAGACACGCTAGCTAGATTACTGGTGTTACTACAGTTCACACCCCCATATAAAACAGAGCACAACCGACTACTATCTTAACCAACCTCTCTCTGTCAACGCCAGGAGGGGACTTAATCCTAAGTGAACCCCTCTCCGTCTCAGAGGCATAACTGATTTGTTGAACTGGCCCCTTCTCTTGTATATCATAGTAACTGGATGTTAAATAAGGTACCATTAGAAAACTGCATGTCAACAGCATGAAGCATCTTGTTAATGTTTTGGGTATGAACAACATCAAGCTGAACTGGACTTCAGTTTCATTACATTATCAGGAGTGGTAAAAATCAGGAAGCTCTTCATAAAACTGGTTGGAACACATGCAGCTTTGAGGGAGTGAGTCAAATGCTGCTTCAAACAACATTTCAGTTATGTTACAGCATATCAACTTGATGTGGGAAGAAATCAGTGGTCATATCAGTTTATGGTGTTTACCACTTTGATGAAACCCACAAGTATGGGTACGATGCTGACCAAATTGGGGTAAAAATTGAAGCTAAAAATTGAGTGAGTTGGGTTTTACACCGCTTTTAGCAATATTCCAGCAATATCACAGCGGGGGACACCAGAAATGGGCTTCACACATTGTACACATGTGGGGAATCAAACCCGGGCCTTCGGCTTGACGAGCAAACGCTTTAACGACTAGGCTACTCCACCGCCTCCTAAACAGAATTTGAACCCAAATAGGTTCTAGCATGCCCAAAGGACTCAACTCTAAATTCTGAACAGCAGAACTTTGCAGTTTCATTGGAAAATGTACAAGTTAAAAAAAAAAAAAAGGCTTATGTCAGTGTGACCTTTGGTATTTCCTGCTATATTTCTCTCAGCATGCCTCTTATGTAACACATGAAGAATCTCTGATGATTAATTCTCGGTGGAAGAATAGTTATCAAGGTCTTGCTGAGCTAGACCTGAACACATGCAGCCATGATGGCTTCAACCATGCCACATGCTTAATTCGCACCTTCTGGCATCATCCTCTTTGACCAATCGCAGAAGGGCGCTATCCCCATCCTTCACATAGGTGATCTGCTGAACTGGGCCTTCAGGCTGAATTTCATAGTGACTGCAGGAAGAATAGGACAAACAGTGACAAGCTTGTCACAGAAGCAGACAATCTGGACAACAGGGGCATGAACGTAAAGAATATTTTTCAGATGATTTGTTCCTTAACAAATAAAATGTCTTACATAAAATGGCATAAAAGTCATAAAACAGCTGCAATAGATAAAATTAATGCACAACACCCAACCATCCCAACAAAGAGTCTCCACAATATAACCAGTCCGCTGGGACCCAAATATAAACAAAATGTCAACACCTGAAAATAATCTGCGTTACGTATCAGCTGAAACAGATTCCATAATCGTAATGATACTAGGTGTTGGCAAAAAGGGTGAGCTATATGTTGCACCCATAGCTACATGTTGCACCCACAGCAAAATGACTCAGATTTCATTTAAAAAAACAAAACACTGTAGACACATCATGTCCTTGAACCAGACATTTTGGTAGTTGTAGTCTTCCAATGATGGGATTCCCTCTGATAAATGTTGATTGTTGATTTAGGGTTCTCTAAACAAGCCTGAAATAGGAAGTTCAATACCTTGCGCCAAAGGTCATAGAAAGTAGATACTTACGGTGAAACTGTCCTCTTTGGGTAGGAGATTTTCTTTTCAGGCTTTGGCGATTTGGCTTCAACTGGAAGGGATAGAAAAGGCTATTATATTGAGAGAGTGAGTGAATGTTGGTCACAGCTGCATCATAGGTTCCTGTAAATAACAAGATCTTGGTCAGTAAACTAGTGGTTGATAACATACCGTATATGACCGTCTATAAGCCGAATTTTGAGGACCAAAAAAAGCAGTCTGTAGAAGGGGGTCGTCTTATCCATGAGTTACACTTTCGTCAAACTTTTTTCCAGGGGTAAGAAAACAACATCGTATCACTTCGCGGGAACAAACAACAGAAGACGACTTTGTCAGTAGAGACGTCAAATTTGCAATTAAACATCACTAGACAAGATTATTTACCATTTAAGTTATAAGTTGTTTTTGCTGGGCATTGTTTTATTTGCAGGGATTAAGATTACCGTGCGTATTTGTCTCGTACACAAAGCTGGAAATAGCAATCAGCTGTGCACACGTTTCCTGGCGAACAAGTTCAAGCATGCACAATAATATAACGGGACGAATTCTGACGCAGTCAACAGTAAAATATAATACAGAATACCGTTATTTAACCCAAAGAAATATATCCTAGCATTGTGTAATTTTAGTTACAGTTTTTGCTCTATAAATTAATTAAGATTACCGTGCGTATCTGTCCCGTACACAAAACTGGAAATAGCAATCAGCTGTGCACACGTTTCCCCGCGAACAAGTTCAAACATGCACAATAATATAACGGGATGAATTCTATTGATTGAATACTATTATTTAACCCGAAAAAATATATCCTAGCATTGTGTAATAGTTTTTATGTAAAAAATATATAATCAACACTAAGGTTATCACGGACCATCATGAGCGTGGTAAGCCGTGACATGGAGCAGGCGGTAATCAGTTTGTGATTGTTGAATGGGGTAAAATAAGCAAGTCAGTTTGTTGCTACAATAAATATGATATTTAGAGAAGCAAAATATATTATGCATTTTCTGTCAACTACACTTCGTTTCGATCCGTTGAGTAGACACAATATATATGACAGTGAATTCTTTGAATAATGTGGATCGACTTACAGTATATGAGGAGGACAGTGACCGCGAATTTGATGGGTTTTACGGCCGATGACTTGTGAAAATCTCAGAACTCTCTTGCAGAAATGTCAGTGTTTATTGTTAGTGGACTATTTTTCTTATTGTCATATATATATAGATGAAATATGGACACTTAAATAATATATTTTGAAACAAAAGTTGACTTCAGTTTTTATTTACCGATGGTACGTTTTCACAAAATGGCGTCTCGTTGTTGATGCAAGCAGTGATCGTTAAAAAAAGGTAAACAAACACCGGTAATCTTTATTATGTAATATTCTCACCAACACTTCGCTGTATATGGTGTCTGATCGTTAAAAAGGTAAACAAACACGTAATCTTTATTATGTTGATGGAACATACTTACCGGGTACTCTGGTCTCTGTTGGCCGCGACCCATCGCGGGGGGTCGGCCTATCCATGAGAGATATGATTTTGACACTGATTTTGAGGGTCAAGTTTGGGGGTCGGCTTATCCATGGGGTCGGCTTATAGACGGTCATATACGGTAAGCAACAATCAATGCTGATGTCACTGTGACACACAATCAACCAGGTCACAGTCTTGATTCTCATTTAACTACAGCACGGCATTTGGGGAGGCCGATTCTGAACTAGAATCGCAATGGGGGAACCGGGCAAAGAGGTTTAATATGAACACATTGATAAAGTCTGTTCCAGACTAGAGGTAGATGAAGTGTAATACAAACATGTTCTGGAAGTGACCATTCTGAACTGGAATCTCAATGGCAGGGATTAGATAACAGTACAAAGTGAGTGATTACAAGAGTATGGTTTTAAGCCACTTTTAGCGATATTAGAGCAACATCATAGCAGGGGACACCAGAAATGGGCTTCACACATTGTACCCATGTGAGGAATCGAACTCGGGTCTTCGGCGTGACGAGTGAACGCTTTAACCACTAGGCTACCCACCACCCCGGAACGATCTGTTAATCGCCACATACCTTGCACGACCAGCTTGGCACGTGTTGTGGCAGTACCTGCTACGTTCACGGCAGAGCACTGGAACCAAGCATTGTCTGAGGGCACAACTTGGTCAATGATTAAAGATGACCTTCCACCTTCCGTGTCAATCCTGAATGGAAATTTCAATAATATCAGTTTCATAACTACCTTGAACTCAAAAACTAAAGTAAGAAAGCATCATATACAAAGTCAGAAATCCACAGTATGATCCAATAATACGAACATTTATCTCTTATTATTTCTGACAAACCATCACACTTTAATACTGAATGAATCAATTTATCCCTGATGAAGCTGGGATGAATGCTAGCCTATAGAACTAAAGATATCATAATGACACTGGTGAAGTGACGTGAGGTGAAATTGGGTTTAACGTCGTGCTTGGGAATATTTCACTCATATGACGACGTGCATGCGTGTGTATGTGTATGTGCGGCTGCTTGTACTAGCCCAGACTTAAGATGGTTTTATAGTGCTAGCTCACTGAGAAACCATGCCGCAGTGAAGCATGAATACCCCACTCAGACACATTATACTGACTCCAAGCCGACCAGTCCTTAATTAATTAATGCCAAGCGCCAGGCAGGGACCAACAAGTACCATATTTTAACGTCTTTTGGTATGACGCGGTCGGGGATCAAACCCGCGACCTTCCGCTCTCCGGGCGGACACTCTAACCACTACACCACGGAGGCGGCTAATGACACTGGTCACAACATACAAGGCAATCAGCTAATTGCAAAGAATACAATGTTTAATATTAATGTCTATATTTATGCTTACTTGTATTCCTTGTTAGGTGTAAGCATCTTGCCCTCTTTCTGCCAGCTCATCATTGGGGTGGGGACACCTGTTGCCTGACAGGTCAAGGTCACAGGATGACCTTCCCGTACAGTGTAGTTCTGCATGCGATCGATAAACTTGGGATGTTGCATTTGCAGACGCTCTGGAAGATAAGGATGAAGTCAAAGTTACAAGAAATTAAACTAAGGACATGGGTGGTACAAAATATTTACAACATCATTTATGTATCGACAAGACATGACTAACTGATGTATACTCAGTACATTGAGAGCCTATATAAATGTGTCAGAAGTACATACCCAGTACATTGAGAGCCACTCCAAACGTGTCCTCGCCACCCTTGTTGCGGGCGATGCAGGTGTAGTTGCCAGCATCCTGCCGTGTCACAGACAAGATGATCAGCGAGTGAATTCCATCCTCGTTGATCACAATCTGTGGATGAAGTGTCAGTTCAGTTCAGTCAATCAAATATGTTACCCACTGGTACAATATCTATATTTTGACATGAAATAGAATACAGAGTACTTTGCTGCAGGATGTTTTGGCCAAGGCATCAGGAGGAATATTCTTTTGTTTTACTATCAGCCATTATCCAGCAGAAGTGTCTTTACTGTTGAAGCAATACAATGTTGAAGCCTTTCCACTGTTGAAGCCCCCTACCTTATGGTTGTCGTCATTATGTACTGGCTGGTTGTTCCTGAACCACAACATCTCTGGCAGAGGTCGGCCAGATACCAGGCAGTCAAATCTCACAGTCTGTCCCTCACGGGCTTCTATGTTTTCTGGTACTTTCTTAAAGACAGGGCGGGTGTGAGTTTCAAATATTCCACCCTGGTCCTCGGGTCCCTTCTTGCCCTTTTCAGTGCCCCTGAAACACCAGTGTCAAGGTCAAGGTCAAGGTCAATACACAGGTCACATTCACAACATAGGTCACGTTTACAACCCTGGTTAATCCCTGTTAATTACAGTGTGTCACAATTCCGAAAAATATATTTTTTAACAAAATGGCTTACTGGTTCAAGATCTTTTCCAGGGTTTCTGGAGCAACGAAGGAGGTGGCATCGATGTTGCCAACTTTATCCACATACAGTTGTGCAGAGCAGGTGTTGCGCCCTGCAGAGTTGGCGGCAAGCATCGTGTAGTGTCCTGCATCCTCGGGCAGAGCAATGCGGATCTTGAGTGTGCAGTAGCCGTCAGCGGTGTACTTGATCTCGTAGCGGCTGGAACGCTTGATTCGCTTGCCGTTCTTGTACCAGGCAGTCTGTAGAAAACATTACAGTTCAATCTTCCATTCAAACACACGCAATACTTGTTTCATCAGCATTCTAAAAGATGGTGGGTCCTTAATGGATAACAACATAGAGGGACATTTACATGCAGATTCTTACATCATCATCAAGCTAATATAATAGTGTAAGAATCTATAGTGAAACATCCTTCTGAACAAAAGTTGTATTCATTGTTAAGTGCAATGCTGTTCCAATAATGATATCAGATATAATTATACATTAGAGATATCTGTTAAAGCAGCACCACACCAGAACCTGGCCCAGCACCAACTCCATCCCAAAGACTAAGGCTGTCTACACTGAGCCCATCAAGGGAATTGGACCTCTTTCCTGGGAATTAAACTTTAAGCACTATGCCAGCACACTGTAAAATACCATACATTACAGAGAGCACAAGACTTAGTTATAGATAAGAGGTCATACAGAAGATCACACTAACCTTTGGTCTCGGTCTGCCGATGATCTTGCAGACGAAAGTGGCATCAGACCCCTCAATGAGCCTGAAGTCCTTAAGGGTCTGTGAGATCTGTGGAGCCATGGTCTGTGCTGGCCCCGACTCTGTCCTCTGGCTGGTCTGTGTCATACTCGGTCTCTGTCTCACTGTTGAAGCGGATCTTTCCCTCGCGGTACTCGATCTCAGTCATTAGACGTCTCTCAAATGAGGAAACTTTGAAATCCTACAACAAACACAAGGCAGCTTGATGATCACTGCATAATTTAGATTTCTTATTTTCCATAACACTTATCACAAAAAGAAGCCAACTCTACCCATCTTTGATCTTGAGCCGACCCACGTCTTATGGTTAAAAGCCCACTCCCAAATCTGGGAAAATTCATTATCTTTAAGACTTGTTTAAGCCATATACATTTGATTCTGAAAAGTTAAACATGGCAGTGGATAGCAAATGTGATCTCAAACGATGAAGGCGTGAAAGCTGCATACCATCTGCAGGAATTTGTAAGCTTGAGCAAGATTTATCACATCTCACATAAGTAAGATCTCAACTCCATTGTTGATGAGTTGGTTGGGGACTATAGAAACATTTGTGTACTCTGAGATATCACAGCCCATATTAACAACTTATCATTGTTCAAATAAATATTGTTCAACTCACAGCTTCGCTGACTCTTCTTTCATAGGGCATTGGTTCATCCTCAGGTTCTGAAGTAAGTCTCTCGATGGCTCTACGGTCCAGCTGCCGTTGCCGGGAGGGATGTAGAACTCCCTGTCTTTCTCGGCACGAGGAGCAGCTTGATCTGCAGCCAGCACCATCTCCTGGACAGGGCTTGGCTGAACATCAGTGGGCACCTCCTTGAAGCGAGGTCCTTCTGGCAGCAGCCTAGCAGTAGTGGATACCTCCCCAGCAGGGTTGGTAGCAGTGCAGGTGTACTCGCCTTCATCATCCGAGAAACTCTTAGAGATCAGGAGGGTACAACGCCCTGTTCTTTCATCGTTGATCATCTTGTGTCTGCAAGTGTATTTTCATATTTCTGAGTCTCCATTGAATTATTTTAAAATTAGAATTATAAAGAAAGAAACACATGGGGAAGTTTGGAAGTCAAATATATCAGTTCATTTAAAGGGGATGAAAGGCTCTGGTGAACCAGCAACCTTGGAGTGAGTGAGTTTAGTTTTACGCCGCTTTTAGTAATATTTCCAGTAATATCATGGTGGGGGACACCAGAAACGGGCTTCAGTCAGGGGTGGAAATAACTTTAAAATTGCTAGTGTACTCCGGTACAATGGCACATGTAAAATCACTTGCCCTGATAATTTTTCCACTATACCGGCCGTTTTCTTGTTGATTTTTTAAATAAACAACATAATTAACATTGGAATATCAACTGGACACCAGTACAGTGTGATATACAAATTTGCTTGCCCGACAGAAAAATACACTGGACTCGGGCGTCGGGCAATGGGTTATTTCCACCCCTGGCGGCTTCACACATTGTACCCATGTGGGGAGTTGAATCTGAGCCTTAAGCATGATGAGCAAATGCTTTAACCACTAGGCTACCCCACCGCCCCAGCAACTTTGGTCATTTTAATAAGCATGATCAACCACACTTAGTTCCTGTACATACCTTGGGCCTTCATACACTGGCATGCCATCCTTCTTCCATGACACTTGTGGGAAGGGCTTGCCCAGCACACGGCACTCCAACTTGGTGTTAGTTCCTTCCACCAGACGCACATCATTGAGTCGCTGGACAAATGATGGCGGGATGTTTGCTGGTGGAACGGGCGGAGGTGGAGGTTGCCACAGAGGTGCCTTCTGTGCTGGTTTTGGAGCCACCTCAGGTGGTGCTGCTTTGGTGGGAGTAACAGGAGGAGGTGGTGCATAGACTGGAGCTCTTGGAGCAGGCGTCACCTCCATGGGTTCTGGTGCAGCTGTTACAAGATCTTGTTTTAATGCACTTATCACTATTAATAGAATTATAGTGATGCCAAAACATGTGATTGGCTAACCAAGCAATAATTTAATCCTAAGGTTTACACAACTCCCCCCAAAAATAGACCACATTCGTACTGGATTACTATTTCCTGACAGAGTCATCAGGGATTTGGAGTGTATAAATGTGCTGTGAACTGATTTTGTATAATTGCTAAAAGTTTTCAATACTCAGTTTTTAATTACAGTTTTACATTTTATTGCTGTTGACATACTCATTTCTTCATTTAAAAATATCTCATGTGAATTAATGTTACAAATTCTGAAGCTACATGAAGAGGTAAATCTTGAAAATAACCTTAAAAATTCAAATCATATGCATTAGCACTCACCTTCAACATGGAGGCGAGACTCTGTGGTTGTCGTTCCATCAGCATTGGTAGCAATGCAGGTGAATTTGCCTGAATCCTCTGGGAACACTTCATGGATGGTGAGTCTATGTACTCCATTACTTGAGGTAATCTCGTAATCAGGGCTCGTCTCGATCAATGCGTCTTCCCTGTACCATTTCACTATTGGTTCAGGCCTGCCATCAACTCTGACTTCAAACACAACCTTCTGACCTTGTCTGGCTTCTGTGTTCTTCAAAGGCTGTTATGAAAAATCCTCTTTTTACCAAATGTTATCTGTTTCGTATAATTATCAAAATACTCCATGTCCACCTGGGCAGAGGCTCTATCTGCTAGCCCCTAGTGGCTAATATTTGATTGATTGATTGGTCGTTGTTGCAATATTCCAGCTATATGGCCGCAGTCTGTAAATAACTGGGTCTGGACCAGACAATCCAGTGATCAACAGCATGAGTATCACTCTACGCAATTGGGATACGATGACACGTGTCAACCAAGTCAGCGAGCCCGACCACCCGATCCAGTTAGTCGCCTCTTACGACAAGCATGGGTTGCTGAAGACCAATTCTAACCTGGATCTTCACAGGCCATTAACATTTGAAACTGCACTACATGTTAAGGACAGTGACTAAAACTTACCTAAAAAACATAAATTTAATACAACCATAAAATATGAGAAAGATAAATTTGAATTTGGAACTGAAAATTAGTAATTGAAAAACCCCAGCTCCTTTCATCATGTACATATTTTCAAATGAAAACAGACTTACTGCTACAAATGATGGCCTTTCTTTGCCAGTCTGAATAGGTTTCTTTGGAATTTCTGAGGTTGGCAGTGGTGGAGCTTGCTGTTCTTCACTGAACAGAGCAATTCTCTTCTCAAATGATGGCAGCTCCTGCTCGCCCTCGATCTGCATGTCAATCTGGTCATGGAACATCTGCTGTTCCTGTTCTGGAACTGGAGCAGGCATTGCAGCGAAGTCTGATGGGCGCTGAAGTTTTGGCACCTTGGCCATGGGCTCCTCAGGGAAAGGTCTGGTTGGAGTCTTCACGCTTGTGGAGCTCTTGATGGTTCAAATGGCTCATACACTGGAGCCTTGGCTGGCGGAGCTCTTGATGGTTCAAATGGCTCATACACTGGAGCCTTGGCTGGTGGAGCTTTCGATGGCTCCATTGGCGGGAACACTGGAGCCTTGGCTGGTGGGGCTCTTGATGGTTCAAATGGCTCATACACTGGAGCCTTGGCTGGTGGAGCTTTCGATGGCTCCATTGGCGGGAACACTGGAGCCTTGGCTGGTGGGGCTCTTGATGGTTCAAATGGCTCATACACTGGAGCCTTGGCTGGTGGAGCTTTTGATGGCTCCATTGGCTGGAACACTGGAGCCTTGGCTGGTGGAGCTCTTGATGGCTCCACATGTTCATAAACTGGTTTCCTCTCTGGGGCACGCTGAACTGGAGGCTCTGGTTTCTCCTTTGGTGGAGCTGCAGAAATACATATTTCAATTAAGATTCTTGACAATCTTGAAATTCTTCTTTTATAAATTGTAGCAGAAATATTAACAACATATTTCTCCATGTTTAAACAAACAACTGTCATAAATATTATCTGTTTAGACAAAATGGAAAACATTGCAGACAATGGCCTTGTATTACTGACAATCCAAAATCCAAAACCATGCTCTTGATTATTTTCTATTATTTGCACAAACATCTGTCAAACTACGCAACATGAAGCTGAGCTCTTATTACCTGGCACAATAAGCTGAGTGGAGCATGTAGCCTCACCGGCTGGGTTATCGGCACGGACCATGAAGTGTCCGGCGTCCTCATAGAAAACTTCCGGAATGTAGAGTGAGTGGATATCTCCCTCTTGGATGACCTCAAAGTCAGGAGAGCTGACGATGCGGCTTCCCTCACGGTACCATGTGACCTGAGGGGCTGGTGTTCCGGCCACGCGGACGGTCAGCCGGACTGGCTCACCCTCCACAGCATGGATCTTCTGAAGCTTCTCTGTGAATGTGGGTGGAATCATAGAAGCTGCAAGAAAAGGATGATATTGACACTGAGATGCTTTTTTACAAATGTAGTCAGTTTTAAAAAATGGCATTTTTGATCCATTTGGGATTCAAAACCAGGTTTTGTGGTTAACCAAGCAAAAACTTTTAACACTTAGACTACTTAATATAATTTGGAGTGAGTGAGTGAGTGAATTTAGTTTTACGCTGCACTCAACAATATTCCAGCTATATGGCAGCGGTCTGCAAATAATCTAGTCTGGACCAGACAATCCAGTGATTAACAACATGAACATCGATCTGCGCAATTGGGATCCGATGACATGTGTCAACCAAGTCAGCAAGTCTGACCACCCGATCCCGTTAGTCCGCCTCTTACAACAAGCATAGATTACTGAAGGTTCATTCTAACCCGGACCTTCACGGGTTAATATAATTTGGATGTTATTTACATTTAACCCAGAGGAAAGAATTGCTGATATGCTCTACAATTTCAAATGCTGCTTGTTACGGAATGAGTGAGGTAAAATAGGCACTTCAAACAATATTTTGTAGTTTTATCACAACATACAAGTAATTGTGACAAAGGTTGGACATGTCTTCTGCTTTGGTGAACCGGTAATGGATTTAAGAACATTTGATCCAACTAATTAGGTATTAGTTAATTCAGAAATGACTATAGCACAGATAAAGTACCGGACAACAATTAATAATGGAACAATTAGATAAAGAGACTGGCTGCTTCTGCATACCTCTGACAATAAGTTCAGCTGTGCTAGAGGACTGTCCAGCAATGTTCTCAGCTGTACACCTGAATTGTCCAGCATCTTCTTGTGTCGTCTCGGGTATTATCAGTGTTACACGCCCCTGGCGATAGGAGATTTCAAAATCTGCCTGTTGAGTTATCTCCCTTCCCTCACGGTACCATTTGATACTGGGCTCGGGTTTCCCTGCAAGAGAATCAACAAAAATGTAAACACAGAAGTAGTGGATGTTCAAAGAATTTAGACTGAGTGTAAGAATGTTGTTTTTTCTGCCACACAATGGCTGCCATATTTCAGCTACATAACAACATAATCAAACGAAGCAGTGGTCAATATGTTGAGTAACAATGGATCTCTGTGAGGACTTGGGTATACAATGTCTTGATTTTATCTGGGGCATAACTGGCCCAGACTCCACTTGGTGCAGTGATCTAAAAGGATAGTGAGTGGTGAGTGAGTTTAGTCTTATGTCACTTTTAGCAATATTCCAGCAATATCACAGCGAGGGACACCAGAAATAGGCTTCACACATTGTACCCATGTGGGGAATCAAACCCAGGTCACTGACGTGATGAGCGAATGCTTTAACCACTAGGTTACCCCACTGCCCCTCCAAAACAACAGCTGACAAACAGTGTATTCCCCAAATACAACCTTGTCCAACTCACCTGTTACAACACCTTCAAAGATGACTCGGGTTCCTTCCATGGCAGTGATAGTCTTCAGAGCTTGAAGGAACTTAGGCGGAACAGGAACTTCAATCGTCAGGTCCACCGGCTGATATTTCTGTGGCAGATCGGTGGTGATGGTCGTGGCGAAATGTTCGTGTGAGGGCATGCTGGGAATCATCTGCTGCTGTTCGACACCAGTGGTGATGGTGGTGGCGAAGCGCTCTGTGCTGGGGGCGTAGGGCTGATCCTGCATCTCACTGATCATCCTTTCTAGACGCGTCTCGGTCTGTGTCACAGTTCGGGTTCTGTGGAAATCAATTTATTATTATCATTATCATTATTTCTTCTGCTACTGCCTCTGCTTCTACTAATACTACAGCTAAAAATAATGGTCAGATAACAAATTTTAGGTAGTCTCAATACATGAGTGAAAATAAAGCAACGCCTAGAGATTAAGTTAGAAGTGAAAATTATGTTCAAATAATGAATTTGCCCAAGTGAACCATGTAAAATCCATTGCCCTTGAAAACTTATATAGTTCCTGTCTCATGTGAATAATGATAAAATATTGGCAAACAATGAAAAATGACAAGTCTCAACTTTCCACAATAATAACTTCTAAACAATTGGCATAAGTATAAAATATCAATTTTACTAAAAAAATTACAATTTGTGTAGTAATACATACACTTCCTCATAGGTGGTGGACTCGGATGTATCCATGGGAACCTCTCTCTCCACCCTCACTTTGTGTTTGCGGATCTGGAGCGTGGGAGGCTCCGTGCTGGGCAGTTCTGGTGCTACTGTCAATTGGGCAGAGCACGTGGCTTTACCCAGGTTGTTCTCTGCTGTGACACTGAAGCGGCCTGCATCCTCGTCAAACACCTCAGGGATCATGAGTTTGTAGGTGTCTCCTTCCATGGTCCTGTTGTAGTCCTGGGAGACCAGTGGCTCACCATTGAACTGCCATTGGACCTGGAATGATGAGGTGTCCTTATTGTATTATGTGATGACCATTAGGTTTGAGTGAGTGAGTGAGTTTAGTTTTACGCCACACTCAGCAATATTCCAGCTATATGGCGGCTTGATGAAGTGACTTTAAGAAGCAGTAATCACCATTAGGTTTGAGTTAACTATAGTGAGTGAGTGAGTGGGTGAGTTTAGTTTTACACTGCTTTTAGTAATATTCCAGCAATATCATGGCCAGGGACACCAGAAATGGGCTTCACACACTGTACCCATGTGGAGAATCGAACCTGGGTCTTCGGCAGGACAAGCGAAAGCTTTAACCACTAGGCTACCACACAGCCATGAGATATCTATAGACATATTCCACAATTTATATGAAATCCTGAGTTAGTGTTTCTGAACTGATGATGAGTAACTAACTACACACCTACAAAACTGAAACAAATATGTAAAACAACATCCCACAAGTGTGTCATTGTCATCCATAGCATGAGTGAGCGTTGTTTTATGTCAACTCAGTAATCAAACTATACCAGCCAGTAAATGATCAAATTGGGGGCCAAATAGACCATTGGTTGATAGTGTGAGCATTAATCACCACTACATTGGTACAATGTCTCACAATCAGCACTATAACCAACTCTCTAACATAAACTAACAATAGTCAATGACTGCAATGAGGATCTGAGGCCCCAAACGCCACTGTGACCACTTAATCAACATTTTTGTTTCCTACAATAAACATGGGACTCCTTAAGAAACCCTTAATGAAGAAACAAACAGATCCACCAACCTTTGGCTTGGGACTTCCAGTGATGATACACTCGAATGTGACTGGTTCTCCAGGCCTAACTCTGATGTCCTGGAAGAGCTTCTTGAACTCAGGTGCTGCCTGTGTGATCTCTTCATGACGAACCACGCGGGTCTCGGTGGTGGTGCGGCGCACAGTGGTCATCGGCTCTGGAGATGGCATGACACGCAACTGGGAGACACACTTGGCCTCGCCAGCGACATTGACAGCCTTCACCATGTAGGTGCCACTGTCCTCCTCAAACGCTTCTTGGATGGTCAAGGAGTGGACATCAGCAAAGGCAGTGATCTGGGAAAGGATAGTGAGATGTTCTGTCTTTAGTCTGACTCACGTACATCGTACCATCAAAGTTGACTGAACCTACTTAAATACCTCGAGTAATCTGATTGACTGAGTTGAATATTACGCCGCACTCAGCAATATTCCAGCTACAAGGTGACGGTCTGTATATAATCGAGTCTGGACCTGACAATCCAGTGATCAACAGCATGAGCATCAATCTACACAACTGGGATACAAGACTGACCATCAGATCCCACTGCTCGCCTCTTACGACAAGCATGGGTTACTGAAGATCAATTCTAACCCGGATTGATACTGATCATCATGTATCCTTCCTTATATAGAATACAATGTTACTGGTTCTACTGTTGTACCTGGAAGTCTGGGGAGCTCTGTAGTGGATGATCATCCTTGAACCACTGAACTTCTGGAAGGGGGTGACCGGTCACGCGGCTCTGCAGACACACTCGTTGACCAGCGTTCACAGCAATGTCCTTCAGCAGCTGGGTGAACTTGGGTGGTGACACCTCGCCCACGGACGCGTCACTGAGCTCGCTGAGGGCTACAGAGTCACGAGAATAAATTCTCTTAACTTTGTGGCAAAAAGGAAAAGGAGAGATGAGATGTATATGATGGATGAGGATGGAGGTAATACTGGAAAGGCCTAATGAAGAACCTAGGAAAGACTATGATCACTGGAAACCAGATCAGTAGATCACCATGATGTGACAGAAATACAATGTTCAGGCATGATATGACTTATGTACTAAACACTCATGAAAACTAAATGTGTACAATATCATGAAGTAGACATCTTTCTTCTACCAAAAGCCCAACCATAATATACTGAGGGAAACAATTAAGGGAACACCACTTCATTATGAAGATTTTCAGTCACAGAACAAAACAAAACTACTACGAAAAAACTGGAATAGAATTGAGGAATAATTGTACTTTCATGTGTTCCTATATTTGTTTTGAAGCTGGACATGACACGAGATGCATGAAACCATGAAAGGAATTGGAAGTGAATGATTTGAAATGGTATTCCACTCACCTTCAACATGAAGTTTACAGCCACTCTCAGCTTGACCATGGTCATTCCTGGCGACACATTTGTATGTTCCTGAATCTTCAAGGTAAGCTTCTCTCAAGACAAGTGTACAGCGATCTCCCTCGAACAGGAGTTGGATGTCTTTGGATTCCTTCACAGGCTTCTCATTGTGGTACCAGATAACCTAGCACAGAGAAGGATTTAAATTAAAATCTTGCATTTTCTAAATTCAACCTGTGTTTTTGTCTGAAATAAAATACTGTTGTTGCATATCGAGCTGGGTTCTTACCTCTGGCTCTGGGTGTCCAACAATGATACAGTCAAGACGTACACGAGATCCCTCGGGGGTTGTTTTGGTTGGAGACAACAACTGTGTAAAGTGAGGCTTGATGGCCACTTGTTCCATGGAGGCCTGAGACATATCCTCACTGACCAACACAAAAACAAAAATAAATATACTTTTTTTTTCTTCTCAGCTGTATCTGCTCTATGATATGAAATCAACAAGAATGTTGTTCTGTGGTATCCGATATTCTCAGAACTGAACCCACAAAACTGAGCAAAATTCCTCAAAAAGAATAACTGTAAGTCTGATACTGACAACAATCATTCTGAGGTGTTTTCATCAGTAACATTTGTACTGACATATTATGAATAATATGTCTTCACTGGTTGTCATTATTTCAAGAAATCAGCAAAGGCAAATGTCTTAGAAAAGACAAACAAATACAAAAAGCAATGACTCTATTTCATACATGAGTACCCAATGTGGAGACTATACTGACCCAGTGCTGGAGTAGAAGCTCTCAATGGTGATCCTGCACTGTGTCCTTGCCTCTCCGGCTGCGTTCTTGATAACCACAGTGTACTGGGCAGAGTCCTCAGGGAACGCCTCCGCAATGTCCAGACAGGAATAGTTCACCTCCACAGTCACCTGAAAGTTTCAATTCAGAATGATCACGTCTGAGACATCAAACTTAAATCATGCTACAATTGCAAAATAAATTGAACTGTAATTGGAAAATAAGAGAATATAAATTCATAATAGGTCCTTAAATATTTTTTTTATAGTTTAATTACATTTAAAGATTGTTAATATTTGTTCATAATTTTATTTCCAAATTTTTTATGTGTCCCCTTTTAAAGGATACTGTCTTATGTTTTAGGGTTCCATACGTTCTTGATACATCCATTTGTTCTTGATGCATCTATATGTTCTTGACGCATTTACCTTGAAGAGTCCTGATGTGATGACTCTGTCCACTCCCCGGAACCACTGGACCTCCGGGGCAGGTGATCCGGTGAAGCGGACCTCCAGGCGGAATGCCTTGCCCTCGGGAACAGTCATGTCTTGGAGGGGCTGGTGGAACACTGGTGTTTGAAGAGCTGCAACAGAGGGGAACGCTATGCAACATTGTGATGCAGTGCACAACATAAGGTTTATTGGCAACATTGTACTGTACTGTGAAATACAGCACTGTACTGTGCAACATTGTACTACACTGTCTAGAGCAGAGCACTGTACTGGGCAACATTGTACTACACTGTCTATAGCAGAGCACTGAACTGTGCAACAATGTGTTCCAATATGAGTTCATGACTCTTGTCGACTGCTTTATCTTTTAGTTGACTGCAAAATATTGCATTGTGGTACATTGTAATAATTGTTAACCCAGAAAATATTTTTTCCTACTCAAAGAAAATCATAAATTTATCTGTTTAAATATTAATTGACGTTCAATTTTATCATATAAAACATAGGTCAACACCAAAGTATTTTTTCAAGTAATATCACAAGACACTATATTGCTGTGAGGAAGAGCATGTCAAGGGTAGAGTGCATGCATAGATGAAACTGGAAAGCAGAAACTGGAAGGAGATAAAAGAAAGAATACACTGTATGACTATTTTATTCTGTATTTCGTGTTAGGGATGCATTGGAGGTGTTATTTAATGGGGACATAATATTTCACCATGCCGTATCTATGACCTCTCATCATGCACTTAGATTGTATTATATCAATTGTAGTTTAGTAATCGATAAAAAAAAACATGCCTTAACTATGAGCTTTTTTCATGCGTTTAGATTCTATATCAATGGTAGTTTCTTAATTTATGAAAATCTATCATCCATATGCTTTAGATACTGGAGAGACAACAGAAATTTTAACTCACTCAAACACAAACATATCTTTGTTAAGAAAACACAGCTTGAAGTACAGTCATGCTGAATATGAAACAGCTAAAACTTTGTACTGGTTAGTTAAAGGGACAACTGACACACAAACTGAAATGATGTGTTTGGTCAAACATGCCTTTGTTCTGAAAAGAACACACATTGTTCACACACATGACCATGCCAATATCTAAAGTCCTCTTACGTATAACGGTCATACGAGCAGATGTAGAAGACTCCCCACCAGGGTTCAAGGCTCGACATGTGTATCGAGCACCGTGGTGTTGTACCACTCTACGTATCTTCAAGCAGCATGTGCCATTGATCTTTGTGATGACAAAGTCTGGAGAGTTATCGACGTTAATTTCGTCCTTGTACCAAGAGACAGTCGGTGATGGGATACCCTGAATGTGGCACTCAAAGGCATAGGAGGAGCCTTCGATGACCTCCACTGACTTGATGTTCTTAATGAACTCAGGGGAACGATTTGCTGGTGTGTTTCTGTAAGGGAGGATGGTCAACAGTGAAGCAGTGTGATTCAAATGGGGAGGATGCTGTTTGAACATTGGTGTGCCAGATTGATGTGGGAAGAAAGCCTGAAGGTCGTATATGCTTACCATGATGATTTAACCGACAAGTATGGGGTGGGGACCATCATGAGAAATATTGGATTCAAACAGAAGGTAGCTAAGGAGGCATTTATGGAGCTGTCCAATAGGCTTGCAACATTAGGCCATCACTAACATATAAAACCTCTTTTAAAAGTAGAAAAAAATCAAGGGTTTTAGAAGTAAGCACAGAAATTTACATAATGGACCCAGTTCACCCCAAACATATTCACAAAGTTTGACAATGTGCTCACTGATTCCTGACATAGTTTTATAAACATACACATCTTCATTCTTTGTAACAAATGCTCAATACACATATTCAGATACAAAGACGATATACATGTACTTTTTACAAACATAGAAAAATATACATTTCTACACATACCACAACCAACAGTAAAGTCCCATGACCAGAGTAGATATATACAGCAGTCAACTGCTGTCCACAAGATCAGTTCCCTGCTCTCAATGTTAGTGGAAGTCAGTTACGATCATCCTAATGCTAAGATTGCTTTATAGAATGGGACCCGAGCATTTCAAATATTCCCAAATTTGAACTTTTTAAATAAATTTATCCCCCATACATATACTAATATATAAGCATCAACGTAAATAATCTTGACTTCAAGTCACACTCAAAGAAAAGAAAATACCAAACAGCACAACCTATCATGATAGTCCTCCACCATTTCCAATACACCAGAACCTTGTCTCACCCAAATACATTACACCTTGCCAGCAAGTACAAGAGTATCCAACCTATATTGACCTCGGGACATATATAGGGTTTGGGATGCGGTATACAGTATTGGACTGGGATGCTATATAGAGAATACAACATGACATCCTTACACGAGTCGGAGAGATACGACACATCCGCTATACATGTAGCTACAAATGAGATATCTTCAGAGGAATCTAAAGATACTGAAAGGGAGAGAAAGTAGACAGAGATCTACAGTCTAGTAGACACTAAGTGGACAAAGTCTTATACATAGCAAATAAAATTATGGTTAGCCTTTTAATAAGAACTGTCATTTAAAGATACGTTTCTTAAAATACTTGAAAAGTAAAACTATTACTATAATTTTCAAATTATGATAAAATGTAATTACATAACTGACTAAGAACAGTAGTAATAAACGTATTCAAAAGAAACATGGAATTAGATGTGTATTTGAGAAATCCTTATGTCAGAAGTGACTGATGAAGGTACCTTTGACATTGAGATGAGCTGAGGACTCGGCTGTGCCCGCCGTGTTGGTGATTCTGATGGTGTAGCGAGCAGTATCTTCTGAGAATGTTTCCTCAATTGTCAGTGTTGCTAGACCATTTTCGTAGCGAGTTTCATAGTCTGGGCTAGCAAGAGGCAAGTTATCCTTGAACCATTTGGCTTCCGATGGTGTGTCGCTCTCAACACGACACTCAAACGTGAATCTGATGATAAAGAAAGAAAGATTAAGTCCAGTAACTTCTGTTGGGTAATCATCAAACAAGTGCACATGCAGTCTAAATAGTTAAAACCTATATCAGGAATAATACCAAAACCGTATTTATTCAGACAGGTGAACATACTGATTCCATTAATGTATGGCTGAGCTTGATCACTCCTGGGACACAGAGGTTCCATACATCATACCCACTTTGGGCACTGAGCCTGTCTCTAGCCTAATGAACAAACACTTTAACCACTGAACTAAGTGATCACTCTGAAGATGCTCCTGACTCCTGTACTTACTTTGTTCCTTCAACCACCTCAGCATTCTTCAGGTGTTGTGTGATGCGAGGTGGTCGGTACTGGGGTGCAGCGGCAGGGGCAGCAGCCTGTTGCTGCATGCTCTCCTCCACTGGCTCCTGCAAGCATGGAACAACGGTTACAACAGTCTCAATGTAGTCAACACCTACTGTAATGCCACATTTTGTAGATGTGACATTCATTGCCATCAAAATTTAAAAATCAAATGTCAAAGAATTAGTACACATTAATTACAAGATCCAAATTTAAGGACTTTATAAGTGCCTGATTAAAATGTGATCTGAATGTCATTTCTACTGTAATCAGTACTTAATACATAAACTGAAAGATGCTATCACTCTATAAACGTAATTTTAAAATAAACAGAATTTCAAACATATAAGGACAATTAAACTATGAATTGACATTTAACATACTGTCAAAAAGACAGCAACAAAAACCATTCCAAAATCATAATAAATATCTCTAATGTACAATTCAGACTGTTTTATAAGAATGTGTTCATCTACTTTCAAACAGTGACACTACAAGATTATCTGAAGTAAATTCTGGACCAAGTGTCCAATAAATTGCAAGTGCATGATTGAGAGGATGTACCTTCTTTCCTTCTAGGTTGTCTCTGAGCAGGGACAGTTCGTTGTCGGCTTGCTCAAAAGACTGCATGAGATCCTGATACTGGATCACAACATGGCGGATCTTGTTGGGACCCTGTTCACCTGGAGACAGAACACAGTGAGCTACTGAGAGGGGAAGTTCCAACTTCACATCTTATTAGCAATATTTCAGCCATAACACAGACTGAACACAATAACAAAAGAATTTTGTCAAAATAATGTGACAATTACCAATCCGGTTCATGTGCTGATGTGTAAAAGTTCAATCATGGCCATATGAGCTTTGAGGAAAAGGACCTGGGCCCCGTTTCACAAAGCTCTCGTAGCTCTACGACTACAAGTCAACAGTTACAGTATGGGAGGTACAAATGCTACGAGAAAAGTTATGAGATCATAGGCTTGATCCCAGGTCCTTTTCCTCAAAGCTCATATAGCCATGATTGACCGTGTACACTTAACATCGACCTATGACAACTATAATGTACTACGGAGAGCGGAAGGTCGCGGGTTTGATCCCCCGACCGCGTCATACCAAAAGACGTTAAAATATGGTACTTGTTGGTCCCTGCCTGGCGTTCGGCATCAATGGGTACAACAAGGACTGGTCGGCTCGGAGTCAGTATAATGTGTTTGAGTGGGGTATGCATGCTTCACTGCGGCGTGGTATCTCAGTGGGCTAGCACTATAAAACCAGCTTAAGTCTGGGCTAGTACAAGCAGCCGCACATACACATACACACGCATGCACATCGTCATATGAGCGAAATATTCTCAAGCACGACGTTAAACCCAATTTCACCTCACCTCACCTCACTTATAATGTACTACTCGAAAGAAGTTAAGAAGTCCTGCCATGCCAATCATCAACTAGCCCATATGAAAGAACTGAATGTCTCTCTCCTTTTAAGTAGTATATAATGATTCCAAGATGTTACTTTCTGTGTTTCATTAGTCTTACTGGAATTTTCAATGCTGACGTGAAATTATGTTACTGAATTAGAATGTCTAAATGGTTTGGGCTTTACACCATATTTAACATTTAATAGGCCTCAATTGGACATCAAGAATTGACCAAACACAATTGTAGAGATTCAATAGTAGATTTATGAGACATCAGCACATGAACCACTAGGCTACCCCACTGCCTGAATCTGACTGACTGACTGACTGAGTTTGGTTTTACGCCGCTTTTAGCAATATTCCAGCAACATCACGGCAGGGGACACCAGAAATGGGCTTCACACATTGTGCCCATGTGGGGATTCGAACCCGGGTCTTCGGCATGACGAGCCAACGCTTTAACCATTAGGCTACCCCACCGCCCCGCCTGAATCTGAAGATGGTGTAATTTGCTGTTTATCTTACCATATAGCTGTACTGCTAGTTCGGAGACTTTCTGCAGTCTCTGTTCTTGTAGAGGTTTTCCTTCCTCGACGTATTTCTCTAACTTCCTTATAAGCTCGTTGGCTTCTTGTGGGTTGCGGCACTCAGTCGACCTGCGACCAATATTGATCAGCAGGTGACTACCTTCCTTCATCCAAATCTCACACTGAAACATGGCATGAACATCCGTCACAAGGTTTTCTAAACTATCTTCCTGAAATCACATTCTATGTAAACATGAGATTCTAAAAAGCAATTCCACTGAAAACAACTTTTAACAACTTTTAACAAATATTCAAATGAGACAGGAAAAAACAATCTGTGTAGTTGTCTGAAAGATGTTATTTAAAAAATAAAGCAAAGACGTATTTGGAAGTTTTTACAGAATATTCTATGTATGTACTAAAATTTGGAACATTGGTTCCTTGGAATTTACTTTGTCTAGCACAGTACTCATTCTAAAGACCAGTGTCCTATTCCATTGCTTTTCTATAAAGCAATACTTCAACACAGACCAGAAATATTTGAAATCACGTGATCTTTGACCAGAGATGCCAACCCTAATTTAGCCCAATTAGTATTTTGGCCAAAAACTGATTAAAAAAATAGCATTTGTTGGCCAAAATTAGTATTAACTTTTCCAAAGAATTTTCATAGTAAATTTTTTTAATTAATATATAGTCTAAGACCTTGTTATTAACGTTATACTCAACTAAATCAGTAGCAAGTATCCACATATAGCTTGATACTGAATAAAATGTTATCGAAATTTATTGTGTATGGTACGTATGCTATTTACTAATTTAATTTAATGTATTTTGTTTTAAAAATCGTATATTTTACTGCTATCGTAGTCGCGTATTTTGTGTTGTTTTTTTCGTAATGAATATGATGAATCTTATGGGTTGGCATCTCTGTTTGACTATTATCAAATAGAAATGTGAATGGTGAGTGAATGCAGGAATATCTCACCTCCTCGATGAGTGTGAAGTACTGGATAGAGGTATCAAGCAGGCGGCGATAGTCTCGCACGCTGGTGTGGAATGTACTCCATTTGTTTTTCAGCACATCGATCTCGCGGCGGATGTGGACAGAGTCGTAATGTCTGTCCTGCACCATCACCTCGGCGGTGCCGATGAAGTTGCTTATCTTCTTCTCAATTAACTGGAACCAAACACAAAAACATAAAAACATGTCACGATTTGACTACATCACCTATCACCATCAAGTATAAGTCATTAACGAAATGCACCAATACTTGGGTTGTGATAAAATACACAGTGTAAAACTCAAGTCAGTTTTGATAAATGTTAGATATCATTGCTGGTGTCATGATACAAAATGTATTGTAATGCCTAATTTGCAAAGTCTTATGCAGAAACAGTTCATTGCTTTTGCCAGTTTGGTTCAAGTCATGTGACTAGTTTACAAATGATTCATGATGAAAATGTATATAGAACTTGAACATGATTCGACCGAAGTTTAGGTGTGATGTGTATTACAGATCAGCATGATACGATAGAAGGGTAGGTGTGTTGTGTATTACAGATCAGCATGATACGATAGAAGGGTAGGTGTGTTGCGTATTACAGATCAGCATGATACGATAGAAGGGTAGGTGTGTTGTGTATTACAGATCAGGTTAAGTTTGTGATGCAACCATACACTGGTGAATCATCCAATCAAAATATGATCACAAACATACCATGCCTTTCAAAGTCATACAAAGCTCTGCTGAGTTCTTTTCCCTGCTGTCAACACATCCTGGACACAACAGTAGTACCACAGAAACAAGCTCTTACCTCAACAGTTAATTCAAACTGTTTGAAGGCTTGCGACGTCATCTTGGCAGCCGGAAGGTTGTTGCCGTAGCTGCCTCGTCGCGCCTGAAGATGCTGATGTAATTCATCTATCTCTGAATGGATCTAAAACATGAAAAGCAGTTATGTAGTTGTACATTACACAGATATACATTAACGAATAAAGTGTAAGTATTTTGAACGCTTAATGCAGCATTATATGAAAATGCATGTCTGTTTATTGAGAAAAATTAAATTTGATCTATTTAGATGGATATGCTACAATGAGGTAGCTGAGGAAAGTTTGGGTCTTTGGAAAGTAACTTTATTTTCAGGAGATATGTAAATTTATTTTGAAGGCACTTTGAAGTTTGTGTGTGTAATATAACGAACAGGAAGAACAGTACAAGAGAGGCAGATCATGATGTTTAGTACAGATCAGGAATCTTACATTGGATCCCATGATTACCAGATCCTGGCTTATCTAAGGGACACAACCATGCACTGCAAACAGCCTAATGCCATTAATGTAGGCTCTCAGACCATTTTAAGATTTACAAACAAGGACCAAAGAACAGTTTGTCTTCAGTGGAACTCCTACAATCTGATCAAATTCAAACTGTTAAGTATTTTACTAGTCTAAGTCATACCTGTCTAAGATCATAGTTGAACTGACAGATCTGTAGATTTTGCTGCAAGCGTTTCTGCTGTTCGTCCCAAGTCTGGTTCCAGCGACGCTTGTATTCCTCTGTGACGATCAGCACACTCTGAACGTCTTCTGACGCGACAGCTTGTGAATCCTGACAAAAAATATCCAGAAATAGGACCTTCAGAAAGCCTACAACATTTTTCAGTAGACTCACTTAACATTCTGTTACTAAACTAAACTAATTCAACATATAAAGCTAATTGTTCACATAACACCAACCTGCTGTCTTACTCTTCTGACGATTTTCTCGCCCTCCTCGGCAGAGAAGTTGATGAGTTGCGACACTTCATTCTTCTTGCGCTTATGGTCCTCCAGCATCGACTCAGCTGTGGTCAGGTCTGATGGCAGCTCCAACTGGGAGTACGTCTGCTCTGTCCTCGAGATCACCTCATCCAACTGGCAACACAAGGACATCATTCAGAATATTTTGTCATACTTTCAAGTTAAAATTTGTTATAGTAATCAAATACTACATTTCTAGGTCGCGTGTATAGACACAGTCGTCAGACATATTTGCATACCAATCATGTGACCGATTATGCACAGTCAGGATGACCCGATTTAGGAAGAATGATGCTGGGAAACCCTATAATCATGAAATGGAGAATCCCTATCCCAGGTGAAAACTGAATATTCAGGAAAACTAACTTAATTCTTACAAAAGGTGAAACAATTCTCAAAGTTGCAGTTTCAGAGACACAAAGCATTATTTCTAAAATTGCTATCCGTGAAGATCAGGGTTAGAACTGATCTTCAGTAAGCCATGCTTGTTGTAAGAGTCGACTAATGGGATCAAGTGTTCAGGCTCACTGACTTAGTTGATTGACACATGTCATCCGATCCCAATTGAATAGATTGATGCTCATGCTGTTGATCACTGGATTGTCTGGTCCAGACTTGATTATTTACAGACCGCTGCCATATTGCTGGAATATTGCTGAGTGCGGTGTAAAACTAAACTCAATCTAAAATTGCTGACACAAAGACTCGACAAGATGCTTCTGTATAATAAATGTCATTAATAGTTGTCCCTCGGAGATAAGCATCAGCTACAACAGTTACAATAGATGAAAAAGTTCAGAGATTAGGCTATGATCTGACCTGATGAAGGTTCTTGAAGAATGTGATGGTCATCTTGAGCAGGATCTGGTACTCGTTGATGCGTGCCTGGAATCTTTGGTGGACCTTGACCAGTTCACTGATGATCTTGTCCTTTTCTCCCTTGGTATCTCCCTTCAGTGACAACAGCTCCGCGGTCTTCAAGTGGTTCTCGATATCTTCTTTGGCTTTCTGCAAGCATAGGAAGGTCGTTGGTAACAGATTGAAACAAATATTGAAAGACTAAAACGAACAAGTGTAATGTTTTACACCGTTTACCAATGATGAAGAACTGTATAATTCATTAATGCATTGAGAAAATGATTAAAATAAATACTTAGGTCTTAATTTGAAAAAAAAATAAAATTGATGAAGTATAATAATATCAAATACAACGCAAATAAAATTCATAAAAATTTCGGTTTATATATAAAAAATAGTCTAAAGAATAAATGGGTTATGGAAAAGCAACACAAATATCATTGACAGTAAAATCTGTTGATGATAGTAAATAAGTAAAGAATTAGTTAGGAAAAACAACAGAACTTTTCAAACTGACTAGTCTATGTAACATGTAGCAGGGTCACTTCAAACACAGCGGTCTCATAGCTATGGTTATCGGATGTATTGAGTAACAGTCATAGCAATGAGACTACTCTGTGGAACTGGCCCTTCGCACAATATACAGATAGAGAAAACAGTATATAACAACAGCAATAAAAGCTCAGTAAGTCACATCTTGCAGTGGAAAGAGAATATTTTGCATCTGAGAGCTGGAACAAAAGCACACTTGCTCAGCAAGAGCAAGTAGAATAGCAAGTGTACTCAACAATTTGTACACCTTGATTTGCAAACAAGCAAACAATATAACTGTGATAAACTCAATAAATAAAAAATATAATGTATAAAGCTACACTGTTCTGCGATTATGTCTTGGACGCAAAAAGCTGAAAAGCAATGGAAGCTTATTTTAAAGAGATCTGACCTGCTCAAAGTCTTTAGGAAAACCAAATTAAACATACTTCAATCTCAGCTTTGAGTTCAGTTTTGTTGAGTGTGATTTTTCATGGATCAAGACAAAAATTTCAAGGATATAATTGTGGAAGATTATATGAATAAAAGTGTGATGATTTCAGGGGAAGATTGTGACCAAGATTACATGGGGAAAATGTGACCAAGATTACATGGGGGAATATGTGACCAAGATTACATGGGGGAATTGTGACCAAGATTACATATTGTGACCAAGATTACATAAGGGAATTGTGACCAAGATTACATGGGAGAATATGTGACCAAGATTACATGGAGGAATTGTGACCAAGATTACATGGGAAAAAGTGTAACACTGATTCCATTAATAAGTGTTTAAAAAGAATATAAATAAACAGTTGACAAAGAGACATTGGGAACTGGTTCAAAATTTACATAGATCAAAGAATGACCAAATTTTCTTTTGAGACATTTGGGACAATGATTTTCTGAGGGCAATGATTTCATCTGTGCAAATAAAACACATTAAAATGCATCTAGAAGGACTTAAATTGAGATAATTCTTTCATCAATAAAGATAGCCAGTTTCAATGAACGACAAGTTGCACTATAATTCAGAATAATCCTTTGACTCAGACATCAAGGTCCGAAACAGAGGCTCACGAAAAACGTTTATCTCACTTTTAAATCATCGAAAATATTTTGATGCCTATGTTCACAACCTAGAGAAATATATTTAATTATCATGATATGTTGGCATGTGTTGTTGCTCCAAATAATTTAAAAATGAAAAAAAAATATTTAAAAAAATACATGTTGGTATATTGGGGTGGAAGTAAAGATGAGAAGAGTCTGAAACGCAAAGAGCAAAGAGCGCAGCGCTACTTCAGTAGTTACAACAGCACAGTACTATCTACAGAACACTGTTAATCCTGTACCCGAGTCTGTGATGAGGAGTCCACTCAACAACATCTAGAGTTTAGCTGTATATAAGCTCACACTGACAACAGTTAATACCTTGGCTACTGGACCAAACTCCTCCACTTTACGTTGAAGCTGTTCTGCTCGTTCGAGCGAGTTTCCAAGCTGTCCTGCGATGTAGGGGAGGAAAAACTCCCTCTCTACCTTCATCACCCAGTCAATGGTCTACAGAGAACACAAGACACTCCGGTATATACTCTATATTACAACGCTCAGAGGAGACGGGAGGCTTCCATGTGGATCTCACAGCTTTTGAGGATGGATAGTATGTCCATTTCTTATAATATAATTCTAATCATAATAAACTTCTTTTGCTTGATTATAATTTGTTTGGGGTGAATTTTTATTTTAATGGCTATTTTGCTCTCTATGCCAAATTGAATTTGACTGGAGACTGATTTTTATTGCACTAATGTGTTATATTCAGTGAAGACAGAGTTAACTTATGGCTGGCTAAAGGGACAAGCACCTGTACCTAAACGTCACAGATATATCAAAGACACTGAAATCTATAAGTCATCTGTCTTCATTGATAATAACTTCAAAAAATGCCACTTAAAGATTGGTAAGTTTTAAGAAATCGCTTAATTGAAAAGTTCCAAAAAATGTTGCTTATATTCATTTTGTGGATCCACACCTCTGCGTCCCTTCTCCCCATGACAGCATGGTTTGACATGATCATATACCTTGTAATTGGGCAAGAACTCGTCGTAGCGAGCCTCGTAGTCTTTAGCCGTTTCCAAGGAGTTCCCAAGATCGCCTGCGATTACTGGGAAAAAGTCGTTCTCAATACTCATGACCCACTCTATTGTCTGGAAAACACAACATTAAGTATTGCAAAAACTGCCATTGTAAGTGCTCTACCATACAGAACCCAGGCTGACAACCATGCCACTTTGTCTGCGATTATTGTGATCATTCAAGCAATATACCATGGACGATGCTTGTACACATGGATGTAATATTCTTGTTATTAACCGTTACAAAAGTCAGCAATATAAGAAATAGATTATATTCATATAACCTCATTTAATTTTGATCCCAAAACTGAACTTGATTTGGGTGTTAATTGTTTACGAACATATTTAACGAAAGAGTATAAAACTTGCAATATGCGTAATATATTCCGTATGCCTTTTACTTATTTACATACCTGGGCCCCATTTCACAAAGCGATTGTAGCGCTAAGGTGATCGTAACTCCCATATTTTAACATGGACTTACGACAGTCGTAGTGCTACAACAGCTTTGTGAAACGGGTCCCTGGGTATATACTTACTGTCTTGAAGTGATACAATATATATTGATATCACAGTAATCCAGAAACAGAGAAATGCTGACATTTCCTTACACTTAGAAACTAAAACTGATTACATAAATTGTACTTGCAATGTCAAGTTCACCTGTTCTTTGTACCCACTGATTTTACATAAATTCATTCCTTCTATAGATAGTCCTGTACAGATCTCTGCATCTTCAAGTCTGGAACTGGAACAATCTAGTACTGATATCCTACTTTAAATTTGCATCCTATAGGTGTTGTGAGAACAACATTTTCCTGTAATCAGCAGGCAGGCTGGGAACCCCTGACTTTTCACCCTCACAAGTAACACAGCCTCACTACAGCTTAAACTGTGTATACAAACAGTCGATCAGGGGAATACTTCAAATTCTTGCATTACGGAGGGGGATAGCTCCATAGAAGATGAATTTATACACATGTATTTACTTGTAGACAAATAGCATCAATCATACATGACAAAATGTTTTACAGTAATATATCAATACAAAATTTGAGTTTTTAAAATATGAAGCTTTGGTTTCAAGAATTTCAATGTCTCATAATCAAATCAGTTAAAACTTTGAAAGTTAGAACAAACACGATAGAAATTTCACAAATATGTCCTTCAATATGTTTTTCAGTTTTCCAATACAGTTTTATTATGGAAAGTAGGAAAATCAAAATGGCTTCCATACCCGTCTGGCGTCTTGGACAAACTGGTGCCACTGTGATTTGAACTGTTTGCTGGAGGATACACGCATCTGCCACGACTCCCAGTGTTGCGTCAGTGTTGATATTCGCTCACGGAAGTCCAGTAGCAGCTTCTCCACAGTGTTGATGGTACTGCGGATCTCCAAAGTGGAGTCATCTGTGATCTGCACAAATCATCATCATCATCATCATCATCATCAATCATCTTCAGTGATACAGAACACTGAATGGGGACATCTCTTGAAGCAGCTGTGCAAAGCAAGCAATGAAATCTAGCACTTACTGGGTGAAGAATTCTTAAAAAATATTCTGCCCTTCATCATCCTCATTACTGATCTAGGGATAGAGAATACTGATTGGGACATCACCACAAGTGGTTAATAAAGCAAGCAATGTAGTCTAGCACTTACTGTGGAGGAATTCTTCAAAAATATTCTGCCCTTCTCATCGAATTCCGAAAAGTTACGTGACATGTTGTTCCACATCTCCTGTGTGTGAAGAACTGCAGCATCTGTTAGTTCCTGCAGATCTTCGGTTTCTGAATGGACGATGTGTTCTAGGCCACTCATATTGGTGACCATCTGAAAAAAACACAAACCAGAGACTTACACATCAAGACAAACATTTCAGCTTGTACAAAAGACAAACACCAGGGTAGGTTTGTTCAAGGTCATTGTGATGGATTTTAAGGTTATCAAACACTATGTTCAACAGGAGGGGTGACCTTGCTGACACGCGACAGTCAAACTTACTTGATTTGCAAGCCTGAGGAATGAGACGTAGTAGAGAGCAAGTTGAATGCGGGTTTCGGTGACGCGGTGCAACCGATTCAGCTGTTTGCGCATGTTGTCCACCTTCTCCGCGGCCGACTGTGCCTCCTGGTCCCCTGACCTGACCAGATTCACTACAGCCTCGGATAAGGAGTCAATTTCCGCACTTTTTTCCTGGAAAACAAACATGTAAGGAAAATGAAGTCGTATCTGGGATTCAACTTGACCAACTGTTTCTGAATAATGTATAATTACAGAAATAAAAATTGAGAAAAATTTACCTGGACATGAAATATGTGAGGTTGTTTAGTGCCACAATCAGAACTATTCCAGCTATCATGATTTATCAAGTTTAGGCCAGACATTCCAGTGATGAGCATCAGTCCATGGAATTACTATGACAACAGACTCAGTCACCAGTAGTAGATAATCCTATAGATATATACACACACTACATTTTAATGAAGAAAGTATACAAATTACTACATACTCTAATGTCTTCATCCAATTGCTCATGTATTTCAAGAAAGTCCTTGGCGCTGGCAAGGGTGTTTCCCATGTTGCCGTGGCGACTGAGCGTACTCTGACAAATCTGTGTCATCCACGTGAAGAGCTGTTGGAATAAAATGACATTCATGAGTACCAGACATAACATCAATCATCCATAATCAATAACAATTTACTTTACTGAACTTACAATGTCTTCATCAAAACATGATTTAAAAACTGGCATAAATTAATGTTGACTTTTAATGACAAAATGTCCAGTGTTTCTTAGCTGTACATACACTGTTGAATTTCTCTTGGAAGATGAGATAAGCCTGACTACGCTCCCACGCCTCGGCCCGTCTCGCCTTGCACAGCGACTCAAGATGGGCGCAGCGAGCTTCGAGTTCATCCATCTGCAAAATAACATCCAATTTGATGTGCGTGTGTAAAATCATGTTTGGTTGAACCAAGCAATTTGCAACACTTGTGTATTATTAAAAAAGAATAGGTATGCAAATTGAGCAACAGGCCCAAATATGACACCAACAACCTAAAGAATTCACAAATATTATGAGTTGCTGTCCTGACCAATGTAATCAGGTGGAGAAACTAATACACATCAATTTAATTTCAATATAATGTTTAATGGACATGTTCCTGCCAACTTCAGTGACCTTGACCTACCTTCTTTCTGACGCCATCAGCCCCGGCGTCGCTCCTACTGACCCTCTCTAGTAGAAGACGACCTTCCATAAAGGCTGACGTGGAAACTTCCACAATGGCGTTAGAAAGATGAGCATGATGCTCGGCGAGCTCTGCGCTGTTCCGTGGCAAGTCCATGTTGTTAAGCTGGACTTCAATCTGTCCCAGTTGTGTTAGAGCCTGTAACAAGGTCGATATTGTGTTCACCACTAGGTTAATATGACTGATCAAATTCCTGACAAATATGACAAAATCCTGGCAAAGATTCAGGATTCAAAATATTTGACCTGAGGTTAACCAGAAAGAAAACACTGAAAAGTATAGGCAAGGACTTCAAGATGGTAATTTGTACATGGCCATTATACATATATAAGGTTAGCTGTCTTAATTTCAGTTAAAGGCTCTTTAAAAAAATGCACATATTCTCAACTAAACAGACCATTTAGATTTTGTTTGCTTCACTCGACCAGGTAGAAAATCTGAGATTCATCCATGCAACAACACAGACTGAATCACATTTCCACCTACACCATGAGAATTTTTTCTTGTAAAGGATTCCATTTATAAGCTAATGTGTTGAATTTGTGTCTCATATATTAGCTTTTGAAATGACAACGATGTAGTCCAACACCTACCGTTTCTGCTTGGTTGAAGAAAGATACAGAGCTTGAGATGTTCTTTCTTCTGTTGTCCAGTTTGACCATGAAGTCTTCGCACTCGGCATCCACGATCTGCAATCGCTGACGCACTCCCTCCGCATCGAGACTGGCTCGGAGAAGGAGTTGGTCTACATTCCGGATCAATCGCAGCATCGTGTCCTGCATATCCTGTTAATCAATCCAAGGTCAGAAGGTCAAAGGGTCAAGGTCATATTTTAATAAACAAAATATAATATCAAAGTGAAATATAGGCAGAATTGTCACATATAACGAAGCAAGAACTATATATGGTTAATGTGTACATGTAAATGTTCTTTCAGCAAATGAAATATATTTGGGATAGTTGTTCTCAAGTTTCTACAGTACAGTTTGAACAGTGTTTATGAGACATAAGAACAGTAAGTACCCTCGCTTGGATCTCAAATCTGTTTTGTTGGTCCTGTAAATACTTGGCGGAGGAGTAAGAATCTCCGAGATCCGAGTTGTTTATGCTGGCTGCTCCAATGGTGCGGAACCACTCAAGAATCTGTGCGTAGTGAAATATGTTAGTGACAAACGTGATCTCACAAAGTTGGATTAATAACAATCAGTGTTTACACAAGTAGTAGCTGTAAAGAATTCAACATTTGACGCATACACTACTCAAAAGAAATTATAGAACCAAATTTGTCTTATTACTAGAGGTAATCTGTCCTGCCATTACTTGGTAATCTTTCACGGCATTAAAGTGAGTGAGTTTTAGTTTTACGCTGATTTTAGCAATATTCCAGCAATACCAAAGTGGGGGACACCTGAAATGGGCTTCACACATTGTACCCATGTGGGAATCAAACCTGGGTCTTCAACGAGCTAACACTTTAACCACTAGGCTACCCCACCGGCCCTCATGGCATTAGAGATTAACTGTAGTAATAAGAAAGAATCAAGTGTTTATTTCTTTTGAGTAGTACACATATTTTGCATTGTAAAAAGTGCAATTAATCTTGTTATCTACACAAATGTGACACACATAAAAGAAACACATGGAAAGTAAATCCACCATCAAAATGATTGTTTTGACTCAAACCACATTGGGGTGAAACTCTGACAATCTAGACACAGGTCAAATCCTCTGGACTTACGTACCTCAAAATACAAAGATGAGATACACACCCTCAAATTTTGAAGGGGTAATTGAGTCTCGATTCCAACATAAGTTTTATTTTAGATATGAAGGAAAGGCTTCACATCTTCACCATCAGCAAGACAAGACAATGCTTGAACGAGTACGTCAAACCAGTAGAAGTTTACAACACTATGGGCTGAAGGTTAAGTCTTATTCAACATTCGAGAATGCTGATTTCCGTTCCAGCCAAGGGCAAAGCACCACAGAGTGAATTAAAATGCCTAAAAAAAATCGACCCCCAAAACCAAAAAAACCCTCATTATGCTGAGACTGAATGAGTTTAGTTTTATAACACTATTAGCAATATTCCAGCAAAATCATAACTGGAAATGCCAGACAAAAGGCTTCAAACATTGTACCCATGTGGGGATTCGAACCCAGGTCAACAATCCTGAGCAAACACTTTAACCACTGAGCTACCCAACCGTATGCATTAACCTGAGACATTAATGTAGACATAACATTTCCATGACAAATATTACCCACCTTGTTCACTTCTTGGTCCAACTGGCACAAGTGCAAGCATTGTTCCAGTCTTATTTTTCTTTGTGTCATAAGTTCTTCTAGGTGTCGACGTCGATCATGTAAAAGTTCCAGTAAATGTTCAATTCCATAACAGGCTGCGGTGGTGGCGTGCCTGTTTTGTAGGTCTGCATGCATACCCATTTCTTTGATGCGATCAAGCAAGGACTGACCAATGTCAAGTGTGTACTTAGATTTCTCCAATATACCTGAAAATACAGACAAACCATATTTCAAAATGGATTCAAATTCCTTACATCAGCGGGGTATTATCCCTTTCTAAACCTCAAAATTAAAGAAAAAATATTATACTTTTTAATTTCTCACTTCAATTAAGTCATATCAATTTAACTTCTTGAATTTCACATTTTTTCCATCATTTTCCTGAGACGACCGATTTCAAAAATGTAAAATGTTTTCAGCATATATCAGAATAATTTCCTGAAACACATCATACTATGTAGGTTTACACAGCTATAGTAAAAACGCATTTGTCTGAGAAGCATAACACCCATATGTTCAAGTTTTGACTTTGAAATTAAAAAGTAGACATATTTTTGTTTAGGTTCATCTATCTAGCCTTTTTCAATGTTAAGTGAATATTTAAAGGAAAATATGAACATCTTCAAGTTTGGAAGCCATCTGGTATAGATTTTAAAGCCACTAAGCTATCTTTGGTATTCTGTCTTGCCTGAAGTATATCTGTGATATAACATGTTACTTCTGCGATATCATAAGTAACAATCCTGTCTCGGTGGCACTGCCATGATGTATGATCAGGTCTAGTCTGGTGCATATATGTAATATTCTGTGATGAAGCGTGTGTAATAGTAGTGACGTACTTGATTTGATCTCTTGGTGCTGCTGGAGTAAGTTGCGGGCGGTCTCCACATCCTTGGCAAGGGGAACATTGCTGAAGTTGCTTTGTGCTTGTTCCATTTTGGATGAAAGCTGTAAGAATTGAATTAATATTAACTATCATTGCCACAATATTTTGGTCATGGAGTTCTGCAATATCCTGGCTCTAACATGCTCCAATATACCCAACACTCCCTGCTATACCCAACACTCCCTGCTACACCCAACACTCCCTGCTACACCCAACACTCCCTGCTATACCCAACACTCCCTGCTATACCCAACACTCCCTGCTATACCCAACACTCCCTGCTATACCCAACGCTCCCTGCTATACCCAACACTCCCTGCTATATCAAACACTCCTGCTATACCTGCTCCCTGCTATACCCAACGCTCCCATCTATACCCAACACTCCCTGCTATACCCAACACTCCCTGCTATACCCAACTCTCCCTGCTATACCCAACACTCTCTGCTATACCCAACACTCCCTGCTATACCCAACACTCCCTGCTATACCCAACACTCCCTGCTATACCCAACACTCCCTGCTATACCCAACACTCCCTGCTATACCTAACACTCCCTGCTATACCCAACGCTCCCCTGCTATACCCTAACGCAGCCCCTGCTATACCCAACACTCCTGCTATACCTAACTCTCCCCTGCTATACCCAACACATCCTGCTATACCTTAACACTCCTGCTATACCCAACACTCCCTGCTATACCCAAAGCTCCCCTGCTATACCCAACACTCCCTGCTATACCCAAGCATTGTTCCAGTCTTATTTTCTTTGTGTCATAAGTTCTTCTAGGTGTCTCCATCGATCATGTAAAAGTTCCAGTAAATGTTCAATTCCATAACCCAACAAGTGGTGGCGTGCCTGTTTTGTAGGTCTGCATGCATACCCATTGCTTTACCCATCAAGCAAGGACTGACCAATGTCAAGTGTGTACTTAGATTTCTCCAATATACCTGAAAACACCAACAATCCATATTTCAAAATGGATTCAAATTCCTTACATCAGCAGGGTATTATCCCTTTCTAAACCTCAAAATTAAAGAAAAATTATTATACTTTTTCATTTCTCACTTCAATTAAGTCATATCAATTTATCTTCTTGATTTCACATTTTTTCCGTCATTTTCCAGAGACAACCGATTTCAAAAATGTAAAATGTTTTCAGCATATATCAGAATAATTTCCTGAAACACATCATACTATGTAGGTTTACACAGCTATAGTAAAAACGCATTTGTCTGAGAAGCATAACACCCATATGTTCAAGTTTTGACTTTGAAATTAAAAAGTAGACATATTTTTGTTTAGGTTCATCTATCTAGCCTTTTTCAATGTTGAGTGAATATTTAAAGGAAAATATGAACATCTTCAAGTTTGGAAGCCATCTGGTATAGATTTTACAGACACTAAGCTATCTTTGGTATTCTGTCTTGCCTGAAGTATATCTGTGATATAACATGTTACTTCTGGCGATATCATAAAGTAACAATCCCTGTCTCTGTGGCACTGCCATGATGTAGGATCAGATCTAGTCTGGTGCATATATGTAATATTCTGTGATGAAGTGTGTGTAATAGCAGTGACGTACTTGATTTGATCTCTTGGTGCTGCTGGAGTAAGTTGCGGGCGGTCTCCACATCCTTGGCAAGGGGAACATTGCTGAAGTTGCTTTGTGCTTGTTCCATTTTGGATGAAAGCTGTAAGAATTGAATAAATATTAACTATCATTGCCACAATATTTTGGTCATGGAGTTCTATAATATCCTGGCTCTAACATGCTCCAATATACCCAACACTCCCTGCTATACCCAACGCTCCCTGCTACACCCAACACTCCCTGCTATACCCAACGCTCCTTGCTATACCCAACTCTCCCTGCTACATCCAAAGCTCCCATCTATACCCAACACTCCCTGCTATACCCAACGCTCATTGCTATACCCAACTCTCCCTGCTACACCCAACACTCCCATCTATACCCAACTCTCCCTGCTACACCCAACACTCCCCATCTATACCCAATCTCCCCACTATACCCAACACTCCCATCTATACCCAACTCTCCCTGCTACACCCAACACTCCCGTCTATACCCAACTCTCCCATCTATACCCAACGCTCCCCACTGTACCCAACACTCCCCACTATACCCAACACTCCCCACTGTACCCAACACTCCCCTCTATACTCAACACTCCCTGCTAAACCCAACAGTTCCAAGCAAACAATATTTCTTGATAATCACATCGAACAATAACGTTTTATGTCTGAGGTCTGGCAATAATCCAGTCTGGTCATGACCATCAGTGATCAATATAGTGAGCAACAACCCATGCTGGTGGGATGCGAGAACCTGTTATCAACCAAGTCACCAAGCTGGACACCTTAATCCATTTAGTTGTCCTATGACCTACATAGGCTTGTTCAAACCTGTTCTAACCTGGAATGCCTGTGAAGTACAAATTCACACAAGAGTGAGGGTATCCTGGCACTTTCAACTTAATGTAGTTCAACCACAAACTGACACAGGTTGCTCAAGGTGAAACCAACAAGAACAAAGGATCTTAATCCGGTGAACCAGGATTCAAACCAAAGACCAGCAGATCCATGCACACCAAGGGATGCAACTCCTCACTGCGAAGTGAGTCGATTTGATCTGACAGAATATTTTCATTAAATATTCATAATTTTCAGTTGTTTGTAGTTTGGAAATTAAAAATCTCATCTTAAATAAGGCAATCATATTTTCAGGGCTTCTTTGTGTACAAAATGCACAAAACAGTCATACAGTGACACATATTTCAGATTTCGTATTTATATTATACATGTGCTATTACATAACAATGGTGACATCACTCACATCTTGTGCGCCCTGGTGGAATGCAATGCTTTGGTCCAGCAGCTGACCGCGTAGTTTCAATTTGTCGTTGAGGTCTCGCCAGGCTTCTGAAAGCGTGTCGGCCATTGCAACGTAAACGTCTGCTTGTGATCGATTCTCATCTGCGTATGTGTCTGCTCTCGACAGCATCTCCTTGACTTCTCCTTCTTTGGACTAAAATTCGAACAAACCACACATATATATAAAGTATGCTAATGGTGACATCTTCAAATTAAAGTAAGAAATATGTTTCAAGCATTTGGCCACAAGAAATAAATCATCAAAATACTGGCGACTGACCTGGATTTAACACCACTGGTTATAAAACACAAGCATGGAAATGGTGCAAAAGTTTAAAGATCAAGTCAGAGATGTTCAAATCCTTAAACAGACAAGGGAAACAACTCTGCATGGGCAATATCAATATCAAAGAATCGATTCTTCAATAACACAATCACAGATGTGTTTCTTTTCAAGAAATTGTACAAGTCACCTAAAAAATGCTATAACATAACATGTTCTAAAACAAGCAGGAATTGGAACATGTACATTTCAATTTCTTTTTTAGGAGGGGCGGTGGGGTAGCCTAATGGTTAAAGCGTTGGCTCGTCACGCCGAAGACCCGGGTTCGAATCCCCACATGGGTGCAATGTGTGAAGCCCATTTCTGGTGTCCCCCGCCGTGATGTTGCTGGAATATTGCTAAAAGCGGCGTAAAACCAAACTCAGTCAGTCTTTTTTAGGATATTTGCTGAAGACTTGGGGCTGATTAACTGCTTCAGGGTTAGATATAAGCTTGCAATGGCAAATGCTCCAGTAAACATAAGATTAAATACTTGCGATTGCATAATAACACTTATCACATGCAGTGATATTTCTACACTGCCTGGATAGCATATGATGCTGATTGACTTCCCCTACTGAGCACATCACCACATGTTTGTTGTGGTACTGAGGTTGGGGGAATCAGTTTGATTGTGGGGGGCATGTGAATTGTGTATGTTTGAGTAAGTAACATTGACAGACTAATATTTCAGGTCCAACAAATACCTCATATTAAGATAAGAAACATTGTTGCTTAATCGGATGAAATATGTGGGGTTTCAGAAATATAATCACAAATGCAAACACACATTCATTGGATCATCTGAAACTAGATTCTGAAAACACATTATCTATGCTGATGTCTAAAGTAATCCATGATTGTGTTCAAAGTAATCTAGGATGTTGTTTAATGTAATCCAGGATGTTGTTTAATGTAATCTAGGATGTTGTTTAATGTAATCCAGGATGGTGTTTAAAGTAATCGAGGATGGTGTTTACAGTAATCTAGGATGGTGTTTACAGTAAATACACTGATGTTTAAAGAAATCTAGGATGGAGTGTAATGTAATCTAGGATGGTGTTTAATGTAAAACCATAGAATCTATTAGTCTAGTGTGGTGTTAACAGTAGCCTACAATCGAGTTTAAAGCAATATAAATTGATGTTTAAAGCCACCTTGGATAATGCAGCAAAACAGTAAATAGCTTCACATGATCATACCTATCATATCAATACATCATATGATGATGATAAGGTGTATTCTCTTTTTGCCTGCACTTTAATTGGCTATAAGCGGATTGGGGTTAACAGTCCAGTGCCTGCACAATTATAGTCTGTTCAAGTAAGTAGAGTTCAGAAACCGCTCACTAGCCGACCACACTGAACACAGTTCATAATTATTTGTCAACTTAGTCATTAAAAGTAATCAAACATGACATGATCGAGGCATGGGGTTGTAAAATATAGCTTTAGTCCCCATTGTTGTAAGGATTGGTCCAGTAATTTTAATCTCAAAACAGTATGTGCAGGCAAAAAGAGAACACCCCGATGATGATGATGATGATGATGATGATGATGATGATGATGATGATGATATCAATACAATATCATACAACTTAATAATCTTACTATCCTAGTACACCTTTGAAATTCTTTAAAAGATACAAAAACATACAGATAAAAATAAAATAACACACATTTTATTGAACCTATTTGCATTTCTTGGCAAGTAAATCCACTGCGAAATAGTGGAGAGAGTGTATTTGTAGAGGTGCCAGGAATGTATTTATCAGCCCCCTCTTTTGGAGGCGTCTTATCATCCAAGACTTTACCGCAGCCGGCAGCAGAAGCTGACATCACTGCGGCTAAGGAAGTTATTTTGGTCATGGAGTTCTGCAATATCCTCGCTCTAACACTCCCACTATACCCAACACTCCCCGCTATACCCAACACTCCCTGCTAAACCCAACAGTTCCAAGTATACCCGATGTTCCCTCTGCACATCCCTCCTCTCTACCCACAGACAGCATGCCTTCTTCATTACTGTATCCCATGCCATAAGTACATCACCATAATGGCACCTTCTATTCTATACATGCACAGGAAACCTCTGTGACCTTGAAGAAATCTCTATTGGTTGTTCCTGTTGTGTAATGGCTTCCTATCCTTTGCTATCGCGGAACAACTGTTCACTTTTACAGTTGAATTTCAATGTCAAATACTAACAAAAACAATATCTTTGCAGTGAGGTTGTCAGTACAAAATTTCAAAAGCATATCAAATTGTGATTTAACATAAACACAGTTACTCAGCACAAGATATCACTATCATTTATAAATCTGCACATATGCCATCCAGGTAAATTGAGAAAACATGCCATTTTGCTTGAAAGTAGGATTTCTGTTAATTATATTCTAAAATTCAAAGGTATTGTAAAGTACAGTTCAACGGCATAAACCTATGCAAAGCCTGGTTTCAATGTGATGTAATCTCTTGTGAGCCGGGGTGATGGGGTAGCCTAGTGGTTAAAGCATTCGCTTGTCACGCTGAAGGCCTGGGTTCGATTCCCCATATGGGTACAATGTGTGAAGTCCATTTCTGGTGTCCCCCGCCGTGATATTGCTGGAATATTGCTAAAAGCGGCATAAAACCAAACTCACTCACTCACTCTTGTGAGCCACAACCATGGTTATAACTGTGTCAAACAAATGGGATTCATTTTATTTTAAATTGGGTTTTATTACTGACATTTCTGGCAGAATTACTTTCTGTATGTAATATCAGGCTCCTAGATAAATGTAACTGATAGGATATCTGTACTTCATAACAATAATTCTTATTCTTTTAGAATATAATTTGTATGATTTTCATGTTTTCACAAGTTGGTCAGGATGGGTAGATACCACCACAGATTGTACCCAGATCAAAAACAGAATCAAACCCTGGAAAGGAATAATGATAATCAAGCTCCTTTACCACAGGCTTTGTGTTGAGTACATGTTGAATGTTAATACCTAGCTATTATCCAAGTAATGCAAAGAGATGTTACTCTGAAGAGACACGTATGGTCAAAGAAGGCATTCAATTGCAGGTAACAAGAGGTGCCTTTCAGCATCCGTGGAACCAATGAAGCCAGTGTCTGACAACAGCCTCCTGTAGTTCCTGACAGAAGCAGCTCTCTGTACATGTGTTACATCACAATCATCTCCGGGCCACAATGCAGCTCCAGCACCAGAACCTGGAGGTAACTCTCTACCTAGCTTTCAAGGGGATGTTGGTGTTATGTAATGGAGGAGGTGCAGTCTAGGATGGTGCAGTTTGATTTGAGTTATTACTTAAATGACATTGCCAGGACTATGGAAAGAGAAAGCCTGACTGTATGTTTGGTGTCAGACATGCGTATTTTTAGCATTTCTGTTTTCTTTGGATATGTATTGCTATATTTTTTAAAAGAAAAACACACACAGACATTTAAGAAGAATAAGGGTTTGTTTGAGAGATTTCATCCAGAATTTAGTACTATGACATTTAACAGTGAAGCCATTTTAGTGGGTGAAGATAACAGCCAGGGCCTAGCTTTTCGAAGCTCTCTTAGCGCTAAGATAGTCGTAAGTGCCATACATTAACATTAACTCTTAACGCTAAGAGAGCTTCGAAAATCTAGGCCCAGGTCTATAAGGTATCCTGACTGAGAATGGGGGAGAGCCATAGGGTGATGAAGATGTGTATCATCCATTTGCAATGTAATTGTGTTGACTATCCCGCTGTTGGTATTACCAATGATACACTTGTTCTTGACAAATATATAAGATTTTCCCTCTCACCCACCTCACACGCTGAGTTTGATTCTGCTTATGGTTTATTGACAAGAAAACTAACCTTTAGTCAAAGAAAAACAGACATCTATTTTCATAATATGTTTCTGAAATTAATAATAAAATCTCACTGGAGCCCAGATCAATGCATAATTTCAAAGCTCAAGCAATCAAGACATGCAAAATCATTCTATACTTCAATTGTCTTTATTTGTTTAATCTAGTATCCATGGCCAGGAAGATGGACTAATGACCTGTATCCTGTGGTCAATCCTGCTACATTAACTCTATACACAAGTGGATCATTGGACAAAGCAGACACAAACCTAATTCGTCAAATAGCATGATTAATTTGACCATTCCTCACACCATAAGCATGTTTATGATAACTTCTTTGAGTGGCATTTTAGAAGTTGGAAAGTCAGATAAGGACAAACTTTATCGATTGCATCACCCGAATAAAGAAGTTGTTCATCCATAAAGTTTGTCCTATATGTTTGTATATCTTATATGTTTATGATAACCATATTCAACATTAGAATATTAAAGTGAAACAGATTTCAGATTATATAAATATTACTGCACCATACACACCAATTTGGACAATTTGGTTTGGATCATGATGGAGTATTGGACATGCTGAACATCTCTGAACGTTATAAAGATATTCCAGATATGGCTGATGCATTAATCATCCTTCAGGTCTGTATCAGTTCCTGGTGCTGCACTGGCTGCACTGCAGCTACACGAGATTAGCTCACTTACCTGAAGTTTCGAAAGGAGTTCGTCATGTTCCCTGCGTAGCTGGAGAGCTTCTTCCAAGGTCGCGCCGACCTCCAGGAGGTCGGGTTCCATTTGGTGGACACGTACTCGAATCCATTCTCCACTCTGCCAAACACAGAAACATAAATTTTATTTATTTTATATAAAAAACAGTTATTATACAGTACACCATGTGAAAATCCAGCATGATATTAGGTGTTTAAAAAGAATCCTGAAAGAAATGCGTCAGAATTGACATTGAATTGAGTATATTAGGTCCTTTAATATCAAACCATCATAGCGTACCATGATGAAATTGTTAACTATCGTGGGAATAATCAAGAGAGAATTTCTGTTGGATTATACTTCACCCAATCTCTTTATTTAAAAACTGTTAACAATCTTATAATTACTATAAACAGAAACAAACTGGATCCTGTTAATCCTCAGGTCAGATACAGTCATGAACACATCATGATAGTTAACTGGCATAAATAATTATCAATGACTTACTGAGATGATTTCTTCCAGTACTATTCAGAACTATTTCATTGTAAGGTATACTTCAGTACTATTTAATTCTAAAGAGAATCCAGTACTATTTCATTCCATGGTCAACTTCAGTACCATTTCATGGTATGGTAAACTTCAGTACTATTTCATTTCGAGGTGAATTCAGTACTATTTCATTGTCAGGTTAACTTAGTACTTTTATCATCAAGTTTAAATTCAACACTGTTTCATTATAAGGTTAATTTCAGTACTAACTAATTTCAAGGTGAATTCAGTACTATTTCATTCCATGGTCATCTTCAGTACCATTTCATGGTAAGGTAAACTTCAGTACTATCTGAATGTAAGGTGAGTGAATTCAGTACTATTTCATTGAAAGGTGAATTGAGTACTACTTACTAGTTGGGTAGCCTTAAGTACTATTTAAATTCTAGGGTGACGTACCTTAGTACTATTTCATTGTAAGGTAAGCATTAGTACTACCGGTATTTCATCCCAAGGTAAACGTCAGTACTATTTCTTTCAAAGGTGAATTCAGTACTATTTCATTGTCTGATAAACTTAGTACTATTCCCATTAAGGTTAAATTCAACACTGTTTCATTGTAAGATTAATTAATTCAACACTGTTTCATTGTAAGATTAATTAATTCAACACTGATTCATTGTAAGATTAATTAATTCAACACTATTTCATTGCAAGATTAATTAATTCAACACTGTTTCATTGTAAGATTAAGTAATTCAACACTGTTTCATTCTAAGATTAATTAATTCAACCATGTTTCATTCTAAGATTAATTAATACAACAATATTTCATTGCAAGGTAAACTTCAATACCATTTCACTGTAAGGTGAACCTGAGTTCCTTAAGAATAATACAGCAAATATTTGGCACTAGAAGTTTATAGGAAAGGTAGATTGTTTCAGCATGTGAGTAGCGCAAACCTATAGGTGCCTGCTGGCAGCCCGCCAAGGAGAAACACCTGGACGTCTGCCAGTAGCTCCAGATAGAAGATACACAGCTGTCACCATCATTCAACTGGGAATGTTCACCAGGAATTCTGGGATAGATCTACACAGGAAGCTAGGTCTGGATGTAGTCAGAATATTTCTGTTCTCAAGCAATAGACAAGGCATCAAAGCTGATAGATTATTCATATCAGAATATCTTGTTACAGGGTCAGGCTAAAGATGGTCTGGCACTTTTTTGTATCACTGAACCAGAAGCAAATCGGTTTTAATGTTATATTCACCTAAACTCATTATTACATATTCATTGATGGTATCATATAGTAATGACAACTGATAATGAATTTAACTATAATTTACTACAAAAAACAATGGAAAAAGAAATGATTCTGATATTACTGTAGTCTATCTACCATTACAGATTCATCATACTTAAATAAAAGAATCTGTATTTCTGTAAACCTTCTCTTGAATAGTATATTTGTTCTTTTAATCATATCAACAACTCAGCATACATTTGTATCAAAATATTCCACGTTGAAATTCTAAAACTGTTCCAACAATCTAAAAGTATGAAGGGATTATGTTCAAAGTCCCATCATGATAAACTGAATTTTCTTTTTCATCATTATTCATAAGATACAATAGGTTTCATGACTCTATATATATATGACATTGGAGCAAGATTCTTCTTAATTAAACACACATACAAACACACATTATCAATTATTAGAATACATGTTGCTTTCCCATACTTAATTTCAGGATTTGAAGAAGGCAGTAAAACCAGCCACCATCTGGCCAACTGGCTCATCAACCACCTGGCCATGTGGTGATGCCATTAATGCCATCACCTCCCCTGACCTTGTAGATGTTCTAACAAGTAATAATGCCAGGCCACAGATAACACAACCTTCACAAGACATTAACTTGTTATATTTGTTAAGTATTATGATATAAATGCTTTTTTGATGAGGTCAGATGGGTTGCCTCCTCAGGAACAGGATCCTGTGTGAATCTGCTTCCGTTTACCAGTAGTAATGGGATAAGACAGTCATGAGATTGTGAGTAATAAGAATGTTATCTGCCTGATATATTTATACAGTAAGTGAGACTTAAACAAACAGCTCCTCCTTCACGGAATACCTTAACAACAATACATGAATCATCAAAATAGTAGGAAACAAAACATATTTTCACATCGGTGCCATATCCATGTGGAGTGTGGTATTTCTTGCATAAAGTACACTTGGCGCTGACACCAAATTAAGCTTCCAAACTATATGTAAATGAAGTGATTCATAATGTTTTCTATAAATATACATTTCATACAATGTACAGCAATGCAATACAAATGAATCAGGGAATATTGTGTGTCAGGATACATTCCGTAAACCCTGTTTCATATGTAAACATGTGTTGGGTAGGAACCGTATACTGTGTTTATGATGCTGTGTAGAGGGACACACCCATCTCAAGTCTCTAGCTGGCCAGCAAACAAGCTGGCAACAGACTGGAGTGTTTGATCCTGAACAGCATTCTGCTAATGTTACCGTATTCTCTCATCCAGTTATCATTTGGTATGAGTTGGATTTTGTGTGAAGACAGCCATGGATCAACCCGTTGAAAAAGTATGCAACCATTTCACATTTTCACAAGCAACATACCAGCTTCTTCCTACAATCCAAATACATATACTACACTTCAAGTAAGAAACTTTTTAATAAGAATTCAAGAATGATGGGATAAACAGGTACAGGCACACCCACAAAATCCTGACTGTTTGTTTTAACTGTTAATAATGAATCATGATACAAACTTTGGAGGTACACAAATAAGGCTGAGATTGGTATATATTATAAAGAATTATGTTATTTGTGGCAATTTGGATATGTAGAGAGGGATGTAAATCTTACAGAGAACATCCCATACTATTCTAAAGTGTTGAACCATAGCCCCATCCCCCTGCTAATTGATACACACTGTGAAACCATGAATAGATGGTTACATACACCATACTGGCCTTAACATGGTTAGGTAATAACTCCAGTTATCATACAATCTTGTAGTGTACTCAACAGACAAAGCTACCCCCAATACATAACTCATAGCTTTAACAGCATTACCAATATGTGTATTCATTTTCATTTATATTCACTATCAGCATGCAGCATATTCACCTCTTATCTACAATATTTTTCACTTCAGATGGCGATTCAATTCTAGCATATTTTTTTGTGGTCAAAAACATCAACTTATATATTTAGTTGTCATGGAAACATGTCACTTATTTTATCTTAGCTGTTTGTGGGTGTGACTAAGCTGATTGGTGGCAGACATCTCCCATTTGAAGCATCTTCACACTGCCAGTTTCAAATGAAACATCAGAATACTCAAAAAAACACTCATCCTCTAAAATTGTAATGCTTACTTCTACACAAAACATCTTCCTTTACCTCCAACATATAGAGAAAAATCTTTCCTAGTGTATGAGTCAGTAGAACTTGTAGCGCCAATTTTTCTCACTTTTGCAAGTAGAGGCAGTGAATTAATCAGAGATTTCCATCTTGGAAACACTTGGCGTGTCACATTAACAGCCAATTTGTCCAAAATGCATCAGTTACATCTATGAAGGAATTAAATGTACAAGCATATCCCCAGTGCATCCAGAAGGGCAGGACATGCCTTCCCTTTTAATGAACATTTGAAGTCATCACTGATTTTCAGGGATCCTTCCCTTAGCGCCTAATTGAGTGAGTGAGTGAGTATGGTTTTACGTCGCTTTTAGCAATATTCTAGCAATATCATGGCGGGGGACACTAGAAATGGGCTTCATACATTATGCCCATGTGGTGAATCGAACCCAAATCTTCAGCATGACGAGCGGACACTTTAAAAATTAGGCTACCCCACCGCCCCCTGCGTCTATTTGAATCTTTTTCGGAGAACAAGTAAGACTGGTTATTCACTGGAGTTGATGTTTCATATGTATTCTTTTCAAAATTTATGATCAGGATCTCAATGACTTCACTAGTTTGTCTCACAGTCCCTGAACCCCATTATTTCCCCTACTGCCAAGCCCCATCTGCTCTGCAGTGCTAAAGCCCTAAAGCCCTTCACTAGACTCAATGTTGCCACAACTGTGATTAGATATATCCCACAGCAGTGCTATGACTGTTTGATAAACATTCAGAATCATTCAGTGCAACTAAGTCGAGACTCCTCCTGTTTCAATCCCACCAACGCCAAACTATCAGCTTCCAAGAAACTTCTGGTCTCTGGAAAAAAAGGCATATCTGACAAGTGATGAGTGTTGCCATGGTTACCAGATGCACCCACAAGTCAGGCCTTCTCCCAGCATTGGTACCAGGTGTGTCAGAAATAGCAGCAGTAAATACAAGATTGGAGATAGAGGCAGTGGCTGGCAGAGCTATCTTGGCTCAATGGCCCCAGCACAAGAACATATCACGTTTCCTCTGATACCATCACTAAGCCAGGGTGTGTTGCTGAAGAAACTAACCTCATGCTAATATCAATAACATAGACAACTGGAAAAGATGATGCATTAGAAGACAAGGAGGACAAAAATGAAAATACAACAGTTCTAAAACTGACTTTGGTAATAATATATTGTCTGTTGA